GAAACTGGGTGCATTGAAAAGAATGAGATGCCTACCATCAAAAGTTTTAGAAGAAATATATTACACAACAATCATTGCCAGGACAACGTACTGCATTTCAGTGTGGGGGAACTGTTCTGAAGCTACATTTAATATGCTTGAGGATAACCATGCTAAGGCAGTGAGGCTAATACACAATCTACCTCGACACTTAAGCAATGAAGAGAGCCTTGCAAGAGCAAATAGGCAGCCAATCTCATTTTTATATAAACGGAGGCTGCTCACATTAATGCACAAGATAAACTTTGGATCAGCTGACCAGTCAATTGCACAGGTGTTTTAGAAGAAAGACCCAGAAAAACAAAGAACAAGAAATAAACTCCAGTTCGAAGTGAAAAGATATAATACAAAGACTGGGAGATATAGTTTCACATACAAGGCAACAATGATTTGGAATTCTATCCCAGACCAAATTAAGGACGCAGAAAATGTACAAACTTTCAAAACAAGACTAAAAAAGGCGCGTCAGACAATAAATGACTTCACTTTTCAAAAAGGATTAACTGGATTTTTAAACAAAGAGAATGATTTTAAATGTTACTAGAGCTGTTAGAAAACAGCTCGCATACGGAGTACAGGCTTGGCCACTCAGTAAGAATAAAACAGCTAGAAGTGCTCTGGGTGCCTTAGTTGTATGATTAAGTGTGGTAAAGCCAAGCATATAACGTACATCAAGTAATCGAAGATAAAGTTGAAACAGTTCCTCTACGAGATTTCAGAACTGCGAAGTACATTTAGGTGCACATGTATGTAGAAGTGCAAATATTGCTATAAAATAATTTATTTTCTAATAGCTGCAAAGAGATACTTCCGTGAACAATGGCTGAAGATTGCTACTATGCTGGGGTGGTCAATCAAGCAAGCTAAGAAAATGGCACAAAATAAACACAGGTTCACCAAGCTTGTATGAAAAGGGACTAGTTCACCTCTGCAACCTTGAAAAAAATTATTTTTGATGTTTTTACAGGTACAGGTTAGATCGAACTCGACTTGCGTGTCAATCCAAATCACTCCACATGAATATATATGTGCTATAAACCTAACAACAATTTTTTGGCAGTACAAAACTTGAAAATGGCTTTGAAAAAAGCAAAGATTTTACAATATATTGGCTAAAGGCTTTTTCGTCTGACACTCCTCAGAGCATAAAATGTCAGAATAAGGGTCCGAAAGAACATGATGAAAAATATATACCCACTTGTGGATCGAAATAGGCCAATCAGAAAAACGCAAGCACAAGACCGGTATAGTTTACCAATCAGTGCCGCGCGCCTAAAGCAAAATTACCATTGGAGTCCAAGAGATGAAACGAACTACTTCTGTCTACCTACACAATGGTGGCTTTTTTGTTTTTATGTAGATCAATTCCAAAACTGCTAGATGGAAAGACGACCCGGCTCTGCCAATTGTCCGAAACATGTTGACCGATGGCAGAATCACTTGTTTTAACAGTGTTTCTAGACCTACAAGGTTGAGGAGGCTGTTCTCGTTGAGGGGCAAATTTGTTTCTTATGTTGGAAGGAACATGCTGTTTTATCCTATCTCCCAGTCTTTGGTTTGTGCATCCTACGTAACCAGAATCACACTGTCACGTAGATCAGTGGCGGAATTTGAGAGGGTGTGGGGGGCATCGCCCTCCAGGTAAGAATTTGTCCGCAAATCGGAGACTTTGTCGGTAAATCTGGTTTAGGTTGAAACAAACTTTGTTTGCTCATGGCTGAAATTTTCGACGGCAAACCTTGGCAGTTCCGTGGGCAAACCCAAAGTCAGGGGTCTGGAACGAAGGCTAACGCTTCTTAGCATTTGATTTGACAATCACGTTTCCCTTATCGGCAAGGAGACAAGTGAGTATGTCAATTTTTAACAAACCCTTCTTTTTTTTCTACACCAAGAATGGCCAAAACGCTCAGCAAGAAGGAGGCTCAGCAGGGAGGAGGCAAATCTCAAATCCAGTCGCCCAACTGTGAATTTACGATGTCCCTGAAAGCTAGCATATCCAGAATAAATTCATATCCACAATAAAAATTTATCAACAGAATAAATAATCCGAGAGGGGGACCTTGCGAATGTTTCAAAAAGTTATTATGTGGAAGAAGAAATCAAGGATGTAGTGGTGGGGGGAGCTCAGGGGGGGGGCGGATTGTGCTTGGACATAGCCAAGAACCATGTAACGCAAAGAAAGCTGTTAAGAATTGTTACTTTACTAGAGGACAACTATTGACGATTAAACCAGAAAAGAAAAGAGAACAACTGACAGATTTAAAGGCATTGCAAACTTTGTATGCATGAAAGTATACACAAAGTATGACAACCAAAAGTGTGTCAATTCAAAATCCAAACAATGGGTCATTAATTTTAAAAAAAGTTCTTTCTTATCGATGCAATAAATATTTTATTTGCATTTTCTGGCCATTTTAAGAATGCAGGTTAAAAAAATTTTCTCGCTGCCAACCATGGTGGCAGCTTTCACTAAACCATTGAGCAATATAAACATTTCCCCCTCACTTGCAATGAAATTTCCTCCTGCTCTTTCTATGGTATCAATGTTCTGATCTCAGCTGCTCGCTCAAACAATCAATGTACCTGGTTGCTCAACCCATGAACGGAAAAAACATCGACCCTCGTCATGTTCAAATTGCAATTATTACATGAAAAGAACAACTTAGAAATTTCATAGAGTCCCCCCCTCGCTGCTAAAATTTTACGCCTGGTAGAAATGTGGGCAAAGTTATTCCCTGTAAATATGACGGCATATGGTATTCATTTTTGCAAAATAAAGCTCTTTTGTTCAATTTTATACGAAATGAGCTTACAAAATATTTAGTACAAAAGCTCATACAAAAATTGCGAAAAGTTTCATACAAATCTCCGCTCAAAGCGTAAAACCATTACTAATTCAATTAGTACACAGAACACTCAAAATCATAAATTTTACCATTCCGTTCCTATACTTAATTGTTTCATGCTAGGAGATTTCCAAGTTTAGAGGGAATGTGGACCAGGTCGGGGGGAAGGGGGTAAACTAATCCTAGTTTTGGGCGGATAATGTGACCCATCATTCCACAAACATAATGAAACTATAGCCACAATTCCACAAGTCAAAAAAAACATTTTTGAAATGCAACAAATTTTGCATGTTCTTTACCACAAAATCCTAATTTTACAACTATTTCCTACTTTCATTTCTAAGTGGACATTCACCCTGCTAATGCTAAATTGAGCAACCATCAATAATTTAGCAATATTTTTCCTTAATGATACCCATAATTCTGCATGTTTCTTTGAATGGTTTTCGTAATTCTGCACTTATTTTAAAAACTGATACCGATAATTTTGGACTTTTCAAAAAAGGTACCCCTAAATGAAGCACGTCCCTGTACCTAAAAACCAATTAAGGTACCCCACACCCCCTCTCTAAGCGGCAAGCCTTAAGATTCCCGAATGTTTCTACTGTTCTAAATTCTTCATGATATTTCTGTCAAGCGATTCCGTTCTAATTATGTACGTGGATTGGGAAGTGTATGTTTATTTTATGTGTCTGATTTTTTTTGGCCAGCCAATCAAGTAGATGAACTTTTGCGAAAATTCTTAGTTATTGCTTTTCTCATAATTCAGTTGTTAATGAATCTTTCTGCAACTATCACTGGAGTTTCTTAATTCTTTTAGATTGCCTGGTACTCAGTTCTTTGGCAAGTTAAGTTCTTCGAATGGACAAAAGCGAAAATGTTTATGTCCGTGTCGAGGTTGGCACGGAGAGACATTTGCCATAAGCATTATGAAGGAACATATTTTTATTTAATGTACCCTAGAAGGAACATATCTACACTCATTTTACTAATAAGAAACGGTCTAGGAGCCATGTCCTAAGATTATCAAAGAATTAAGAAAACCTTACCGGGATGGGAATGCGTTTCCGGGACAGTGAGTTGAGACACCAACTTCTTGATCAACTGAGAGGAGAGCACCTTCTGTCTTATTAATGTTTCAAGGACCCCGACGCACGGATGGTTATCAACGCCACTAGGATTTTCGAAAAGCAGGACTATTTTTGCATGATTTTTTAATTTTCTCTTCCCCTTTTCCAAGTTGCGTCACAGCCCAAGTGTGTGTTCTATTTAATGTTTTTTCATATAATGCTTTTGTTTTTTGTAACTGGCTCTTTAGAATTTTGGTATTTTAGAAACTTTAAAGAAACTTTTTTGCATTGATATGAAAAAGGAAATTAAAAAACTTTATTCTAATCCTGAGCTAAGGTTTTTAAAGAAAAATTTATGTGTGTGCTATTAGTGCCACCTCCGGCCCTCGAGGGACTAAAGTTAGTGCCACCATTTTTTCGATTTTGGGCAGCAATCATTTAATTTCGTTTGTCTGTGAATCATTGAAAATCGAAGCAAAAGATGCAGACAAAGATGTTTTTTTACGAATTGAGTATATGTCAAATTATAACTTATTCGTTGGCATAGTCGTCAATTCGATAAGAGATGTCGGAATTAATTGTTTACTTCGTTTACAGGTTGATGCATTCTGTACATCTACATTCTTTTTTATAAGAACACGAGCCTCGAAATTGGTCAAAAGTTCAGAACAAATTAAGAACAAGCTGAGGCTGAGCTACTGTTAAATGCAATTTTGAACAACCTTTTATCTCATAAACGAGGATTTTTAGCCATGTTTGGGTGCTCTTTCTGTGAATATTCATACTTGACGGCAAATTAAGGTTGTCTTTGTAGGCAAATGAGGCCTGAACAGTTCCTAGAGCGAAGAAGCTAGCAACCGCACTGCTTACGTACCCTATCAATTTAAGAACAATTAAGAACAATCCAGCCTCATATTTTCGAAAAAATTAAGAACAGTCAGCCTGAACCTAAATTTGATGGTTCTTATCAAATGAAAGAGTTGGTAATCAATACATTCACAGTGAATTCTCTGCTCAAAGACAAAACACAGAAAAAATCACATGATTAAAATCACATCTTTACTGTCTAATGCGTAAACTTTTTTTAAAATGTACTCATAACACATTTCATATGCTATAACTGTACTTAAAGATTAAATACACATTATTAATGATTACATAGCGATGACAACACACAAATACAGTGATTGCGGGAAGGCGAAAGCTGAATGTTTTGGGGTGCCCCCTTTACAATAGCACCCTTTACTAAGTACGCTACATTCACCCGTTGAAGAAGTATTTCTAAAATGGCGAAATATAGCTGGAATCTAGGGGGCGGACACTTGGTCAAATATTGGGGGGGCAAGCCTATTGTTTTAATAAGATGACATCACATTTCCCATTGTCCTCTAAAAGCCATTGTCCTCTAAAGTATTATGGGGAGGGGGGGGCGGTCGCCACTGCTGGAATCTTTTCGCCCCTTGTCTTTCATGAAAAGGTCCTTTGCTTCTAAAACAAATAGGAGGGTGGGGTGTCTGGAACTTAAAATAAGCGTGCTCCTCGGAGGAATATCTTTATAATGCCAGACAAAGCTGGATTCCTCTGGTCCCCCTCCTTTATTTGACAGGCATCTATATAAATATAGTATTTTTAATGTCATCACAGTATGTAACATACTGCGTTCACTTAAAGTTTCCTGATTACTGATTTGCAAACAACTAGATTCCAAATTAAAATTCACTAAAACATTTCAACACTTCTCGAAACATCAAAATTATTTGAAATTGGATCAAATGTGCTTTTAGCCTATATCGATTGCTGCAAAATTTAGGAATACAAAATTTATGATGCAATAACTCTGACCGGATATTCAAAATATATATTTGCAAATCAAACATCGACTCTAATTATTCCATGCAAAATAAACTTTGATGACGTCATCACTGTGCCAATGCATTGTGGTATATAAAGAGGTTTGTTTTTTATGGAATACCGCCTAAAAACTCTTTGCAAGGAGGACGAGGGGGAAGCTTCTGTCCATGTTGACGGAAATGGAGAGGTGACTAATCAAAAGTGGAGGCAGAGGGATATTTCATGTAAATCATTTGAAGCATTTCATGTTGATCGAGTACAATCATAACAATCGTTTAAAGTACAAAGAATATTATTCTTATTCGTCACCGCGAGTTACACTTTCAAATTTTCAATCGGCAAACCTCAATTACGCATAGACAAAAATTAGGTAGACGTAATGTATTGAGTATTAGCCCACAAAATGACAATTGCTTTTCTGGGTCGATCTAAAGCTGTATTTTCATTCAAGGGCAGTGACATCATCGGGAGTAACCAAACTAAAACTTCTATGTTATCACCGACGTATTCAAATGATAAGGTTTTGATTAAAAAATCGATGCCTGGAACTGCAGTTATTTCTACACGGGTGGCTCAGTCATTTGTCTTTGGCTATATACAGAGTTACTATGATGAAATGACTGATAATTCCTATAATTGCTTAGATTCTTGAGTCTGCAAGTAATCATCTTGAAAATTAGCTTGCTCTTGGTAAGCAGTCGAGCTGTTTGGGTTGACCAGAAAAGGGGCTGTGGGAGATGAAGTTTCAGTGATATTCATACCCGATTTGCAGCATCCTCTGTAACAGGCATAGATTATTGCAACAATGGCAACAAGAGACACAACCCCACCAATCGATGCACCAATGGCAATGTACGTTGACCGATTTCTTTCCGAATCTAATCTGACGTCTGGACGGCGCCAGCTTGACCAGTGGCTCCATCTTGACCACGCACGTGTTGTTGATCGCTGTGTTGTTGATGGAAGTGACCAACCTGACCAGCTTGTTCCGCTGCCTTAATGCCAAAATAATGTGATTATATCATGTCTGGAACTACATCGTGTTCAAATCTTAGGGTAATGACGGTTACGACGGGCATACAAAACGCGAAAGTTGGCGAAGAAAAGAGGTAAGAAACCATACTAAAACATAATAGAAATGTAAGAGCAACGGCTCCTTCGTCTTGCCAAGTCTTGATATTGTTAAAAGTGGTCTTGTTTCGTACAACAGACCCGTTCAACTAGGAATTGGGATGGGAAAAGGGAAGTGAATCGAAGGGTTTTGGTCAGTACTATTATTCCATCTTGGCATGACTCAATGCCTCGAAGTTCGTCGATGGAAAAAAGGTTAGCATTTACTTCACCTGATCTTGTATGTAAGAAGGAAGAAAAGCAGGGTATGCTGTTTGCTGGATTTTGAGAATATTGCAATGAGTAATAATAGGAATAAAATAGGGAACAAAGCAACACCACGGCGAGAATCCAATGTCATGAGATAGAGTTATATACTCTGACGCCGGAGCGAAATACTAGTAATCATTTAATTTATTTTTAAAATTCGATCTCTTTATAATTGATTCTCTCCGTTGTATTGCTTTGTTCTTTATTACTTTTCTCGATGTTACCTGACGTCGGCATTTGTATACCTCATTTCTGCCGACGTTTAATTAGTGTTGCTGATGTAAAAATGACTTCTGCTGCTGAATACACGAGGTTCGTAGTAGGATATTTAATATTTGCTGATGCATAATTGGTGTGTGCTGATACATGGATGATATTTTGATAAAATATATTTGAAGATTGATACCTGATGTTTCTCAGCACGGTGGCCAGATTGGCCTTTTTCAGGCCAAATTTTCCAATTTTGGACTTTTTTAGAGTTAAATTGCCTGGAAAATTTGTTTTTGGCCAACTACTTCAATCTGGCCTTTTTTGGCCTTTGTAGGATGTTTATGAGGTCATTCATTTGTTTGATGTAAACTTTAATAATCTAAGTAACAAACAATTATGAATTGAAAGATCAATACTGCACGGTGTAAACTCAAATGTCAAATATCATCAGCTAACCTAACAATTAGCAAAGGAGAAAGCTTTTCAGTTTCTTGCTTGAGCTTGGAGATTATCTGAAAGTCCTATGCATGGAAATATATACTTCACTTTGCGCAGTGTATTTTTGGGGAATTTTCAAATTGGCCTTTTTATATGCATTTTGGCCAGAGTTTGTCATCTGCCTGGCCAGAGTTTGTAAATTCCATCTGGCAACTCTGTTTCTCAGTGCACAGGCGGGTTTTAAAAAAGTGGGCAGAAAGTGGTATCAGCTGGCAAACATTAATCTTTCAATTTCATTATGTCAAGTAAACATCTTCCAAGTGGCTTGGAAATAGAGTACGGAAGTGTGGCATCATCAAAAATCTATTTTTAGAATTTCTTGAATTTGGCCACATAATCTGAAATAACAGCATAAAATACCTCTCATTGTGAAAAATTAGCTAGATATGTTTTAAATTGGGCAAGATATGGCCAATGAAAGATTTCATATTCTGGCCTGGTTCATAAAGTTATGAACCAAGACCAAACTACAAAGGTTTGATGGGGCAAGAGCCTGTGCTCAAGTGGCCATATCTCAGCCAATTCGTAATGCATTTAACTAATTTTGCAGATTAAGAGGTATTTCACGATTCTCTTCTAGGTTCTGGGATCAAAAGTTCAAAAATTCTAAAAATAGTTTTTTATGACGTCACCACTTCGGTACTCTATAGATACCACCTTACGCCATATTAATGCTTAGCTTTTAATATGATCCAAAAATGGCAATGAATATAGAAGCAAAAAAGTTGTCAGTACTAACCATATTCAATGTAGCCTATAACGAAACCACGGTTCAAACTTCTGCTATTAGCACCCGGATTGTAGTAGAAATAGACATTCGATCTGGTTGTTGAGTATGTTGTAGGCTGTATTGCATGACAAAGTTTCCCACTTATTGAATTAGTGTACTGTTTGATTGAGTTCTGATCAGTGTAGAAGCTACTAGAATCTATAAATGAAGAAGGTGCAATTTAAGAAAGGCTGATTTTAACATACAAGGGGGGGGGGTGTGGGAGTGGACAATGGGCATCCCAGTTCCAAAAATCTTCCATAGTTTAAAACAATAGGAAATAAACAAAAGCTTAGCCTAAAGAGTGGTTCCCTTGGAAAGGATATTATATAAAGCGACAGTTAAAAGCAAATTAAAAGCAAATATTTACTACATATGTTTATGTTAAAACTGCGGCGGACCCCATCGATTGTGCGGCATTCGGGAGCTTTTGTTATTTGCCTGAAAAACATTGTATAATCTGTCAAATCAATTGTATTTCCTAGAAATCGATTGTGCGGCATCTCAAATTTCCATCAATGGCTTGTGTGGCAGTTAAAATTCCTGGATTCCCCACATTGTTCCTACTGCTGCACAATGGACTTTTGCTGGAGCACAATACTTACTAGCTGCAGCACAATCAAACTTTGACAGCTCCCAATGCTGCACAATTGTCAAAAACTCTCAGAAAAAGAGATATTACAAAAGGATGACCAAATATGGATCGTCTGGGTCGCCTCTCTTTAGCAAATCAGGCACGTTACCAATTCGAGATTTAGGCGTTCTATGGGAGATGCTGCCGTGCCATGACAAAAACGAAATCGCACAAAAGGGTTTAGGTATAAAGTGACCAGACCTTTCAGGTCTAACCTGGTACAGCTGGAATTGTTTGTACCTTCCTGAAAATTCTGCCTTATGTATGTAAGACTGCCTTACGTATGGCGCTTGCGGTGACCTGGATCCGCCCCTGCGTTAAACAACCATGACACGGTAGAAAATCAATCAAATAAAAATTGAGTGAACACTAACAAGAGGTGTTTCCACGGGCCTGATCGAGATAAAACATTCCTGAAGGCAAATATTCATATAATCAAAAAAAGAAGAGCAAGTTTGGTTAGAGCAACGGATTTTTCAAACCACACTCCTTAACCAAATATATAAGTGCAATGTACATCTTTCTAGTTTTGCCATACCAAATTCAACAGTAAAACATGTTAAAATTACAAAATCTTCCCATGTCAAAGTGTTTTTCTTTTGATTAAATAATCAGAAAAAGAGCATTTGCATACCTTTAATTTCCAGATAGTTGTTTTCATAGTAACAAGAACGTTCTAATTTGTAAAAATCCAAATCCATGACTGCGATTTTCATTTTGTTGTTTCCTAGACTGTAGCTGAAGATGCAAGGCCAGCCTCGGGATGCATAACCATTTGGCCAACCAACTGAGTAGAAATTTCCTGCTACTGATCTGCCTGTGTTACTGCAATAGGAAAAGAAACAAAAATGAAGGCTAACTAAGCATTAACATAAGCCAGGTATCAGCCTTTTGTGGTACCTCGAATAATTGTCTAGCAGATAACATTAATTCAGCATTGCACAAAATAAAACTGGATAACCAATATGGAAAAATCTATTGCTGAGTATAGAAGCATTAAATTAAGGGTTTTTGAATGTTTTTTCCATTTGCCTAAAAATGCTGAAGGTCAATATTCCGAGACTGCCAGTAAACTTAGACCTAATATATGTTGTAATTTACAAACATCTTTGACTTTCATAGCCGAGAACCAGACAGGCAAAAAAAGAACAGTAGCTCAAGATTTTGAACCTTTTTCCTGTTTTTTGAGTACAGGAGTTGCCAACTTTCAATCAGCATCTTCTTTGGTTGTTTTTTTTAAAATCATAATTTGTCACAAACCAATAAAAATTATACAATGTTAAATTTCTCATGAAGAATACTCACGGACATGTTGATAATGGCTGGCCTCCAAGAGGTGCTGAAGATTTCCTTCTCAGCTGATATGTTAAGGAAAATCCATTTTTGGTAACAGAACTATCTGACACAAACTTGATAAATGCATAACCATCATGGGAGTACATGTTAAACAGCACACTTGATTTTATGTTTCCAGAACAGTACTTGCCAATGCTTTTCTTTGACCTAGGTAAAAGGAGTTTAATGCTAATCAGGCATAGGAGCTTTGTATGCTTTTTCCATAAATATTTGACACTGTAGAAAACGAAAAAGTTCTTTCGAGTGGAACAAGAAAACAATAGGCTTGAATAATTTCAAAATACATAAACTTATTTAAGAAAATCAACGTTGTGCAGAAAAAGGCAAAAACAGAGGTAAGAAAAAACATAAAAAGGTTCCAGCTGCCTAAGAAAATATCTTGTTCTTACTTGTTGTTGCATAAGAATCTGATGACTAAATATCAAAAGCTAAAGTATCTTTACAAGTAAAACCAATTACATAACTTTTCACTCTTCCAGCAAAACTATTCCATCTGACAACTGAATTAAAATTGGTGAACAACATATCACCAGGGTAAATCATGTAAGATTTTTGGGACTTCTTCTGGATGAACATCTTAGTTGGAAAGTTCATCTTAATGAATTCTCCAAAAAAAATGGCAAAACAGGTGGAGTTTTTACAAAATCAGACATTTTCTACCAGCTTATCCTCTAATGTGCATCTACAATTCTCTATTTATTTCATTTCTCCAGTACGGTATCATTGTTTGAGGTCAAACATTTGCCTCATATGTTGACCCTATTTTCAAACTGCAAAAAAGCTGTTAGAGCAATTTTGCATGAAAACACCTTTTCATATTCAATACCGACCTTTAGAAGTGTGAAGCTACTCAGACTTCATGACATATAAAAACTCCGGTTATTAACATTTGTTTTTAAATCAATAAAAAACTAACATTGAGTTGCTTTAACGATTTCTTCCCACTAAATTTTTCAGTCCCTTACTATAAAACAAGGCAGTCCTTCCGAAGAGATATCTATCTAGATAAAAAATACACTTCACTTTGGCTTAAAGTCCATTCGATATATGAGGTGAAACTCTGGAATGACCTATCAGCTGACATTCAAGACTCTACCTCGAGATTTTTATTTAAAAAGAATCTAAAACATCACTTGCTAAATGCTATGTGAATGCCTAAACGAAATTTGTATTTGATACATTTAGCAAACTTTATTAAATTAAGCTAGCAATTTGGCATCGCCTTTGTGTTCATGGCTCTGGTGTGGGTGAGGGGAGGGGGTGTCTCATCTCGTTAGTTTACCTACTTTGCGAGCACCTCCTTAAGAATTCTACTACACCTAGCTGCATTGTTTTGTTGTTTTATTTCTCTATATCATCATTATTATCAGTATTTTGTTGATAATTATTATGGTAGTAGAATTGGAATATTAGATCAATCAATCAATCAGACTGTCTACAGCAAATCAAATGGAACTGTGTTTCTTCAGGCGTAAAAACTTTAATTGAGTTTTGGTTCGTCTTGTGACTGATTTTATTCAATTTTACTTAAATTATATTTATTTTCTTTTAATTTTTTCTGATTTTACTTTCTTTTTTGATGATTGAGTGATATTTTATTTAATTTTACTTAATTTTTTTGTTTTAAATATGTAAGACCATTACCACATTTCCGTTATTCCCTTTAGGTATTATTGACTTATTCATTATTTCCTTTTGGCACAGCTAGGAACTCTGTCTGAATCTTGTGGGGGTTCAGTTCAGTATGTAAACAGGAGAACTGTAGTCAGTCACGGAGAAATGCAGCAATTGTTGCAATGGAAATGTTAGATCAAAAATTCAAGATTTACAGAGAAACATAGCTCTTAAAATTTGACTGGTTTCTTGAAACCTGTGCAACCGGTCTAGATCTGTGCCTGAATGGGCTGTTGATGAAATATATGGCCACACAATTTTCAGTTTTAGTTAAAGCTTGGATGTTAAACCTAGCCCAAATCATAAATTGCATTAATTAATTATTACTTGGAAGTCAAGCCATGTTTAACTTATCAAATGATTTCCATAACAGATGCTGTAAATTCTATGGAAAATGAGATAATGTTTTTAAATCCTAACAAAAGGAAAGTAGTGCTACTCCTTTCCCCTGTTATGTCTTTATTATGAAAAGCGTAGAGAGGGAATGTTTGGGGGGGGGGGGGTTCAGGAGCCAGACTGAAATGTATGGCAGCTTCCAATTATATCTCTTAGTGTGCAAGAGCAAAATTTCCAGTGTATATGTGTGCACTTTGGTGAAGTGTGCACCTAAATTATGCACAATAGTACACACAACTGGTTCTCAAGATTGTTATGTTATATCCCTAGAATAGCAATTAAAAAGCTCTTCCCCACCCGCATGCTTTGGGACTATAATTCAAGAACTGGCCTAGTACCATACTGCACGAAAATACAAAACAGTGTCAGTCAATCAATCCTTTTGGTGATTTTGCCATAGCCACGAAACCCTCCCCCATTCAACCCTTGGAAATGTAATTTCACTAATGCGAATGCACATTCTTTGACCTGTTTTTCGAAGTGCACAATGTTTGATTTGAATATTTGTATTCAAAAGGGCGTTGCTCCATTTTCCCAAAGTCTTTGGCCTAAACCGTGCGTACGCCACCTGCAGCATGACAAACCTATTTAAGAGAAACTTGTCAAAATTACCCCCAATTAGCCTTTTCTCAAAAAAAAACGTTGATGCAAAGAAAATGATTCATTTAAGTTCATACCTGGTAAGAAACACTTCGACGTAATCATTACAGTATGGCATGTTTCCTTCCGTTTCGAACTGTTTCCACTCGATTTCTAAATAGAAGCCTGAAGAGATCCATGATTGTGGTTGAATATTAAACCAACAGTTCTCGTTATTTAAGTAGTAAGTATGGGAAAGAGTTTTCGAAGACGTAGAAGGAGTGTAACTGTATTGTTGGCCATTGTAGCAACATTGCCCACTCGTGAAGAAAAATGCAAATACTACACTCCAGATTGCAAAATCCATCCTTACTAGCTTAGGCCATTGTAATGAGTTAGGATGTTGTTGCTCGTTTCCAGTGCCTTATCTTGATCCTTATCAAAATAAAAAGGATGGACATTCAAAATCGTGGCTTCCCTATTCCTATTTCCCTTTCTAAAGCTTACTGAATCATTCAGTATCATCACACAAATGCAATGATTGGTATCGGAAATTCAATTGCTTCTCGCTGCAAAGATCATAATCCAAGCATTTTTATTGCTGGTTGTCCTTGTCACCTTGCCCATTTGGTTGCTAGTGAAGCAAACGATGCTTTCACTGAACTCTCTGGTATAAACATTGAAAATATTATGATTGATTTATTTTATTGGTTTGATAGAAGCTCAAAGCGCAAAGGTAAACTGTCTGAATACTTTGAATTTTGTGACCAGGAGTACCAACTTTAAGTGAGAAATTTTTGATGCGACCAGTAAATCTACTGTACCCACCAAATTGATATTTGTAAATAGCCCGAACAACATAGTTATATTTTCTTTATAATTACCAAAACCTTACTCAACAAATAGCCTAAAGCATAAAAGCCTAAATCTCTAAATTTTGATTACCATGAAACAAAAATTTAAACTTGCTGTAAGAAGTAAAGCAACATTCAAGCAAAACCAGTATTATATATACTTAATGATTAGTAGTATTCTTTCAGATCAATTGATCAATTTTATCTAAATCTTCATCAAATACTTCTACTGCAATTTTGCAATGTGTTCTTGCTTCACAGCAGTTTTGTCATAGGAATTTATGATAATGAGTCAAGGACGTTAACAAATAACAGGGGGAGTTTAGCATAAACTCCTTTTTTATAAGAAGCGTTAAGAATTTTTAGTACTGAAAGTTTCTTAATCTTTTATTGAATTAACTACTCGTAGTTTCTTAAAAAACTCCCACTCTAAAATTTTCTGATCAATGCGGGTATTATTATTCCAAACTGTAAAGTTTCAAGTTTCTTATCCGGAAATTCACCTTGCCTGTTCGTAAATTGATTCAACTCCCATCAAAAAGAAAGCAAACGAGGCAATTGTGCAATTTGGATCCAGTGGAGACGGGATTCACAATAGAAAACGATTAATGGATGAGTCAGATTCAGCCTGTGAATTTTGATGTTTAGAATTTTTACATTTGAAATAAAAAAACTTCTTAAAATATAAAATTCATAAGTTTGGACTTAAGAAAAAAATTCCAAGTCAACCGTTAAGTTTTCCAACTGTAACTGGATTTTCCAAACTTTGGGGGGGGACGTTACGCCCCCACGCCCCCCTATTATTTACGTGCCTGATCCAGCTGTTCACAAAATTTAATAAATTACTACAAAGAGAAGAACCAACCATCCATATCTTGCAAGATGCAGTTAAAAATTTAGGCAAAAAGTTAGCATATTGTTTCTTAAATTTTTTCGAATATTTTTTTTTATAATGTTCCTAATTGCCATTTTCAAATGACACATAAGAGCAAAATTCAACCTCAATTTCCTAATCAAAAAGATATATCCGTACTAATAGAAGCTACTGTATTAAGATTGAACTGAATTTTTTGAAACATTTCTGTCGTCTAGATGATGAGTATTAGAAAGTTATATAAACATCTTGCCTTGGAAATTTAGCTTTGTGTTTGATTGTTTCGTTGTGCAAGAATACTTCATTCATTAGGAACTGTCATAATTTCTGTTGTTTGTCTCTTTGTAAGGAGTAAGTGTGATGTGGCAGAGAATTAAATAGGCCAATGGTAGGACACTCTTGAATAAGTACAAATTCTGAAACTAACAATCGCTAGTTCTCTCCCCCCCATCTCTCAAATTCGCTCCAAACCTACTTTGCTAGTTTTTTCATTGATAAATCTCACTGGAGGATTATTCCAGTTACCACAAAAAAAAGCTCACTATTTCAGTAAAATTTTCATGATTTTTTTCTCTTTAAAACTCGATGCAATCCCCTCTACCTAGAATTATATTCATGAATACTCATTCTTGATAAGCAATGCTAAGGCGTTGCAGGAAAACGGAAAAATTTGATACCGGCGAGATTGGGGCATTTTCAATGAAGAAGTTTCGAGCCATACTTACGTATGCTGCAAATGGAAAGTTTTCCTTTTTAGTGGATTTATCAAACCGATAAAGAATGAGCCAGTGGCAGTCTGATTTTGCAAGTTACAAGACAGCACGCTTTCTTCAAGGCAAAAACAACATGAAGTTCTATTCCATTTTCTACGTGCATCTATTTGCAATTTTTTTGCATAAAGCAAATGGAGTGTGCTATAGTTCTACTAAATATGCGACAACATCCCTACAAACACTCTCGAGGACATATTATTCGAATAACGAACTCTGTACCACTTATATTCGACCATCGAGTTCGTACCCATCCTCAAGTTACTATTTAGAGATCAAATGGACTCGTCTTAGCGTTCAAGGGAGTCTACCTAGCTGCACTGATTATGTCGAAGTTTTCCTCACAAGGTAATTATTAATCTTCTCATTTTTATGCAAATTCATATAGATCAACCTGAAATTTTGCAACTTTATTCAAACCTGTCAACTCTCGCGGTTTCTTCGAGGTAATTATCACGGTTTCGTCAAGGGACAACCGATTTCTGCCGATTTCTTTCGCCCTCCTGGTATCTCGACTATTTTTTTGCAATTTCAAGGCATACTCCGAATTTTTCCTTGTTTCCTTCCAATTTTACGGCTTTTTAAAAATTTCTTTGGTGGAGATAAGACTGAGAGAATAAGAGCTCGAGAGAATAAGAGCTCGAATAAGAGCATCATTAGACTGAGCAACCAAGTTTTGAAAAACTCACTAAAATGCTTCCCGATTTTTTATGCCTATTATTTTATGTCCTACTACTCCCTATACTATTTAATTCCAGTCTTAAAACGGAATTAATTACTTCATGAGGTATGATATGGGCGGCGGCATAGGGGTAGAAGGTTTGTAAATTAATCTTTTTAAGGAAGATCTTGGTATCTCCCTATTCTATCCATGTTCAGGTTGGTAGATCTTTTTACTTGCATCATCTTCTTTTTTGTAATTTCTCACCCCTGACCCGATGTTCGTTCTTTACAAAGTTCTACAAGAAATATGACAATTTTTAATAACGCCCCAAAATAATGTGGCAGAAGTGTTTTGGAGTTTTATTTAGAAATAAGGAGTGTCTGGATTTATAGCAAGCTATCAGCTACTTAGTCATTTAAGACAAAATCTTATACTAATTTTTTGTTATAGTCACATTTTCTTTAGGGAGAGGGCAACATTATATTAGGGAATGATAACGAACGGACGAAATAAGCATTTTGTAGTCCAAATGGCAAGAATTAGTTGAAAGATGTAACTTGTAACTTGAGTATTTATTTTGTCCAAACAGTCTCTTGTCCAACATTCCTCATCATCTTAACATTAATTGCATTTCAAGACAGGGATTTGAAATAGCGCATGTGTGTATTATGTACTGTGTGTAGGTGCTATTATTTTCTTGCAAATATTTATGTAGTTTTAAATTATAAGCCTTCTCGAGAACTATATTTGTAGTTTTAATTTCAAGGAATTTGAACGCATGAAAATTTCTTAGTACCTTATTTTTGTGCTCAATATGGATCCAGTCTGGAAAGCATAACAGTTCTCGACGAGATCTCGCGTGTGCTGCGTGCCAATTGCCATTCACTATTCATCAGCACCGAATGATTTCCCAGGAAACTCTCATTGGTCTTTTGTACCCTAATATTGATGACTCTAAAACTGAATCGCTTGTTTTTGCCATGTAAAAATCTATTCTTACCTTTTCTCTTCATAAGCTATTCATGGCACCGCTATCCATATTATATTTATTAGTTCATAAGGATACTCTAAATCCTGTCCAGCCTCGATAATCTCAAGAAGTTCTCGTTTTTGAGCCCTAATATCTTCTTGAAGAATTTGAATTTGCTCAAATCTGATATGGACTCAGGAGCACATGGCCCGCCATCAAATACAAATCATGATGTCAGTCTTGCGCTATAAAGAACCGCTTTAGATACATACATACTTTTATTTGATGATGCAGAGAATCTAATGTGGACCTGAAAAACGACAATAAATATACGAGCTGAGGCCTAGCAATAATAGTTAAAATAATATTGGCTATAATCATCAAATATATGAATGTATAGCAGCTAAGATAGAAGTTGGTTGAGACGTCAGGCAAATTTAGAGATACATGTATCAAGCAAATTTAGACTCATGCGTTCAATAAAGCCTTCAATAGTTTTATGAAGAAAGGTGTTAAAGCAGAGGGCTGGATCCCCCCCCCCCTAATAATCGTCAGATTGTAGTATATTTTCTTTATAACAGGGTACTGAATGAGAAGGAATATAATGGGCAGCGCCCCCCTTCCAGTATGAATTTGGTTCCGACAGCACTCTTATGCTTATGGAATTCACAGGTGTATTTGCCACACCCTGCAGATTTACAATGATCCCTAGCTTACAACGGTATCTTATGATTTCACGCCACCCGAGAATCTTTGAACAGTCTGAGTGGTAGGAAAAGTAACAAAAATAATGAAATACCGTAAATCCTCGAATTGGCCCGCCCTAGAAAAAGCCCTTCACTCAAATAAGCCCCCACCTAAGAACTAAAAATTTTCAATAAGCCACCCCTCAAATACGCCCCCGTTGCTACAGTAACTTCTCAAATCGGACCCCTCAATTTGAAGTTTTTTGCCATCTGAGGTTGCCTATGGCGTTTTATTGAATTGCCACGTCAAATTTATACTTTTGGTAGTAATTTATTAAAAATGCTCATTACGAAATTTCTACTAAAATAAACAAGGTCTTTTAATGATGTCTTTTTAATGTCTACAATAATTTTATAAGCCCCCCTCTCGTATAAGCCTCCCACCTCGTATAAGCCCCCATCTAAAAATATCAAAAATAAATAAGCCCCGAAGGGGCTAATTCAAGGATTTACGGTAATTGCAGCCATCAACTTTAAATGCTATTAACAGATACTTAACTGGCTGAAGCCCGTTGTTCAGCAAGAGGCATGTTGAATATTTGACTATCTTGCAGACACCACTACAAGGCACAAACTGTAGATACTTAACTGGCTGAAGCCCGTTGTTCAGCAAGAGGCATGTTGAATATTTGACTATCTTGCAGACACCACTACAAGGCACAAACTGTAGAAGTTTATATCTGTAAGTAGTATACGGGGTTCGGCGTAATATGACCAAAGACGTCCAACATTAAAAACGAGGTTATAATTAGTGTGTTTATACATCGTAAAATAAACCAATTGAGTGACTTACACAAGTCGATAGTATAATGTATAATTCGTAATCGCTATCAAAAAACCGTTCGTTTGAGTTCAATGCGGCCACAACTCCCTGTGTGACCGCTCCGTGTATCTTCGACTATTGACTCCTTCTCCTCGACTGACCACAGGGGTCCGAAGTTATAACAAAAAGATAACAAAATCCAACAAGGCATTGGCTTGTACTAGTCAGACGTTTCTTGATTGGCCTATAGTTGATTGGCATATAGTTGATTGGCCTATAGTTGATTGGCATATAGTTGATTGGCCTATAGTTGATTGGCATATAGTTGATTGGCCTATAGTTGATTGGCATATAGTTGATTGGCAAACAGGTTAAGCCGCTTTTGTATCTGTCAAATGTCTTTGAAGGCAAAAAATAGAATCGAGAGGCATCAATTTATCATTAGACAGGTTCTCTCTTAATGATTAATAAATCTTGTATACCCTAAATATTTATAAGGTAAAAAACGTAGTTTATTGTATGAGTGAACATACCGTTTCTCAGGCTATTATTGCCAGTGACTTTAGAACAAGGGGGGAGGATGCTTGGGTTGAGGGAGCTTGGCACGAAACATCTAAAAATGCACTTTAGACCATCAACAAATCGCCTTTTATTTGGATTTCGTCATTCTTTGCTGGCTAGACAATTTTGTTTATTGCAGGCCGAAATGACGTGAATAACATACAATGTAGACAGTAAATCTGGTTTTTTGTTAGAGAGCGGAGAACGAAGGATTCGAAGAAATTGTGGTAAATCAAGCAACAAAATTTTCGTTTCTACATCTCGGCAATAAAATGAAAATGACGTCAAAATAACACACATCAAATAGGAAAAATTTTTGAACAAAAAAATCACTTTGTTTGAACTTCCTCTTTCGGAACATTTAATTGGAATTTTCCCTTTTCTGAACTTTTCAATATTGGATGTTTTTCGAACAAAAGGAATTCAAAAAACAAATTTCCGCATTCATATCTACGAATGGGAAAATGTTTTCACGAGACGTTTCAATGAATACAAAAACTTTGTTCAAAAATCAATCATTTTAATAAAGTTTTTCTTATCTGAGCTTGTAATTTATAACTTTTCAATGTCTGCATGCAAGGCCCAGCTAAGGTATTTTAACTTAATGTGATTGAATTATACGTAGCTCGTAAATAGAGAAATACTATGTGCTTCCCAATACATGGTATTGAACAAATAAAGATTACAGGTATTGTACCAAGGAGGGCTAAGGTGAAGAATCCGGTTCGGATAATCCGATTAACCTTGTGTCATACACGTCGAGGAGTTTTTTGACTGCATCAACAAATCACAGGTATGGTCTCAAGGAGTACTTTAAATTGATACTAAGATTTTTCTTGATATTTGCTATCCAGAAAGTGATGCCTACATAATCGTTGGAAAAGCATTGCACTGGTTCGACGAATAAGTAATAGCAATCTGAGTAATTAATTGCGAAACGTGCGAAACGTGCGAAACGTGCGAAACGAGCGAAACGTGCGAAACGAGCGAAACGAGGGAAACGAGCGAAACGTGCGAAACGTGTGAAGCGTGCGAAACGTGCGAAACGTGCCTAATTTTGGTACCCTCTTTCTTGTTTTAAATTTTGTCCAGTTTTTCTTTAGAATTTTTCGTTTTGAGCCTGAATATATTCTTGAATTATTCTTATCTTTTTGCAAATCTGATATGGTTTCAGGGGAACATAACTCGCTCTCGGATAGACACTGCGCTTCTTGAAAGATCGAGATATATCGATCACGTGATTCTCATTCATGAACATCGCAAACAGGCAACTGCTTGAGAATGAGAGAAGAGCACGCGAGTTGAAACTGAGCAATAATCTTACAATATTCTTAAAAATTTGATGATCTCGAGCCTAAATATTTTAATAAACATTATACTTATAAAAATATTGTGTACGAGCCAGAGCAATAATTCCAATGACCATCAAAAATTGAATAAACCTAATTCTTAACCTACCGTCTTTGATCAGTGTTATGATGTTTTATAGTTTAAAGTGTCTTGAACGAAAGGTTTAGTTATATGTTGAAATTTTTTTGGGTTATTAAAAGCCATTTTAAATTTTCCTGCTGCAAGAATTGACTAGGTGTTCTAACAACCAAGATGATTCCATCAGTACGATAGGCAGTGGTGGCACAAAAAATACCAACAGTCTGTCTAAGGTCACCACTAGGGATGGGGACAAGAGAAATAATAAATACCACATCTGCTCTACATTAACCACGTTTGAAACGCGTTCTATTGCTCTTATTAAACGTATCTAAGAAATCTGCAGCCATATCTTTGATCCTGTATCCGCAGGTTTCTCGCTAGAAATCTACAATGCAGACATCCCAAAGAATTACTGAATACGCAGTTCCATACAACATCAATAACAAAGCTGTAATTCAGGTCAACATGCCCCGATCCGTGGATCTGTCGCTCCCTGTTTTCTCTCCTACTTGCATTCACAACCAAGAGTGATCCTAGGCAATACTTATAAGCCTTCTTTCATAATTTTACCCAGCATGTTATCTGGTTCGATTTTGAAATAATGATGTGAAAGTTCTTGTGAAGTTTTATCTAACACAATCGACGGAACATGTTTACAAAAACAGCCTTGAAAAGACATTGGTTGCTTTTCAAAGGAGACACGGGAACAGCCTCCACCACTTTTGGAGGCCCTCATACTCATTCCTGGTTCTAGCTTTATGATCGATGTTATTACTGATTTCGTTTCAGACTTTATAAAAGCATTGGGAGATACTGCTCTGACAACATGATTGACACAAAGCCATTCAATATGTATTCCTACGATGGATATGCAAACATTGTGTTCAGATCAGATAGCTCCATAACACGAACCGGTTTTTCATTGACATACCAGTTGAAAAGCAAGTCATCATCACGGATGGGCGGCTCAGCAACATCAAGTTGCTAGTTAGTATAAACTTGTCTTTTTCTTTTCTTATTTTACTTTTGAAAAATATTTGAAAAGGTGTTCATCTAACCAGGGCCGGCGGGGAAGAGTGTCCTTGATTGGAATGGCTTCGAGCCCCCCAAAATTTTCATAACTGTGCTTAGAACGAAGCAAAAGTAATATGATTTGACTTTTAGCAGGGATAGCCCCCCACCAAACTAAATCTTTTCAGATCTCTTCCTAATCCCTTTTATGCTCCGCAGTTCTGCATTACATAATCTGGAGTTTATGAATGGTTGTTAGCTTTTCACTAGATGCATTCCCAATTTTCAAGTAATTTTATCATTGCACATTTTGATGAAAACAGGTGTTTTTGGCTGAGGCCTTGAAAAGAGGTTTGCAGAGCCAAACATGGATTTTTTGCATCAGTGGGAACAGCAGCATTTTGCTACAGAATGTTAGAAGAAAAATTCATTAATGATTTTTATTTATATCGCATTTGACAATTACTCTTCAGACAGGTCATTCAAAATGTCAAAATATCTGCAACTTCTCCAACTTAATAAAAAACGATTAATTAAGCACTCAACTTGTTTTTTAACGATTTTCACTTGTTTTATTTTCTTATTCTGTCGGACATGCATTACAGACAGTAGTTCAGACAAGCTTCCCGCAATTTATTATATATATTTATCACATATCACAGTTTTAATATATAATGTGTTGTTTGTGTAATTATTTGGTACTTTCTAAGTATGTATCAGCTATTTTCGAGGTTGCCAAAAGGCTTCAGAGACAAACAACTCTGCAAGCGAGGCGAGGGGAAATTTTTTGCGGTCATTTCAGTCATTGCAGTCAGAGTTTTTTTGCAGTCAATTTTTTGCAATCGTTTAAAACAGTTTGTCATTTTGTAGGTATACTTTTGTTCATTTGATAATCTTAACTCTTTACTTCATGAGAACCCCTAGAGCTGAAAGAAAGGGTTTGGAGCACAAGCTACGCTAGACCTTGAGGCCCTGGGTCATTTTGCCCCCCTATCCTCTCTCCTCTCTCCTCTCTCTTGTTAGCCTTGAGTATGTTTAGGTAATGAAATTTATTTTTCATAGTCAAAAAATTTTAAAGTTTTTGAAGCATGCATAGAGCTTATTGAGAAGGAGACAGAAAACTTCCATTGGGGTCCAGGACTCTTCCATTGGGGTCCAGGACACATGGTGAGAAGGTTTTATAATATTTGGCCTTTCCAGAATCTCGTCGCATTGCGCCCTCTCATCGTTAGTATTGATTCAGAGTTAGAAGCACGAGGCATAGAGAGAGGTTCTCTCTCTTGAGTAGAAAATATTACATATAATCAACATCAATATATATATATCTTCTTAATCAAAAACATGTTTCTCCCTGTGGTACACATCTATGTCCCGCCCAAGTCACAACAAAGTTATCCCGCCATGACTGCAAATACTTGTTTTTCACTACAAAAACCGTTTCATCACTGCACAGATTGGCTATCAATTCATGATGTTTTCTTCAGATACTTCGTATTGCAGTAAGTACGAACAGTAGAAACCTCCACAAAAGAACCTGTGATTAAAAGAACCCTGAGTCTAAAATTTAATCTTTTGAACCCCCCAAATAAGATTCCCCAAGAGCCCGAATTTGGCAAAAGCTCTCATAAACAAATAATAGTAAACAGGTATTCAAACACCCTATTCACGCTAGCAAATCAATCCAGATTAAAGTAAATCAGGTTATCGTAAGTTGCATTTTAATTGTGCAATCCAAAAAGACAGATGCATTTGACTGGTTGAAATTTAGCACGAAAATAAAACTGGCTTAACTTTGATGGTGAGAATTCTTGAAGTGGAAACAGTGTTAATTTGTGCAAGGCCTTTCTGTATATAAGAGCCTTCTTATGAATCTAGATTAGCAGCCTGCTAGTTAAAAACCTGTTTCGGCTGCCAAGTGAAACCCAGAGTTCTTCTATGCGGGTACATACTGTAACGCATAATATTGCTGGGTGCCAAAACATTATCAGAAGAACAATGTCTTTGGCATGATTTATGAAAATAGCAGGTATAGAGGCATATTTTTTGCATAAAAACAAATTAAGAAAATTTTTGCTCAAGTTGTTCAAAGCCCTTATGATTTAAATGAATATAGATAAAGACAACCCTGTTCTTCTGACTCTTGTTCGCCCAAATTATTAGACTACAAAGCAACACTTGCTATCTCAAATGAAAACAAATTAATTTCATTTTTTGAATTCACTTTACTATATATAGTGCTTTCTTTATAGCTACAGCGATAGTTCTGCAGCAGCAACCTTCTACTCTTCTGGTTGGCCCTACAGTTACTATGCGAGCAGCACCCCGTGTTGGAGGCGCTATTACGCCGGTAATAATCCGGTACGGGTTGCTGTGATGGACGTTTCATTATACAGAACATCGTCTGTCTACTGTTACACAACTGATTCCTATTTTGAAGTGAAAGGTAAATGAATATAATACCTGTTTCAAATAGACCAGAGGTCTTGAATTGGTTGATTGCTTCTTTGGGCCATATGAAGTATGTTTTAATACACTTAACAGTTACTCTTAAAGAACAGTGCCCTATTGTCTTGACAAATCTTCAAGAAGAGAGCTGTTCTTGATTCTTTTGAAAATTTTAGGACAATTTTTCTGAGAGTTGTTACATTGATCTTGCCTTAATGATTTACAATTAAGAATTTTGTAATTAGTCTCTACATCTCCTTAAATTTTACTTAGTCTAGAAACTTTTTTTAAGAAAATTCGGTGTTATCTGCTTCAAAAACTTTGCCTAAAATAGGACGATGGTTTAAGAACTTTTGAAAATTTTTTCATAAATTCTGAACAGGGAGAGGATAAGCAGCCTTATCTCTGAATTGAATAACTCTGCAATAACCATAGTTGATTTAGCATGATCGAAACACAATTTTATTTTACTTAGGTTTTTTTGTTATCCCATAAGTTTACCTTGGTCCGTGAACTTGATTTTCTGAATAAACTTTATTCGTGATGTCATTTATAATGGGAAATAGAATGAGCAAACGCCACCTAAAGGGTTGAACATAAATTTATTCGTTTCTTTTACTTTCAATTTTTCTCCAATGTTATATCCTCGGCTATGATATTTGGCCTAGGCACCAATCATCTTTAATGCAAATTTTGGTTTCATTTCCAAATTTTGAAAAACGATGCTTGATTTCATTTAAGAAATACCTTCACGAGTATTATAAAGTTTAGTTTAACCAGTTTCTTGGAAGTATTGGGTGCTCAAAAAAGCTAGAGAAGTATTTTCTGATTACAAAACATGATTTTGTCGTTACAAAATGTGACATTTATAATTACTAAATGGCATTTTGAATATTCTCCCGGTTTTCGTTGTTAAACACCTACTTTCCGACAGACAATTGACCTTCCCTACAATGACGAAGAATATTTGAAACTCTCTTCTATTCAGAGTCTAATGTGAGCTTCTCTGTAGAGCAGACCTCTTAAAAGTTCAAAAGAAGAAATTGATGTCTGAAAGTATCTTTAATCTGAAAAATGATTCTTGGATCTTGAAAAGTTCCATTCTTATTATTCTATAGATCGAATAGGTCCTTTTCTTGTCCGTGGACAAGTCTGCAGATTAGTCAATTTCTTTTAAACACATTCGTAAATTGAGAAAAAAATTCACAACAAGGCTCAGAAAAGGTTTCCAATGAAGATCCAAAATGAATCTATTAGTCTTTCCTGCTTTTCTGATATATCCTAAAAGATTTGTAGGAGAAAAGAATGTTATTGTGTAACTGATTTCTATAATTTTATTTTAGCATCATCTACTGTCTACACAACGTCATCAAGCATAACATCTTACGCAACTACTGTAAGTGGGAGGATCTGTGGAATCAAAACTCCAACGGTGTATACTGCGAAAAACAAATACGTTTATCTATTATTGAATAGGCCCCACACTTTTTCTGGATATCGTGGTGTCATTGTCGGCTACATGGCCTATGGTATGTTTACATAGCCTATTGAATTGCTTTATTTTTCCTTGAATAATCAATTTAATTGCTGCAGCCATTTTCAATTTTTTGTGAGCTGGATTCTTGTCTAAAACCAAATTTACGTTTCTTGTCAATCTTGTTTTTGAAAATTAATTTTATTTTGAGCAAATTCAACTAAAGTGCAATAACGTTATGGCAAGAATTTAATTTTGATTGGAAATTCAAACAACTTAAAGCATTTCAATGTAAGATGGATCCTCTTATAAGAATACAGGGAAAATATTTTAGAGCTCAATAGTTAAGATAAAAGGTGCATGATTGAAATTGATGAATTGAAAAGAAAGTTGGTTTGCCATATATCATTCATATGAAGAAATGAAGAGAGATTAATTGTTTTCTATTCAAAGCTTTAATGCTACTTGAATTTTGAGTGAGACGATTCGGGGGAGGGAGTAGGGTCCTGGATAATTACTGGATTTTGTGTCACACCATTCACGTGACTTGAAACTGATGTAAACGCCTTATTTCAAATCAATAAAAGACAAGAAGATAGATCAAGCAACTTTTCTGCCTCATTTTGCTAGTACTCACTACCGGAATTGCTTTTTCCGAACAAAAGCAAAATCTAAGAAGAACACAAAAATATTTGGAAGGGAACATAGAAAACAAGCCTTCCCTCTCATGTAAATCGGTTCCTAAACATTGTTGAAGGAGCTCAACAAATTTTTAATTTTAGATATCAATGAATGTACTACAAGAACCCATAGATGCAGTTCTAATGCCATATGCACAAATACTGTTGGTTCATACAAGTGCACATGCAAAAGCGGTTATACGGGAACAGGAACAAGTTGCGCAGGTAACATTTTCATCAGGAAGAAAATTTTGTGCCAATATAGCTAAGTGAACAAGTGCCAATATAGCCAAGGCTCGTCTGCAGTTTTCCATTTGCAAATGTTATCAACTTTCCACCAAAAATATTTCAATAACACGACCTGAAACAAAGCGTTAATTTTAGAATTATTTGAAATATTAAACTTTTATGTTCATTTGAGATGTTATCAGAGATCTAATAATGATCCAATAAGGTCCAATCTTCGGTGACATATCTAGAGTTCATTCAAATTCTGAACAGAAATTTAGCAATTATGCATAATTATTCAACTAGTAATTGATGAAAAACAGACTTTTCCAAAGTAAAAATAAATTAGGCTTGTAACATCCTTAATCCTTTCAAGGAGTTAAACAATAAAAGAAAACATTGATTTAATTTTTGTCTGTCTATTTATATTTTATTGCATAAAAACCTGTTTTCAACCTATTTGAAGATAGAATTCATAAGAAGAATTGTGACTTTTATTGCTATTGAAAATTTTTAAAAAGACAACTGCATTTAAAATCAGACTATCATGATCTTATGGTATTATTACCACCGCAAAACATCAAGCAAATTTTTTCTTTAAATTTTTTAAAGATAAGGATAAAAAAGTTATTTAAATAGAATATTCTTAAAAATAATATTGTTTACTGAGACAGTCCATAAATGGGAAAGTAATAGCACTTATTATTTCAAAAACATAAAGAGGAACCCCATTCTGAAGACAAAATAAAAACAACATTGAAAGAGGTACTGTTGCGATTTTAAAAGGATGGTTGTGACTATGTATTTTGCAGATGACGTGCATTCGAATTTTTTACTTTTAGATCTGAATGAATGTAGAAGAGGAACCCACAGATGTAGTTCCAATGCTTTATGCACCAATACTATCGGCTCATACAGATGTTACTGCAAAAGTGGATACATTGGGACGGGATTTAGTTGCTTAGGTATGGTGTTTACTATACAGAATTATTTATAAAAGCAATGAATCGAAAAAGAGCAAAAAGCAAACTTGATTTTGTACTGCTAATAAGACACGAAGATACGGAATGGATTCGGCCCTGCAGAAAGAATATATCCATCTAACACGCTTACAAAGAGGGCCAATTGTTTGTCATAATCTTAATATTTCGCTCTACCTTAAATTTTTATCTAGAATTATTGCTCAATGTCAAGGCTATAAATGTAATGGAAACTGGGTATGAGTGGAGGCTTATCGTCATAAATGGTATGTTATAGTATAGTAAGGTTTGATTCTGAATTTTCTAGATGAAAATACATTCAATTTTCTAATTTCAGATGTAAATGAGTGTACCAAAGGAACACACAGATGTAGTTCTAATGCTTTATGCTCGAATACGGCTGGCTCTTATAGGTGTTTCTGCAAAAGCGGCTACACAGGAAGTGGAACCAGCTGCTCAGGTATGAAGAATCATCTCTTTAAGCCAATGAATATAAAATTATTAGAAGCTTTTCTAATTTTTACTTCTTTAAACGTATATATTTGTACGGAATAGCTATCAACATCCGGCAAGATATTTCGATATAATTGGACGGGAAAAATGTACTTTTTAATGAGAAATAATGTACTTCTTTTATGAGGATATCTAAAGAAAGCAGCAATAAAGATATTCTGATTGTGATACCCATTTTATTGTAGTATCATTTTAAGCTGAAAGCCAAAAGTTTTATTGCAATGTCATTGTAAATTAAAAAACAAATGTTTTGCTAAAATGCCCAAGGCTTGATAAATTTTTTTGACAATAACAACAGTCCTTCAATGTTGAATAACAAGGCCTATATGCAATGTTTGGGCTGTTCAAACACTGTGCTTGAAAAGACAGATACATAGAAACTAGATATAGATTGACTTTTAAGGCATCTTTTGTCCTAATGAAGTTCTTTATACCTTCAAGTTTAGGCCCAAATGTCGTAATTAGCATGGAAGTTCTCTTTTCTAAGTAAAAGTGTGAAAAAATTTGGCCTAACTCGGACACTTAAGTTCGAAAAGTATTGTACCACCCGCCACAAAATGGCAGCACTGCCACCAAAATTTCTCAGCTAACCGAAATTCAAATATCTATAGCAAGTTAAATAAATGTTTTAAGATAACTGTTTGGGTCGAAAATAATTGAAAATTTATCAAAGAATAGAAATGAGATTGAAAATCAAGAAAATACGCTATATAATTTCTTACTGATATCAAATAATTTTTTAAAAGTCTTGGTCGCTACTTTTTGTCCTGCGACTTGCCTAAACAGGGACACGTAGGTGTTTCAATGGCACCGAAAGAGTCCTCGTCAAAAAACGGCCGTAAAAATGTCACTTTCTGCAAGTTCAAGGCCAGTAAAGATACGATAATATTGGATCTCAGACACGTCAATGTGATGTTGCGAACGCTTTTTCAAATCATTATGTCGCATAGAAAAGTAACAGCCTCAAAAGTTTTTGATTAAATTTAGCAAGTCTTGTAAAGGATTTAAAACTCTGAGACTGGCCAACAAAGCATTTACAATTTTGATATTCTAAAAACATCTATTTTCAAAATTTAAGCATTAAATATTTCAAATGCTTTCAAGTTATATTTGATTAATTTTGAATTTTAAACTGACGTCGAATGGCTTCAGAAAAGTGGTTTGAATTTCGAAGGTCATATTGCTTACAACTCCGTCGCCATTATTCGTTCGTCGAAGTGGTGCCTCACTTTTTGAACGTAAGTGTACAAAATTGACCCTGTGAAATGCTTTTAAATAGCTCCGTAGAAAGAGAAGGGCTTGTTCTCTGCAAGTATGATATATGATTTCTTTCGCTGTTCCAAAGGGAAAATCTCTCTGTCAAGTCAAAGTATGTTTGATCAAAGTTGCTTGTTTTCAAGAAAGAAATATTGCGGAAACCTTTAAGAGAGTTGTTACCAAACTTAATCACATAATATGTTAAGTGCCCCGTTCTATTATTTCAGTTTTGAATGAATGCACTCAAGGAACTCATAGATGCAGTTCTAATGCTATATGCATAAAAACGACCACATCATACAGGTGCAGTTGCAAGAGTGGATACACGGGGACGGGGATAAGTTGTGCAGGTAAGAATTTGCAAAGATGAAATTGGCGTTATAAAAGCGCGCTATATTTTTGTCTTACATCTTTACGTTTTATGAATGTCTAATATAAAAGATACAAAAATTGAAAACAAATTTTCTCTCGAAAACGTTAAAGATATATTTTATCGATACATCGAGTATCCTTTGTGTAGCTTCCATTCTTTCTGTTTGCATAGAAAGATTGAAATTATTTAAAAAGACAACTGCATTTAAAATCAGCTTATCATGGTCTTATGGTATTATTACCACCGCAAAACATCAAGCAAATTTTTTCTTTAAATTTTTTGAAGATAAAGATAAAAAAGTTATTTAAATAGAATATTCTTAAAAATAATAATGTTTACTGAGACAGTCCATAAATGGGAAAGTAATAGCACTTATTATTTCAAAAACATAAAGAGGAACCCCATTCTGAAGACAAAATAAAAACAACATTGAAAGAGGCACTGTTGCGATTTTAAAAGGATGGTTGTGACTATGTATTTTGCAGATGACGTGCATTCGAATTTTTTACTTTTAGATCTGAATGAATGTACAAGAGGAACCCACAGATGTAGTTCCAATGCTTTATGCACCAATACTATCGGGGCGGATTATGAGAGAGGAGTACTTGGCGAGGCATAGAGGCACATCCAATTGCTTGGCGAGGAACCAGACTTTTGTGTGGCTTGCGAGAGCCGGTGAGTTCGCGTTGTGATCGAGTCGATCATACAGAATTGATTAATAAAAGCAATGAATACTGAGAGAAGGGAACCACAACATAGCATTACTGATTGGGGTACTGCGAGAGAGAGAGCGAGAGGACCTCTAGCGGGAGAGGAGCGATGCTTCGCCCTCATGAAAGCACACCCCACGCGATAGCAGCGAGCAGCACGAGAAGAGATAGACCAATTGTTTGTCATAATCTTAATATTTCGCTCTACCTTCAATTTCTATCTAGAATTATTGCTCAATGTCAAGGCTATAAATGTAATGGAAACTGGGTATGAGTGATGGCTTATCGTCATAAATGGTATGTTATAGTATTGTAAGGTTTGATTCTGAATTTTATAGATGAAAATACATTCAATTTTCTAATTTCAGATGTAAATGAGTGTACCAAAGGAACACACAGATGTAGTTCTAATGCTTTATGCTCGAATACGGCTGGCTCTTATAGGTGTTTCTGCAAAAGCGGCTACACAGGAAGTGGAACCAGCTGCTGAGGTATGAAGAATCATCTCTTTAAGCCAATGAATGTAAAATTATTAGAAGCTTTTCTAATTTTTGCTTCTTTAAGTATATATTTGTACGGAATAGCTATCAACATCCGGCAAGATATTTCGACATAATTGGACGGGAAAAATGTACTTTCTAATGAGGAATAATGTACTTCTTTTATGAGGATATCTAAAGAAAGCAGCAATAAAGATATTCTGATTGTGATACCCATTTTATTGTAGTATCATTTTAAGCTGAAAGCCAAAAGATTTATAAAAATGTCATTGTAAATTAAAGGACAAATGTTTTGCTAAAATGCCCAAGGCTTGATAACTTTTTTTTAACAATAACAACACTCCTTCAATGTTGACAAACAAGGTCTATATGCAATGTATGGCCTGTCCAAACACTGTGCTTGAAAAGACAGATACACAGAAACTAGATATAGATTGACTTTTAAGGCATCTTTTGTCCTAATGAAGTTCTTTATATCTTCAAGTTTAGGCCCAAATGTCGTAATTAGCATGGAAGTTCTCTTTTCTATGTAAAAGTGTGAAAAAATTTGGCCTAACTCAGACACTAACGTTCGAAAAGTATTGTACCACCCGCCACAAAATGGCAGCACTGCCACCAAAATTTCTCAGCTAAGCGAAATTCAAATATCTATAGCAAGTTACATAAATGTTTTAAGATAACTGTTTGGGTCGAAAATAATTGAAAATTTATCAAAGAATAGAAATGAGATTGAAAATCAAGAAAATACGCTATATAATTTCTTACTGATATCAAATAATTTTTTAAAAGTCTTGGTCGCTACTTTTTGTCCTGCGACTTGCCTAAACAGGGACACGTAGGTGTTTCAATGGCACCGAAAGAGTCCTCGTCAAAAAACGGCCGTAAAAATGTCACTTTCTGCAAGTTCAAGGCCACTAAAGATACGATAATATTGGATCTCAGACACGTCAATGTGATGTTGCGAACGCTTTTTCAAATCATTATGTCGCATAGAAAAGAAACAGCCTCAAAAGTTTTTGATTAAATTTAGCAAGTCTTGTAAAGGATTTAAAGCTATGAGACTGGCCAACAAAGCATTTACAATTTTGATATTCTAAAAACATCTATTTTCAAAATTTAAGCATTAAATATTTCAAATGCTTTCAAGTTATATTTGATTAATTTTGAATTTTAAACTGACGTCGAATGGCTTCACAAAAGTGGTTTGAATTTCTAAGGTCATATTGCTTACAACTCCGTCGCCATTACTCGTTCGTCGAAGTGGTGCCTCACTTTTTGACCCTGTGAAATGCTTTTAAATAGCTCCGTAGAAAGAGAAGGGCTTGTTCTCTGCAAGTATGATATATGATTTCTTTCGCTGTTCCAAAGGGAAAATCTCTCTGTCAAGTCAAAGTATATTGATCAAAGTTTCTTGTTTCCAAGAAAGATATATTGCGGAAACCTTTAAGAGAGTTGTTACCAAACTTAATCACATAATATGTTAAGTGCCCCGTTCTATTATTTCAGTTTTGAATGAATGCACTCAAGGAACGCATAGATGCAGTTCTAATGCTATATGCATAAAAACGACCACATCATACAGGTGCAGTTGCAAGAGTGGATACACGGGGACGGGGATAAGTTGTGCAGGTAAGAATTTGCAAAGATGAAATTTGCGTTATAAAAGCGCGCTATATTTTTGTCTTACATCTTTACGTTTTATGAATGTTTAATATAAAAGATAAAAAATTGAAAGCAAATTTTCCCTCGAAAACGTAAAGATATATTATATCGATACATCGAGAGTCTTTTGTGTAGCTTCCATTCTTTCTGTTTGCATAGAAAGATTGAAATTTTTAAAAAGACAACTGCATTTAAAATCAGATTATCATGGTCTTATGGTATTATTACCACCGCAAAACAGCAAGCAAATTTTTTCTTTAAATTTTTTAAAGATAAGGATAAAAAAGTTATTTAAATAGAATATTCTTAAAAATAATAATGTTTACTGAGACAGTCCATAAATGGGAAAGTAATAGCACTTATTATTTCAAAAACATAAAGAGGAACCCCATTCTGAAGACAAAATAAAAACAACATTGAAAGAGGCACTGTTGCGATTTTAAAAGGATGGTTGTGACTATGTATTTTGCAGATGACGTGCATTCGAATTTTTTACTTTTAGATCTGAATGAATGTACAAGAGGAACCCACAGATGTAGTTCCAATGCTTTATGCACCAATACTATCGGCTCATACAGATGTTACTGCAAAAGTGGATACATTGGGACGGGATTTAGTTGCTTAGGTATGGTGTTTACTATACAGAATTATTTATAAAAGCAATGAATCGAAAAAGAGCAAAAGCATTTTGATTTTGTACTGCTAATTAGACACGAAGATATGGAATAGATTCGGCCCTGCAGAAAAAATAAATCCATCTAACACGCTTACAAAGAGGGCCAATTGTTTGTCATAATCTTAATATTTCGCTCTACCTTCAATTTCTATCTAGAATTATTGCTCAATGTCAAGGCTATAAATGTAATGGAAACTGGGTATGAGTGATGGCTTATCGTCATAAATGGTATGTTATAGTATTGTAAGGTTTGATTCTGAATTTTATAGATGAAAATACATTCAATTTTCTAATTTCAGATGTAAATGAGTGTACCAAAGGAACACACAGATGTAGTTCTAATGCTTTATGCTCGAATACGGCTGGCTCTTATAGGTGTTTCTGCAAAAGCGGCTACACAGGAAGTGGAACCAGCTGCTCAGGTATGAAGAATCATCTCTTTAAGCCAATGAATGTAAAATTATTAGAAGCTTTTCTAATTTTTGCTTCTTTAAGTATATATTTGTACGGAATAGCTATCAACATCCGGCAAGATATTTCGACATAATTGGACGGGAAAAATGTACTTTCTAATGAGGAATAATGTACTTCTTTTATGAGGATATCTAAAGAAAGCAGCAATAAAGATATTCTGATTGTGATACCCATTTTATTGTAGTATCATTTTAAGCTGAAAGCCAAAAGATTTATAAAAATGTCATTGTAAATTAAAGGACAAATGTTTTGCTAAAATGCCCAAGGCTTGATAACTTTTTTTTAACAATAACAACACTCCTTCAATGTTGACAAACAAGGTCTATATGCAATGTATGGCCTGTCCAAACACTGTGCTTGAAAAGACAGATACACAGAAACTAGATATAGATTGACTTTTAAGGCATCTTTTGTCCTAATGAAGTTCTTTATATCTTCAAGTTTAGGCCCAAATGTCGTAATTAGCATGGAAGTTCTCTTTTCTATGTAAAAGTGTGAAAAAATTTGGCCTAACTCAGACACTTACGTTCGAAAAGTATTGTACCACCCGCCACAAAATGGCAGCACTGCCACCAAAATTTCTCAGCTAACCGAAATTCAAATACCTATAGCAAGTTAAATAAATGTTTTAAGATAACTGTTTGGGTCGAAAATAATTGAAAATTTATCAAAGAATAGTAATGAGATTAAAAAGTAAGAAAATACGCTATATAATTTCTTACTGATATCAAATAATTTTTTAAAAGTCTTGGTCGCTACTTTTTGCCCTGCGACTTGCCTCAACAGGGACACGTAGGTGTTTCAATGGCACCGAAAGAGTCCTCGTCAAAAAACGGCCGTAAAAATGTCACTTTCTGCAAGTTCAAGGCCAGTAAAGATACGATAATATTGGATCTCAGACACGTCAATGTGATGTTGCGAACGCTTTTTCAAATCATTATGTCGCATAGAAAAGTAACAGCCTCAAAAGTTTTTGATTAAATTTAGCAAGTCTTGTAAAGGATTTAAAGCTATGAGACTGGCCAACAAAGCATTTACAATTTTGATATTCTAAAAAACATATATTTTCAAAATTTAAACATGAAATATTTCAAATGCTTTCAAGTTATATTTGATTAATTTTGAATTTTAAACTGACGTCGAATGGCTTCACAAAAGTGGTTTGAATTTCGAAGGTCATATTGCTTACAACTCCGTCGCCATTACTGTGGTGCCTCACTTTTTGAACGTAAGTGTACATAATTGACCCTGTGAATTGCTTTTAAATAGCTCCGTAGAAAGAGAAGGGCTTGTTTTCTGCAAGTATGATATATGATTTATTTTGCTGTTCCAAAGGGAAAATCTCTCTGTCAAGTCAAAGTATGTTTGATCAAAATTGCTTGTTTTCAAGAAAGATATATTGCGGAAACCTTTAAGAGAGTTGTTACCAAACTTAATCACATAATATGTTAAGTGCCCCGTTCTATTATTTCAGTTTTGAATGAATGCACTCAAGGAACTCATAGATGCAGTTCTAATGCTATATGCATAAAAACGACCACATCATACAGGTGCAGTTGCAAGAGTGGATACACGGGGACGGGGATAAGTTGTGCAGGTAAGAATTTGCAAAAATGAAATTGGCGTTATAAAAGCGCGCTATATTTTTGTCTTACATCTTTACGTTTTATGAGTGTCTAATATAAAAGATACAAAAATTGAAAACAAATTTTTCCTCGAAAACGTTAAAGATATATTTTATCGATACATCGAGAGTCTTTTGCTTCCATTCTTTCTGTTTGCATAGAAAGATTGCTGCAAATCAAATGTATCTTTGTCAATTCTTTAAGATGCGACAGCTCGGCTTATCAACTTTTTGAACAGAATAATGAAAGCTCCTGCCTAATTTGTAAATCAAGAAATGATAAAAATATGCAGGTATTCTTAATCAAATTAACCTAGGAAAGCAACCTTAATGGCTTTCTTCCTCCTTCCAGGTACCGGAAGCAAATGTTTATACCAAATGTGTTTTCTCTTTTTTTGTTAAAAAGCCCTTTTGGCGACCTATGAGAAGATTATTTTCTTAGACAGAAACATGCTAGTCTTGGTTTTGGAAGTAGTTGAATGAACAACTATATTTCACATCAGTATAAGACGGAGACAGCATCGCATTGTAAACAATGGTATTCGTTAATTGAAGACATTTTAGTGCAATAATTAGTAGCACTGTCTTGCATGGACAAGATACAACTGAAGAAAGTAAAGTGTTACAACTGTTATATGATGCTTTATTGTGGCAATCGAAGGTGACAGCATGAAACTAAGTGAATGTCAGCCATTCTTTTGATCATTTAAATTCTTGCATTTGATGCCAAAGATGATGACTCATTAGCAAAGTTGAATCTTCTTTTATTTGAAAACTTTGAGTCAGCATGATATAAGCTATCTACTTATCGTTTCATTTTTTGTTGAAGATTCGGAAATTGATTCAGTTTGCTTAAATAATTAGTGGCCAACTTTTATAATTTTACTTATAGATGTGAATGAATGTACAAAAAGAACCCATGGTTGTAATTCTAATGCATTATGTACAAATACGGCTGGTTCATACCGATGCACCTGCAATAGCGGGTATACGGGCAGTGGAACTACCTGCAGTATCGTCGGTAATATACATTTTATTTTGAATTTTTTAGATTACTTCATCCAAAGGTTTAACCCCCTCCGTAATTTTTTTCCTTCTAGCTAGGACAATGAACATTGGTAAGATGATACTCTTATCTATTATCCACAATTTAATTCTATTGGTTGATTTTTAAGTCACGTTGTTTAACGATGACGTCATCATAATGGCGGCCGGGTGGAGCAAACATTTAGAAAATTTTACAAAATCGTAAAAAATTTATATAATAAAATAAGCAAATTTAACATATTTTCTAACAGAAAAAAGATGATTGACACAATTTGAATTTTATTTCTGAAAATTATTAACGCTCCAACACAAGCACTCAACATCATTTGCAATTGGCTATCGTTCTTTCTGTATAACTTAATGATCGATAGAGCTAAATGTCATGTTCAAGTTAATTTTTAATGCCTAAACTGCCTTGGCTCATACCATCAACTTGCAGTTTTATTAAATTAACTTTTAGAAATATGTCAACAAATATATGCGCAGCAATAAACCATAGAAAACGATGTTGAATTTATATTTTCTGGCCAGAATCATGAAAAGGGCACAAATTAATGCCTTGATACTATTTTTCATCAATACATCTACTTTTGTTACGAATCCGTGGCATATTATACATATTTTTACTTGACGAGCTTTGAAAACGCCCCTACATAAAACCCTGATTAGCAAAAAATTTTCAATTTTTTATATGATTATGTGTCAGACAGGCTAAAACTAAAAGTCAGGAGGTCTGAGGGGTATAGCTTTGAAGCTCGTGAAGTTAGGAAAGAATAACCATTTGTGCCCCCTCCCTTGTCTGGATAGGGTTAATTGCCGTAATCAAGAATTTGGTCTCCTTTCTCTATTTTATCAAAATACTTTATATGTCTTACTGTCTTGCTTCCGAAATAAGTTTTTGATAAACTGGAGTTTTTGTTTTAGATGCTAATGAATGTTCTCAAGGGACTCATAGATGCAGTGCCAATGCTTTATGCATAAATACAGTTGGTTCATACAGGTGCGCATGCAAAAGTGGCTATAAAGGAACTGGAAGTAGTTGCGAAGGTAAGAAATTTGTCAAATGAATTACTAAGTTTACAAGTATCGATAGCTGTAGTAAAAATTTGGAAATTTGGTTTTGTAACTGCAGTATTCTAAAATAGAGAGAAGATTCAGTGATATTGTCTGGTAATTCCACTAAAATGGGCTGATTTAAAAGTGCTTGAAGTGGATGGGTAATTGGCTAGTTATATGAAAATTACTCATACTCTTCAGTGAAATATTGATTTCTTTCTTCTACATATAATTCAAGGTTTTCTTTCAAATATACATCTTATAGTTAATTTGCCCAACCTTTCTGTTTTACTTTTTCTTCCTTAATCATATCATGCTTGTCTTTGTCAGTCTTCTTAAATGGTAACGTGGGTATGAGTATATATAAAATAAATAAAGCACTTATGCCAATAAAAATATTTTTTAGCAGCGGATGATGTTGCCTCATCTAAGACTGTTGCCTCGAAAGATTCTTCTTCTTCGACTGACCTTGGAAAAGCAATTGGTGGATCGATGGCAGGTTTAGTTCTCGTCCTTGGTATTATTGCTGAGTTAGTTCATTTACGTCGTAAAGGGTCCCGTAATTCTGAGCAGAACCAGGCTTCTCTGAGAACGCAGGGAGATGAGCCTGGAGCACGTTACAACGCAGCCAGCAATAATCATGATGATGGCCAGGTGGAAATACAGTCAGACCCGTCTAATAGTGTCAAATACAAAACAAAATGTGACAGTCCTGCTCGTCAACAAAAAGTATAAACGTCTTGATCATCAGGAGTACGTATAGACATAGCACAATATCGTAGAAATATTTTTACCGTTGTTTAATGATGCCGAGAAGCTGTTCAAGGATGCTCAATAGTCAACTAGCTATCAGATGTACCACTACATAGTATAAAACTGGTAAAGCAGCGTTCACATCTTACGCATGCAATTCACTTATTCTATAAAAGGGTTTTTATCTTCTCAAAATTATATATCGTGTCGCAATAAGTATTGAATCAAAATATTTGCCGTTCATTATGGAGAAAAGCTCTACAATTATAGGCGGTATAGAAAATGTGAAATTCAATTTGTGATGTTTTTCTCAATTAGCGCTCTCGACAAAAGCAGGTGCTAACTTTCTTGTTTTTACCTTATTCTTCAAAAGAGCACCAAAGTGTGACGTCACCAAATTAAGTTGCCTCTTAAACACCTGACCAATTTTTAGAAAGCACAATCTTAAAGAGAAGTACAAATCAAAAGACATCATATAATGTTCAACCAACAAAGTGAGATTTCATAAATATTTTAGCATTGGTACTGTCGATTGTCTGGTCTTGCAGAACTTTTTCTTTAGAATCGTAACTGCAGAATCATAAATTCCTTCTACTGACCCCCTCAATTGACATGACAGATTTACGGCCCTAAATAGCATTCATCTTTCCAAGTAATCAAAATTGAAATTCCTCAGTAACTAGACTAATGAACAGATTTTTTCACTTTTTGAGAATTCCAGTTAAAGTTTTGCTGGGAAATGCTGCCATTGTTTAAAATATGCATTTCTACTTTTGTAAATGTACTGGGTATTCACAGAACAATGTCATCGACTGCAAAAAATACCGAAGAAATATAATTTCAAATGAGATTCAATTTTGATTGTTAAAGGCCTTATGAAGACATCGTTACTAAAATTTATTTTCGTTTTTTAACAAAATTTGACCACATAAGCAGAAAGAGAGAATCAGCTAGATCCATGATTGATTACTAGAAATATGGCCACATGAGTGTAGTCCCTGGTTTCAATCTCTTGAACGAACTTAAAACTTCAAATCATCCATTGAATCATCTCACTTTTAATTTGGTGAAATAAATATTCTGAAAATAGATTTCTAAGACATTATCATTATTATGGGTGTATCAATCTATTGAGAATTGTGTGCATTAGTTTGTATTTAATCATATCTAGCAACAGCAATCAGGTCTCTGTTTTAAAGTAGCAATTAATAATTCCTGAATGTTGAATGTAATCTAATTGTCCCTATATGAGACAACTTTTAAATGTCACGCTTTTATACTGCAAATTATTTTTATCAAGTTATTGGTTATATTCAGTTTATATTTGGATCTTGAAAAGTAATTTTCAATTCATAAAAATAAGGATTAAACATTCTATAAATAAACTCGACATCTTTATGTTGCAATCGTTTTCTTACCTTGCTAAAAATTCTTTGTACAGCTATTTCAATGTTCAACTTTACGTTCACTTCCTTAAGTAGTTTCAATTGACTACCACGGTTGTATTTACATATCAATGACATCTTAGACTGTAAGCTAAACAACAGGGAAAAGTTCTTTCTGTTAAGTTGCATGTGTATTGCTATTTAGAATGAATACTTTAACACTTCTATATGCATACCATGCTCTGTTTAAGATTTTTTTCATAAATGTAACCTTATAAATCAAAAATGGCAATATAAGTGGGTTTTAGCAAGAAAAAGAAGATTCTTTGGCAAACTTCAAGCCGTAATTAAAGCAAATCGTAACTACCCTCTTCAGTTGAACTCATTTTATCAAGGACTGGACTGTTAGAATCAAAGGTTCTTATTGCAAGGGGTATAGCTTTGACTTTGCCATGTTATATGAAAAAACTGCAATACAATTTTCTCTCTCTATTGCTTAATGCAGAATTCAACAACAAACAATGCAGAGTTCTGGAGAGCCCGTAGCTCGAAATACTAACGAAAAAGCTTTTTCTACAGTTAATTTTGAAGAAAGTATGGAAAACCGAAAACATGTCATACCAAAGTACTTTCTGTTCGTCACTCCTTCGATTATAAACATCGGATAAGAACCAAGGTAAGCAGGGATGTCATATCTAGAGGTGGATCAAAAGAAACTGTTTGATTTTTTGTGTTTGACCAATCGGGGGTCTCTAACCTAACTCTTTCTGTCTAAACTTCAGTATCAGCGTAATGAATAATGAAAGTTTAGTGGCTTTTCGTGTAGATCTTCCCCGAATAACATTGTCTTGCTAAAATACAACTGCCTTAAAATGAGCCTGAAATGCAATAAATGTTGCCCGAGGAGAAAAATGCAGCCCCTGAAGCTTCTGTCTTCTAGATCAATGCAGTTCGGGGTGTTTTGCTTGGACAATTTCAAAATAGCTAAATAGCGGCAACCTTGCTCACTTAATGATTGAAATTCTAAATGTTTGGTTTTTGAAAAGTAATATTTGCATCTTTTTTTATAACATTTAAAATTTCCAAAATGCATAGAGCTTTCTTTAAAGTTAGAAAAATGAAACTGTCAGAGGAGTTTTATTTATAATATTTATGTAGAATTTCGTCCAAATCTTATATAAATAATATCTATGTTTATACAGAATGTTTTATCTTGATGTTTTTTTCTATGTAATTGAGATAAAATTATTGGGTTATGCACACTAAAGCAGGAGAAGCTGCAATCTACAGCCAAAGCTAAATCCTAATTCCACTACTGATTGAATATATTTTAATTCATATGACACCATTCGCACGAATGAAATTATGTCATGAAAATGCAACATACAACAACAGTGGCATACAACATAGGTTGATGTAAAAATTTTAAAAAAATTATCATAGCTACGTGTAATGTAAAATGGCTAACCCATCGTTGATAGTGAGCGTTTCAAGGCCTATGATCAGTGATAAACACTATTCAAAATGATAGTGATTAAGCATTAAAATGAAACTGTTGTTTGTATCAGTTTGTGGTTAATGATCATGTTTGATCGATAATTACGACATCGTTGATTCCAAATCTATCACAAACTGGATTAATAGGCAGCTGAGTATTGTGGAGGAAAAGTGTTTTCCTTTGGAGGTAGCGATCCTGGGTAGAAACTATTTGGTACCTGGCCTGTAGCAAATTGAGGCTGCTGAGTCGCCCATGTCACTGGAAAGTTTCCCTCGTTGAATAGAACGACTGGAGCATGCATTTGCTGTTGATCACGAGGAACATTTGCTGCAACATTGGTGGCAGCAAATGCGACGGCTGTTGGCCCTTGTGACGGGCTCTGCTGTTGGGCTCCACAGGAATTTCTCGCTCTTTTCCTCCAACAACATGCAGCAACAACGATAAGTATGACGACCGCAAGACATCCAATAGCTATACCAACATAAGCTCCGACCGATGTTTTTGATGATGTGCTATCTGACACATTTCCTTAAAAATAATGTTAAAGCATCAATGTTAGATCTTCTCAGCCCTTCTACTTTTAGCACATGCTTTTTCTAAATGTAACTTTTTCAATAAAACCAAGCAAACAGAGTCTAATATATCGTGGGAGAAATATATACTAATGTCTACCGACCCCTAAAAAGAAGTGAAATGAGAAACAGTACGCCCCATCATTCTAGAATTTTTTAAGATGGTAGGGTGGATGAAGTATAAAGTAGAGATATCAAATTGATAAAGGTAAAAAAATAAGATGTTGGCTGGCTTGCAGCTGTAGAGGGTAGGGGCTTGTTTTGATACAATAGTTCTCTGTTTTTGAACAAAGTAACTTGTTATCCCATTTTCTCCCTTCATTTCAAACATGGATAATGCAGATTTCATCTATTCACTTGTACAGTGCAGAAAATGGCAAATTTCCTTTTAAAAGTTCCGCTTAAAGTTAACAATTTAGATCCTGAACAAACTTTAATGATATTCTGCATAGTACCTAGCCCGCCCTCTGCCTCTTTTTTCGTCAGTTATTTTAGGTATATATGTTTTTACAGGGCTGGTCCTCCCACTTTGCCAGCCCCCCCCACTTTTTGGCATGGCAAAATAAAATATTTTTCAAAAAAGTGGTAGAAAATGTAGTATTGAAATATGCCTAGTATTCCCTTAAATATGGCCATTGCTTTAGCTTGCTCACTACTTCTTAACCATGGAAGGATGAAATAATTGAGCATTGAATTAAGAAATTGGTCATTGTCCAAGTAGTGCAACGAGTAACAGCTTGGCTTAAGAATACATCTAGAAACCTGATCGAGAATGACCTAGTTCCAGTACAAAATGATGGAGTTTCGTTTTTTCTATGTCTTTAACTTGCCTCAAAAGGTCTATTTTCACCGGAAAATTTAAAAAATATAAAACTTTAAAAATCAAAAACTTTGAAAAAATATAAAAATCAATAGCCTTTTATTTATAACGACCAAATGCTTTTTAACAGTAAAAACCGAAACGCTTACTGTAAGCCATGTACCCAGCCATAACCCCTCGGTAGCCAATTTGGGTGAATGGCCTGTTGAAATAAAAGTAGACGTAATGCTTTGTAGATTTGTAAATGGCCGGAGATATTGTTTCGGAAAGTCTTCCTGTCAAAGTGGAGCCACGACTGTCCCAGCTTGAGACAGATCCATACCTTGTAGAAGATTCTAAAATGCAATGTTAAAATCACTAGATGTATTACAAAGGCTGTTTGTTTACTGAGTTCTTTTACAGTAGAAGAAAAACTTAGCCAGCAGATACATGTCATAAGAAAGGAAGCATACTTTTGTTGTTTACACTTAATCAAATCTTAGTGCTGTGAGTTTGGTAACAGAACGGGCCCATTCAGCGGCGTCTTGGGAAATCACTGTTAGGGAGGGGGAGACACATCTTGCAGATTTTTCGAGAACGGTATTTAATTAAAATCAAGACCTCATCATAGGCACATCGGAGCGTTGAGAAAAGTTGGGGTCTAAAAAATTGGGGGGGGGGGCGAATAAAAAGTGGCTTGATTTGTGAGAAATTGGTAAATTTATGCATTTTTGGCAAAATGTGGGTAGACCTATAGCCCCCCAGCCCCCCCTCCCTTCTCCGTGGTGCCTGCATCAAGCGCATACACAAATTGCTTAAATGCAAAAGGCTTGCCAAACAATATGCATTTTTTGCAGCATTACTTTTTTGGATTTGAAGATGCTGGTCAAAGGAAAGCTTTCATCCGTATTCGAACCTTGGATAATAATAATCATTAATAATCAGTATCTGTGATGAATAGTCAGGGTCCCATTAGGACTGATAATTAATATTCTAAGAATCTAGAGAAATGAATTTCGCAATTTTCAGCGCATGAGTCTTCTCTTCAGACATAGTATGTTAGCAAACTTGCCAATTACTTCATCATGTTTGAGCATCAAATAAGTCAAACGAAACACTTATTTAACCTCTCTTGGCCCGTTGTTTGTTGCAGCCTGTTTTTCACACAATTGAACATTAAAAGGTCTATTTGCATTAATTTATACCAATTTGCAAGCTTACCATTTTTTGAAAAATGTACAGATTTTGATAGGCAGACTGAAAATAAGAATCTACGAGTGTACGTCTTCAGAAAACTTTTTCTGCTTATATCTTTCTTCTTACGCTGATTAGTTTCTTTGAACTTTATTGTTTTTCCATGAATTACAAATATTCTATTGCCAAGCAGATAAAAAATTACTTGATGGTCGATGATAGGGGTGCACACGCCCCCTGCCCCCAGGCCACGATACCCACGGGTCCATTCTTATTTGGGTTGTCTGTAACCATTTGCTTTAATTTTTGTTAATCGCACTCTCATCTGTTGAGATAGTTGGGAACAGAACTGCTCTGAAAAGTGGCTTTTTTACAGCAATGAGCTCGGCTACTGATCGCAAATGTATTTTTTTATATAATATTACCGTTTTGAACTTTCCCAAATATTACAAACTCCATCTCCTCTCTCTTATCCAGAAAGCTTTGATAACATAGGAAAATATAATTATCGTTTATCACAGAGCTTTCTACCATAAAGTTTATAAAATGATCGCATTCAGTTTTTGATCAAACTTTAACAGCTGCTTTACAACAAACTTCGGTAAATAAGCATTGCTTTCCATTTGACAATGAATTGAAACAATCAATAGTAATTAAAATATCTAGATACCATATCAAAGGATACCCCTAGTTACCAAAAAGGAAACCTGTAGGGGTAGGTATACCTTTAACTTCAACGTAGGAATCGTACAAAGAAACATCCATGATAGCAATTCTGGCGGCATTGGGGCCAGCCTCAAATCTGTGCCAACAGGGTATGCTGGTTGCATAATAGCTGTATGGCCAGCCTGATGTGAAAACATTGCCTGATAAACTGTAACTGAAAAGAGATCAGAACGAAATTGTAGAGCAAAGAATTAGAAGATAGGAGCAGAGAAGTGTAACGTTTGTCACACAAATAATCATTTATGGCATTAAAATTTATGTGGTTCTGGTGATTAAGCTCAATTATCGCAAAGCTTGACCTTCCATACTAAGGAAGGGCGGGAGAGTTTAAGGGAATGTAAGTCATCAAGAGTCAAATTCGCTATGGACAAAGTTGACAAGAAGAAAATAAGGGGCTATTTTACCTAGGGATATGTGATTTCATCGAATAATTAACGATTTAATAGTCCAGCTGGAGATTTACCGGTTAGCGCATTAAAAGTTTGGGGGTTTTACACCCCCAATTCACTCCCACTAGCTACGTCTCTGCATCTAACAAAGCCCCCCCCCCCCCTTAGCTTTTTATGCAAATAAGCTAACCAAAGTTATCTACTCTGTCGCGTATTGGAAACTACTTCGAACCTAAAAAATACTGGAACATAACATAACCACAGGAATATATGCTTCAACTTTTGGCCATTAGATTCTGCCAATCGCTTGTGAATTTTTTGTAATTCTATAAACATGCTATTGCCTTAGTAAAGTGCTTAAAATTTGGTTTCTCATTGATTGCATGAAACATTTTGGTTTTAGGAGAATCAAATTTCTATTTTTATTTCCCAAGTAATACATGCCGCTTTACGGATGTTGAACACTTTATCACCCTTAAGACTTTCTAGGTTTCCAATCAATAGCTAAAGTTTATGATAAAGGAAAACCCACTTAGAATATCAAATTAAATGAAAAAAAACTTACTAGCATTTTCGGCTGCGTGATCCACCCATTGGTGATCCTAACTTGCTCTTTAACTGGTATGTCAATGAAAACCCGGACCGTGTAACCGAGCTGTCTGATTTGAAGACGATCTTTGCGTATCCATCATGGGAATACATGTCGAATGGCTTACTTGCAATGATGTTATCAGAGCAGTACCTTCCAATGCTTTTATAAGAGCTAAATATTCAAGAAAAATAACAGTTTTAGTACAATATAAGATGGGGCTTGCAGGCGATAGAAGTAAATTACTTTGCATCTGTTATTACGGTGCTGTTACCAAGCCGAAAGAAGATATAGAAGGTCAATATGAACAATAATGCTATTTTCCGCCGAAGAAGATTGTTTAGCTGAAGCCTTGAAGGCTCTTGCGCAACCGGCATGCTTTGCAACTATAATTTAAAGAACCGGCCTAATATCACACTACATGAAAATACAAAACACAGTCAATTTCTCAAGACAGCTGCCGCTAAGCACGACGGTTGCTTAAAGCCTTTAAACTTGCAATACCATTTTTGTACCAGACAACCCCCGTACACATTATCTGAATAGGCTGCCCTTAGTTGCAATGCTTTTGAGCCCGAAACTGTCTTTGCTTCAAAGGAATCATCGATCATAACGAAAGGCATACTTATGCAAATTTGCCTAATAAAAGGTAAGACATATCTCACGATTACTGAAAGCTTCCAGAATTATTTCCTAGCAATAACGATTTGGAGACAAAGACAATGCAAATATGTTCTTAATGAGAAGTTCCATAAGGAAAAAACATACCTACAAATCCTTAACTTTTATAGAGCAAGAATACAATTGACGTTCACAAACGAAAATGTATGCAACAGATGTGTAGAGGCATTTAAATGCCTCAACTGTTTTGGATCGTCTGACTTTATGAAAAACTCACAACATTTAAAAAACTAGCAAATTTTGGAGACAGTGGACATTACTAAATTTCACAATGAAATATCAAATTGATGGAAAATAATGAAATTCTGAAAATCCGAATTTTCAAAATTCTAATGCTTATTGATTTTTTAGTTTCAAAATTCAAACTTTTGATGTGCCTCCATCCGATTTTTTTTAAAGAAATTGACAAAAATTGTGCAATTCTTACAGTGGCGTAACAGAGAAGTGTGAGGCGCTTAGTGAAAGTTTAGTTGTTGGGTCCTTATACTTAACTAAATTTGAGTCAGGTTTTACAGCCTTAAAGCCCAAAGAAATAACATACAACAACATATGAAGATAAATCCTGCTGCCTAAGATATCTGTTATGCTCTCTAATGGTGGCATATAAAATCAAATAACAACTCTTCTCCTTCCCTAATTCTTTGAATGTGAAACTTTATCAAAATATTAAAGAAATCTCTGACAGTGTGAACAATGAATATTTGCTTATGCTGCATTCTAATCGGATGCATTTGATTGGTTAAATTCCAACTAATCAAATGAATCCGATTTGTTGGATCGACCAATTAAAAGGCTCCATTCAATAACCTGACTTAGTTAAAGCTGGTTTAATATGAATTTAAAAGATACTGTCAAAATTAAACTATTAGACTTCGAATGAACTGACTTCTTTGCTGCCAAAAATGCCAACATACCTTTAAACTTTTCGTCTCCTGGGGTCCTTATGACTAATGAAGAATATTATAGGTCATAGATGACGAAACATAATCAATGCAAAGTCTGTGAAATTTGCTCGCAAAAGTCTAGAGTAGATAAATAAACAATATCAAACTGCTTTATTGAGAAAATCAATCACATTTTTAATATTAAAATTCAATCAAATTCTCGTAAATTTGAAACAAAATTTAATAACACACGTAGATGTGCATTTGAAGGAAACCTAATTGACATGCTATATCTTACATCATCATCATATGGTTTTCACATTCACAAATAATATCAAGTCTTACGCTCAGTCTAATGATGATGTTTCCTGTAAGCTTGTGAAAAAGATGTAACTGATCAAATTGACCTTGCTAAAGTCGCCAATAAATTGAAAGCTCAAAGATAAAGGCGATTAAACATTTCTGACATTCAACTCAGTATAGCGTCTTAGTAGCCGTAGTATATCTCGAGCTTCGAACGAGCCTAGCTAATAGCCATATTAATTTTCTGCATGTGGTGCTTGATGTCACTTGTCACTTGACGTCCCTAAACACACTAAAATCATATATATTACACTTCACTTGAAACAATTTTTTGCCAAAAGGAAATGATTTTGCTGATAAATAATTCATTTGATTGAATGTAGTTCGGGTTGTTTTGCGATAACCTTTATTTGAGCACCTACAATTAGAGAAACTTTCAGGATTTGCAGTACTTGGCATACTTTTGGCATGCCCCTCCAGTCTTTTAAAATTCTTGTAGATTAAAGGAAATTTTATAAATTTAAATTCTTGTTACGAGGAGCTCAAAAGAAGCTGTAATTCATTTTTAAGGATTAATCTATAATTGATTTTTTGGCAAAAAGATGCTCATGGATTCAACCAAAAAATGCAAAATCCACAAAAATGAGTTTCCGCAAACTCAATTTTCTTATACTTTCGCGCCATATTTGCTCTTAAATTGTTATCATTAAGTTTGAGTTTGATAATCCTTTGTAAATAAATTTTCTATGGAGAAAAAGTTGGTCAAAAAAGTATAGTTGGTCACTTTTTTTCTGAACGCCCTCACAAGCTAAATGGTCTAAGGCACAACACTGATCGCAGGACAAAGCTAGGCTTTTATGCTTAACATAGATTTTTAGGTAAAACATCTCACTACTTTATGGCTAGAATGGGTTTAAATTTGGCCTTATCATATCATAACTTTATTCGACCAACTAGTAACTTAAAGCCAATGTATACAACCAAACTAGATATGTGCATTTTAGAATTTAGGAAAAATTTAGGAAAGCATGCTGCCTATTTTTAAATTGCAGGAGACCAGCCCTGAAACCAAAGGTGTTTCAGGCAATGTTAGAGAAACTTAATGACATCATCAAGTAAATAAGCAAATAGTTTATAAAAGTCCCAGATTTGCTTTTAAACTTTTATTTATCTTATTGCTTTTCTATATAAAACAGTCAGCTCAGCAATTTCATGCTGAAGTCAGTGTTGCGGAACTGAACTAAATTCACATCCAGGGTGAAATTAAATTTTTAAGGGCCATGTTGATGACTTTGGCGAGACGTGTTGGTGAAGAGAAGTGCTTTTACTGACAATGGCGCAGGGTCTCAGCACAAAAGCCCCTTAATTTGTTCAAATCCATACGTACAAAAGATTTAAATAAAAGGCTTTCAGTACGTTGTGCTCTTCAGATTTGCCCCTGGTACATATCACAGAGATTATGGAGCCATTTACTACAACATAGTAAATTCAAACCAAAACAACATAATTTCTGGCATCTTTTTGGAAAAAAGTTATCATTTGCACATAAACGATTTTTTTCCTGACACACGGAATACACGCTTAACATAATCATCATGCTTCTGAAACCATGCAAATGTACTTAAAACTAGCCAATTGCAACGATTTCGATTGTAATTGATTTACATTGAATCTAATTAAAAATTGCTGTTTATCGGTTTTTCATAAAGTGCTCGATGCCGTGTAGACAGGGTTTACATTTTTTCAGACAGTTACAAACCAGGCCACGGTTTAAGGCAAATTGTTACGCTCCTACCATTTTTTATTTCAACAGGGTATTCATTGTACTTTTTGGATTTCCTCGATTGAAAAGCCTGTTAGCCCGGCAAATTGGCAAATAAATGCAAAACAACTATTACCTTGTGAGAAAAACTTCGACGTAGTCTTTGCAATTTGGCATATTTCCTTCAATGTTGAAAGATATCCATTTGATTTCCAAGTAGTAATCGGACGGCGAGTAGGTGCCAAACGGACTGATGTAAATGGTGCAATGATCGTTATTCGTGTAATGAACATTTGAGATGACCTGCAAGAAGGGGTGAGCATACTCTGTGGAACTGTAGCAGACACCATCGGCATTTCGAAACAAAACTGCCAGAAGAGGCCACATAAAAGCTGTACTTAACTTCATTCTTGTGAACTTTTACACACAAAGGTGTAACTCGCTTGAAAAATTTGAGCTTTCTAAGTATTGGATTTGTGTCTTTGTCTTATAAGCATCTTCAAATGGGAACTTCTTACCCCCGGCGAATGCGACTAATCGTTTCACTTTGCACGTACGTCGTTAAATTCAATTACAAATTGAAGTATATCAAGTGGAAAAATTTCTGAGAAATTGTTAGAAAAAAAAATTAAATAACTGGTTTCGTTATGACAACCCTAAAACTATGTTGTTTTATTTTTCACAGTGATATTAAGTCGCCGAAGGCTTCTGCGCGGTTTTAAGAGAAAAATCAAATCGCACTCAAGTCACCCAAGAAGATTCATTTGGTATTACGAGAACATGACATCCCCTTGCTAAAAAAGGTTATCGGAAAACTCCTCCAAAGTAATTCAATCAAAATTTGAACTATCAATGAAGGCTGTTTATGCTATGCTAATACTCTTGATAAAGGACTATATTTTGCATCGAAGTTTGTATATGTTTACTGTCCAGGGCCGTCGCAAGGCAAGCCTTGTTTCTTTTTGAGGGGGAGGGGGGTAGGCTACAAATTTATTTGATTGAAGAATTATTGTCTGAAATTTTTTAGTTTATGTCACAAGTCTCTGCAATACATTTTGTCAATACATTTTGATAAAGCAACTGGTACAATTTCGCTGTTGTCTTGAAAAATACCATGTGTTACTTCTAAAGCTAGGAAACAAGCAGCACTTGTTGTCAATTTAGATCCATCTTTCCATCTTAGCATGCCTTTCGAATGTTGAAAAAAATTTGGAGCCGATAGTGAATTGCAGTTGACCCTTCTACCGAGAAACTCTAGGGGAAATAGACACAAGATGCACGTTTACCTCAAGAAGGCCTGGATTTTTGGATTTAGTGCCAACAAGAAATCTTAAAATCTTCAAACCATTCGTTTATTTACCTTCATTCATATCAAGGAATATCATGTTTAACCAACCGAGCAACTAAAATTGCTTGATCTTTTATTGATTTTATGATATAAAGGTCTCTGAAATACCTAAAGCGTTTTTACACCGATCGGATTTTACCTGAAATTTTCTATTGAGATGCTATTGGGGGTGTGAAACCCCCACCCCAATACACCCCGGTCGCGACGCCCCTGATACCATAGATTATTCTGTGCTGATACTGCCAAATGATTTGACCTTTAATTTAGGCCACCAGGTTACCACTGAGCGAAACCTCTTCTCAGATAGACGCTTCTTCACCGCTCCTAGTTTTTTAATAGTTTGTTGCATTTTTTCTTCTGCCTATATTCCCTTTATTTGTTGTTTGTCATATTTTTATTTCACTTGATTTTCATTTTCATTGTCTTACTTCATTTGTACTGTTTTTTTCGAATTATTCCTATGAAGATCTTGTATGAAGATGTCTTCTCATTCTATTCTCTGTTGGGAAATACGTTTAGAATTATTTCCTTTGCCTGATAACCTGTTTCTCTATAGGAAAACTTTCTAAAACCGGTTGCAGTAAATACGCTTGCTGCATCATGACACATTATATTTATTCTAATTTGTGATTATAAAAAATCTTATTCATAAAAAGATCAAAAGCAGTTTCAGACATAACATAAAGATTTCTGTCTCTGCTTTCAAATCATCTTGACAACAGGGGTATTGTTCTAAAACGTTAAAACTTCTCTGATGAGTTTATAAACCATTCAATATATTCATCGACTCTTAAAAGCTGATAGAAATTAATGGAAGGTCAAAAGTATTCTAGCTTGTTTCAAGGAGGCCAACCTCACCTACCTCCCACAAAGAAACATCTCTGAAATTTCAACTAAGGGCTAAGCTCCAAGAGTTTCCTCCATGGCATGGATATATAGAAAACCTGAAGAATTCAAATAGATAGAATGTAGCTTGAAAGCAGTGGCGAAGCCAAAGGTCCTGCTGGTCCTGCTGAGCAGGACCAAGAATTTCCAAAGATAAGGTTTACTGTAGACAATAAACAATTTCTTCTTTGCAGAAAGGAAGTTTCAAATTCTATTTGATAAACAGTCCCCAGTTCCGCCAGCTGATACAGGCATCCCGTGCTAATCTCAAGGTCCTGTTCTCTTCTACGGCAGCCCTGTATTTCGGTCCTGCTCATAACTATGATACCCTATGTTTGGTCCTGCTTCACAATGGGCTTTTGTGAATTTAGTCCTGCTTCACAATAGTCTAGAACAAAGAGCAGTCCTGCTCAATCTCGGGAGCAGGACCTTGTCGAAATGATCATCATTACATTTCGTAAGCAGTAGTGATTTGATTGGTTGAGGGTTCACTTACATTAGGTCAAAAGGTATTGTTTTGAAAACCTTTGGTCCTGCTATTTCTGAGAGCAGGGCGACTGATTGCTATGTTGAATACCGATGAACTGAATGCTGAACTGCTAGTATAAAGGTGTATTTTTCTACCTGAATTGTTTACTCGTCTAATGGTTTGGCTAATGAAGTTGTTTTCATTGATAACGCGACACATTATTCAATTGTACCTTTCTTTGTCAGCTGCAGAATAATTGTTCTGCAGAATTTGTGAACTTGCCCCTACAGACTTTAAACTCTATTGTTTATTAAAATTATTTTAATAGAGTATCTAGATTGGTCAGGTATTTTAATAGAGTGTCTAGATTGATCTAGATTGGACCAAAATCTTGAATAGTCTAATTAGACTATTTCAACTACCACAAATATATGATATGCAACTTCAAATGTCACCCTTACCCCCTTTTATTGTCAAATTTAGTTAACACCAATTTGAACTTTTACTTCAGCTGTAGAGGCTTACTACAATTTAACATAGATTTGTTTGAAAAGTAAGCACCCTGAAGCACGTCTTTTAGTATGGGTTTATTTTGCAAAAGATAGACATGGATTTAGAATATGCTTTTTACTGCAAAAAAGTTCATCTACAAAAAAGAATTTTTGTTCATAGGCGTTTCCTATTGAATAGGGGCGTGGCCTTGTACATACAGCAGGACCAACAATTTTTGGCTAGCTTCGCCACTGCTTGAAAGGTAAGTTCAATGAGGGAAAGAGCTGGCACATTGTAGTTAAAAGTTTAACTATGGACATCCTGAGCAGTGAAGTCACCGAGTGAAAACCTCATTGTTTCTACATTGAACAGGTTATTGCAATTAAGCTCTTTAACCTCACTATAATCTTGCGTTATTAAACAACTGTAATGCTAAAAAACTGCAAAAATTTGATGATTTGGATTAGAAACTAAATAGAAGTGAAACAATTATGCCACAGTCTAGCGATCATCATAACTTTCAAGGGTGATAATGCAGCAAGGGTGAAATGAGAGTTCTTGACGCTTTCGGCTGGAGCTTTTTATGAAGAAAAATGTTCAAGCCCGAGCGATGAATTTTGATTGATATAACACTTTTAGGCAAAGTTTAAATGTACGCTATCACTTTTAAGTTGTTGTGCTAACATGTTTTATGCAACAATGTTGGATGATGTTTTATGCCAAAGTTTTATTCGTTTGAAAGATACAGGAACAAAGCAATACGACGACGAGAATCCAATGTCACGAAATAAATTTTCAAAATAAATTAAATTTAAGAGCATACTAGTATACTCTTAAATTTAATTTATTTTGAAAATTTATTTAGTGACATTGGATTCTCGTCGTCGTATTGCTTTGTTCCTGTATACCTTTCATTTTAAATCTCATTGCAAGATTCACAGAATCCGGCGGACAGCCTATCCTGCGGTTCTTCCTTCTCACACTTTATTGGTTTGTCTAGGGCTTTATTGCTTATCTAGTCATACCTAAAACGAAATGAGCAATCCATGAGATCAAACAACACATACGTTCAATATCTGGTGTTCCCCATGGCTCAGTGCTAGGCTCTAATCTTTTCAATATATACATAACAGATCTCTTTCTATACTTAAAACAAGCAACGCTGTATAATAACGCTGACAACACGCTTGTTTTTTTCTCTTTGGCTCTGACAGATCTGGTACGTGCTGTAGAGGAAGAAGCAGGCGTTGCATTAGAATGGCTAAATTATATCCATATGATTCAGTTCAGTTCAGTTTCATATTTTAAATTCTCCACATACAATTTATCATAACAAAACTAATTGATAGAAACAATTTACTAAACTACAATAATAACAATAATGCACCTAAAATTAAAACAACATACAAATACCGAACAAAGAACAAGATAAATTGTATGGGGGGAATTACTTAAAGGAGGAGCTCTCTCAGTAGTTAAACTAATCGAGGAGAGAGCACCCCCTGTTTCAAAAATTTCTCATACAGATTCGATTATTTTAGGCATAAAAGAAACTATGGGCAGATGGTGAATTTATATAACAATAAGTTTACAATCAACTTTGATAAATGTTTTGAAAGAGGAAGGCTTTGAGTTTCCGTTGAAAAACATGATTGCAAATCCATCGAGTTCCATGTACTGTTGACTAAAGATAAAACAAATACTAGTGGCACGAAAAAAGTATTTAAGAAAAACAATTGACATTGAAAAGTCAGTCAATCTTCTTGGAATATAATTAGACTATAATTTAGAATTTGATCTGTTTAGAAAAATTGCAATCAGCTTAAGGTTTAAAAGAGGCTTCGATTTTCATCAGCTTTCTTTCACGAGAGAAAAGTTCTCGTCCAGAGCTTTGTTTATTCAAAATTTAACTACTATTCTTTTGTTATGACATTTTTGTTGGCGAAATTCATGCAAAAGATTTAACAAATACAAGAGCGGGTAGAGTTCTTTATAACGATTACGTTAGCTCGTATAATGACCTTCATATCAAGTCTCAGCGATGCACAATGCATGTTTCCCGACTTAGAGATCTCTCTTTTGAAATTTGTAAGAATCTGAATGGTCTGAGTCTACCCTTCATGAAAGATATTTTTCAAGTTAGATTCTCTAATTATTCATTGCGAAATCCTAATAATCTAAGTCATCATAAGCCAAATTGGAAGCCAGGCTTCTTTCGTCAACAACAGTCTCAAGTCTCAAGTCAACTTCCATCTAGCAGTTTTGGAGTCAATCTACATAAAAACGAAAAAGCCGCCATTGTGTAGACAAAAGGAGTTCGTTTTCTCTCTTGGACTCCATTGGTAATTTTTCTTTAGGCTCGCGGCACTGATGGGTCAACTATACCGGTCTTGTGCTTGCGTTTTTCTGATTGGCCTATTTCGATCCACAACTGGGTATATATTTTTCAAACGTGTTTTTTCGGAACCTTATTCTGACGTTTTATGCTCTGAGGAGTGTCAGACGAAAAAGCTTTAAGTATGTTGTAAAATGTTTGCTTTTTTCAAAGCCAGTCTCAAGTTCTTAAGACCACCGAATGGAACTGCTTGCCAAATAAACTAAAATTGTCAGGCAAACTAGACGCGTTGGAACGCTTGATAAAACAACAGGACAGTCCTAAGTGCAACTACAATACCTGTCTTTTAATTTTAAATAATCTACCAACCACGCAGAAAAAGAAATCGTACGATTTTTTTGAAAACTTTACTTTAACCAACGTATTGTATTTAGCCAACGTACCTTTTACTCTTTTTTAAATTTACTTTAGCCACCGGTTTAAATTAGTTTACTTGTTCATTTGTATTTTGTAGATTAACTATTTGTAATCGATGGACAATAATAATGCAACAACAACAAGATGTAGTTTTTTTCGAGATTGATTATGAAAATATTGGGAAAATCTGGAACCCGTCATTTGCATATTCGGGACAATAGGCTTCTGCTTCCTCCCAAAATTTCAGCATGATATACTTTGTGATTTAAATCTATTGCTTATGACTGTGCCAATTTATTTTTCTCCTCATGCAAGGAATGTCCCAATCTCGTTAGGGAGACGAATCCGCATTGGTCTAAAAAAAGACATCTAAGATGTTTAATATCTCTTTTGATGGGACTGATTTTTTAACATAGGATCTATGCTGGGCTACTGATCACTAACTGATAAAGAACATTGATTGAAAAACTACCGTATCATCTAAACATGGTTAAATCGTTTCAAAGTTTTTATTTAAATCGTTTCAAAGATCGTCTTCCGAGTCACTGCACACAACACTCTAAATTTAAAGCTCTTTTTTACTTCAGCTTGGTTTAGCAAAAACTCCGAGATATGTTCTTGGTATCATTCTGACAAACGAATCCTCATTCCCAACCATGATCTATGGACTAGAAAGCTGGACTGAAGCATCAAACCGCCAGCTTAACCTAAAATCATACTGATATAGTTTCCACGCAGAATATGAAGCCTTGTGATTTCTCTACATGGACACAAACAACTTAGGTATATGATCTCTTTCTGTTTTGGAACTTCTCCACAAACAACTTCTGTCTGAGAAGATTGATACACCAAAGATCTTGTTGTAAAGATGGTTCTATTTGTATTTGATGTCTTTCCAATGACTTGTTTCCGTTAGAGTCTGCTTGATACTTTCAAATGAATAATGAAACTGCATGATCTCTATCAATAAATCTTTAAGAAGAAATATTATCTTTGTTGCCTTCAAATGTCTTCAAAAATTCAGTTTTACGTAGAAACCCCTTCCCTTTCAAAGTGTAATAGCTTTATCCAAAAATTTGTTTACTGTTCATAAAAATATATCAGTTAAATACCAGATATTGATAATTACGTAAGCTGAAGCCAAAAAAGTCTAAACGTTCCTCTTTCAGCAAACGTCTTATCTAGGCTAATGAGATTATGTCAACCCTCTTCCCATAAAAAAATTCAATTATAAAAAATGACATATTGAATTCAAATGCATAGGAAAAGAATATACAGCAAGTTGTTCATAAAACTGACTCTTTGTTAGTATGGCATAATTTTGGAGAAATTTATCTAGCTTTGTAAAGATGCATTTATAATATTCAATTTTCACAGTTACCACAACTAAACAATCTAAATTATATTAACACTACACATTTAAAGACTAAACTAGATTCAATGTTTATTGATAATATCATAAAGTTCTAAATATAGTTCATCTAGTACTGCAATATTTTAAAGGGGCTCTTCCTTGCAATTTTTTTTCTTGGGAAGGTTGAAGGGGGGTTTTAAATGGGTAAATCTACAGATTTTGTACATATAAAGGATTTTTATATAGTTAGTATATATTATATTCACTATTGCAATGTTTAATTACAATTATAATAGATTTTACAAATAAAGAGTTTCTAAATGTACATACATACATATAAATAAACATATAAATATTTTTTGGCGTTGACATTAAGTAAAAACAACATTTACTACTTCATCTACAAACTACAAAATGTCGTTTATGTTGTGATGAAGGGTTGTTTAGTACTTTGTGAGTCGGAAACTTGATAAAATTGGCAACAACAAACGTCAAGATAGCACGTTCAAAAACAAGAGAAGGAAGAAAGGAACTTTGACCTATATGTTTCTTCATAAAGAAACTTTGCTGTGACTTTGCTTTCGGAAACCCATTGCTCGTGATTTCAGTGGTTATTAGTAAAAATAAACCCTCTACGTAAGCGAAGGTAAGCTACTAGCAATGCATGGACATAGTCTTCATTGTTTTTGCAAATAATTGTTATGAATGTTGTCTTATTTTTAGCTCATTTGCCTGAAATCTTTACAGAATATAAAGATGGTAAATTGATAGATAAATATGAGGATATAAGATATCAACTTCTTCATAGAACGCAAGTTATTTTTGTAACGACTGACTGCGAAAACATTGCTACTGCTGGTTTAGTTAAGTGATAAAAAATGTAGACCTTGTGACCTTAACGGTATTATTTAAAAACGGCAGTCCTTATTGTTACACGAATGATGATGATCCATTAACTTAATTCAGAGCTGGATAGACAAAGTTTGGATTCTGTGGAGGGGAGTAAATGTTTGATGCCATAACAGCAGAATACGAAGGAGGCGGTTCTGATATAAGATCGTTTGGCATAATGGCTGTTGGGTATTCAGGTGATGTTACTGTGTTAGTGATTGCTGTTGTATTCGCAGCATAATGAGGAAAAGGTGCTAATATTATGGATGGGGCATTTGCTTCACTAAAAACAACAGCAGAATGCGGCTGCTGCCATTGCTCTGTTTTCTGCATACGGGTATCATTAGCCGAGGCATTGGCTGCGTTGAGTGTTCCTGAAGTAGCGGACTGTGAATGGCCCGTTTCTGTAGCTGTAGAAGTTCTGCTGCAATGATGCGATCTCTTACAACAACAAATGAATACAATTCCTAGGAAGACTGCACAACCAATTGCTCCGCCTATGTATACGGCGGCCCCTGTTTTGCTTTTACTTGTAGAGGAAGAGTCATGACCTCGGGAATAAAGGTATTTTCTTTATAAGATATCATGTCGTAGCAAACAGTGTTTAAAGGAAAAAATTAATAATAAATTGTACCTGATATAAAAACCGAAAGAATAAAGGTGCAATTCAGTAAAAACATTTAAGTTATGAAGAGTTGTAATTGCAGTAGGATTCAAGTCGAGACACAAAGCTAATACATTGAGACTTCAATTTCGTGACATTTAACTTTGGTGGTACAGTCTGTCTATTAATTGTTGTTGTTACATTGTTACATTATGTCAAGATATATGTTGCAGGTTACTCTAAACAAACTAGCATCTTGAAAAACATCAAAATACAAAAATTCAGTAAATGCCCAATGAATGTTTGTAGATATTAACAAAGATAAATGAGCTTTGCAGAAATTGTTATTCACATTTAATGGAATATACTAAAGCTTTTTGTCTGACACTTTTCAGAATAAAAACAGTCATGCACTCGCTTTAAAAATCATCGTCTTGCTTTTCTGATGGCCCTATTTCGATCTACAGCCACGTATATATATTTCCAAGCCTGTAGTTTTCGATTAATGTTTTTTATGTTTAATACTACCAAAAGTGTCAGACAAAAAGGTTTATCATACTTCATTATGTTTGCTCTCTTAAAAGCCATTTCAAATTTAATGCGTCACGAAAAGGTTCCTATTTCGAAGTACCTGTTTATGAAGAACATTAATAAGAAAAAAGTAAATACATTATCAATGAAATTACCGGCTGGCACACAACTATATCCATTCCCCGTGTATCCACTATTGCAAGTGCATCTGTACCATAAGTCTGTATTTATGCATGTAGCATTAGTACTGCATCTATGGGTTCCTTGAAGACATTCATTAACACCTGAAAATTAGATATTGAATTTCATTACCAAGAGATGAGATTCAGTCAAAATTTTTGTTTCAGTTTCACAATATAGTAAAGGAGAAAGAAGCCAATTCGTTCTTCTGTTGATTTAAGCCTATTTTATGTTTTTTTTTCTTCTGTTGATTCTGAAATGGAAATGTGAAAGACAGGGAGCTTTTGACCGGCAATCAAATATCAAACTATTTGAAAAAAAAATCCTTTCAAATTTCGATAAAATACCGGAATTTAATTTTCTAACGATGGTTGATTTAATAAACGGGTGCTTTAAGAGTCTTCATAAACTCCTACCCGTTGCAACCATAGCCAATCCCAGTATTAACATTTGCATAATCCAATTCCTCCTTGGTCAAAGAGCACATTTGTGAGTAATTTAACGGATAGTTGAAACAGAATATAAATTTGTGTCAATTTAAATATTCCAGTCTTGCAGTTTTCACTGATGTTTAAATTAAGCCTATTCAGCAAATTAGACGTTAAAGTTCATATGTTGAACCAACTGATAGTTTGCCAGGGCCTATGTCATTTTTTATTGATATTCTTAATGCAGAATAAGCCATGTTTAAATTATTTAGATTTTTTGATGCCGTTTTTAAGACTTATAACCCTAGCAAATGATTAAAACTGACAAAAATCTATCAAATTATACCCGAGATAACGATCTTTTACCAAATTTTTCCATCCAATTAATATCTATAAAACTGTGACAAAAATTTGAAATGGTATTATCATCAACGTGTGTCTTTCGATGGGCCTATTAAAGGACTTAGCTGCTTTGTTATTTTATGTACGTTACCAATGCAACTATATCCATTCCCCGTGTAGCTGCTTTTGCAAATGCATCGGTATGAGCCAACCGTATTTGTACAGAAAGCATTAGAACTGCAGCGATGGAGCCCTCGAGTACATTCATCAATTTCTGAAAAAAAATTGCATAGATTTTTTCTCTATTCTGTTTCGCTGCAATCAATACATTAAAGATTTTTAATTGGCTGTATTACAGCTTATTTTCACACAAGTTTCTGAAGAGGAGGAAGAAAATATTTTTATCGTAAAAATTAGATAGAAAACCATAAAAACTTGGAAACTTTTTTCAGGGGAGGGGAGTGACTATAGCCAATTCAATAAATTCCAAAATTTATTTAAAACTATCAAAAATATCGTTCTGATCTTGAGTTTTAGCATTTTTAGCCTCCCCCCAACTTTCTTTAGCTTCCTCGATCCGTAATATGCTGTGCGGTCCTAATTTTTTTCCACCATAAAAACATTCACAGAAAAGACGTAGATGAAGTGCTTATGCAAAACTATGTTTCCTATATTTTAAAAAAACTTACAAATGCTGGTATTACTAAAATGGAAAGGTCACGGTAACAAACTAGTCTACAGATTTCAGCGGAATGTTTACAATTGCAATGTCAGTAACACCGATTTCAATATCTGGCACGAAGAAAAGGCCGAGAACAACTTTGATTTTTCTCATTTAATGAATCAATGATGTAATCAAAGCTTTCCTTAAGAAGGTCTCAATGAGCACAATATTTAACTAGGAAAAAGAACTTTCTAGAATCACACAAGATATCTCCTGTTACTTTGCTTTCCCAAAAAAAGTCTTGAGCCCTTCTTGTGATTCTAAAATAAATCCCATTAAAAATATTCAAGCTAATGAAGGACTCACCTTCCTAAATGTAAGTTCTACGGTTTTTTAAGACCATAATACCGAAAAATAGTAACTTCAAATGTCATATTAGGGCAATTTTTAAATTATCATTATCCCATCATTTCAGCCTATAAATCTCTACAAGAATTCCGACTTTCATGTCAGTTTATGTTAATGAAAAATAGTAATGAGGAATACTCCTTACCATCTTCTCTGTAGGCCACGTAGCCAACCATGATGCCACGGTACCCAGTTCTAGTCCACGGTCTATTAAATATCAGGTGAAAGAAATTGTTTTTAGCAGCAAACACCCTTTGAGAAAAGATTTCACAGATTCTCCATGTTACAGCAGATGCATATGATTGAATATGCTTTAACATTGTGAAGCGACCAATTGATGCTAAAAGTTAAAATTATAGTAACATTGATGACAGATCGAAACTGCTAAGAAATCAGTACATGAAAACGACCAACAGAAAATCACCAAGAATATCTTGGTGATTTTATAATATAAGGTAAAAATTGAATCTCTTCACGTATCCTATTCCAATAAGGGCCTTAGAAATTGAAGTACCATTTTAGGGAAAAAATGTTGTCCCAAGGTTGGAGCGTTCCAAAGCAGATTCTAAGCAGGTTGATAAAATAGGCAGCACAAGTACTGATGTGAATTGATATATTGTTTGGTTTGATATAATTTGAAAAGATCTTGAAAACAGGGCCATAAAATTTACTTTGGACGCTCACGGTGAGCTGTAATTAGGAGCAGTTGTAAATTCTCTCCTTACTGCGCATTGTGATAGAGGGATGTTAAAAGCAGAATGCTTCATTTGACATTACAGAAAATAATGTCAATAAAATTGATTTTGCAACCTGGCAGCGAGGTCTATGAGCAATAGCTGGAATTATCATCTTAAACATATTGAAACAACAAAATGGAGCGATATCTAAAGAAGGAATAAGACTGGCCTATAAATATAGTCACTCCTTTCACAAAAGGACGGCTTCTTTATTGATTTAAGAGACAACTAAACGGAAAGACTACAACACAGAGTGTATAACGCAGGTGTATAACGCAGGTCAATAAAACTCAGGCTGAATCGTGTGGGTCCAAATAACGGCCATGTGCATAAGGTTTTAGGTTTACAACCTTCGAACGCTGCTGTCGTACTTTATTGCAAATTTATCAGATGCTCGACGATGGCAAAATATGATTTATGATAATAACATAACATACGAACGTTCTTCTCGTGGCAAACGCTCTACTCGTGGGTCTTCCAACCAACGGTCACTGTACCTCTTACTACTTTTTGCGTAAGCCCAGAACCCTACGCCTATTGCTTATAGTCTTAACCCTCAAAACTGAGCCCGTGTTTTGTGCTCGTGCGCGACCTGCGGTTTATACTTTCAGAAACGCGATAGTTATATGATCATACCCCAAGCTCGAAAGTAGGGAAAATGTGAGTAACAGTAGGACTGGGAACTTTGGTGCAATGAAACGTCCATCACAGCAATTCGAACCGTATTTGTACCAGCGTAAATGGTTTTCAAACAGGGACTCTGGGCCACGTAGTAACTGTTTGGCCAACCAGAAGAGCAAAAGATTCCTGCTGCTGAGCTACCACTATGACTATAGAGACAGGAAGGAAAAGATAATATTTTTGAGTGACAGATTTTCATGAATTCTTGACACTTAGAAGTAGAGCAAGATGCACGAATTTTTCATCTATTGTATCAAATCTGGTATTTCATAAAACATATTTCAAGTATAGTTTCATAAGACATAATTTAGAATTTGTATACGATTCTTCTGATAGAGAAAATGCTTCATATTAAATCAGAATTGAATAAATTTTGATCATAGAACGACATTTCTGGAAAAATGTGCTTTGCAATGCAGAAATATATCTTCATTTGTCTTATACTTTGTCAAGGTTCTAAACCTGTAGTGATTTAATTATCAAAATAGATGATGAAAACACGAGAAAAAATGAAATGCAAACCCACAAGCATGATAAGCTGGGGATTCCACCCATCGGTGATCCTGATTTGCTTTTTAACTGGTATGTCAATGAAAACCCGGACCGTGTTCTTGCACTGTCTGATTTGAAGACGATCTTTGCGTATCCGTCATGGGAATACATGTTGAATGGCTTTTTGGCGATCATGTTATCAGAGCAGTACTTTCCAATGCTTTTTTATGAGCTGGAATATATAACAGAATTTTGTTTATACACAATTTGGAAAATTGTTCAAGCTCAAAATCAATGTACTTCAATATGGATGGTTTTGGTTAGCTTCACAATAAAATCATTGCTAATGCTTATTGTAGCAATTAGTATGCCTTGTATTGTTCACGGTCACAAACCATACAAACAAAAAGTTCGTCGAGTTTCATCCTCATAATCTGCAAGCCTTTCAGAAGCAAAACTGCTGAAATAAGAACACTATAAGAAACAGGTTTTTGGCCACGTGGATAGTTTCATTCAAGGGGCAAATCACTGCTTAAAGTCAGACACGCTCCCGAAAATAGTCACACTTTAATCACAATTTGATCACATTTTCTTAGTCCCTAGCGAAGGAGCAAAATTGAAGTCCTCTTTCTCATGCCGGAGTCGCTGAAACAACCACTGCTGTTGTTGTTGCCCAATGCAAAGGTGATCAAACGTGCAAGACCGAAGTCTGACCGATGACAACGAGTCTGACTGCAGACATTTTTTACTCGTTTCCCGTTGATTACAGATTCATGTAACAAAAATATCTGCCAAACTGGCATAATTTGTTGGCACTTGATCTATGAAATATTGTACTTTAATTTGAGTTTGACGTGGTTTGCCATCTGTATCTTCGTTTTATTCATGTTTCTTGCCTCATTTTGGCCACGTCAACCAAGTTTTAGTACACCAAAACCTATCTGAGAGGACTATTGAATCTGTAATTAATTTTTAAAAAGTCACGAAATAATAACAAATTAATCACTTTAATCACTATAAAATCAAACGAATCTTAATTTTAATCAATCGTGATTATTAATCTCTCACATCATTTTCAAGAGTGATTTGTTCTTCGGTTATGGTTCCTTAGCAATATCCACTGATCTAAGCTCTATTACCCTGGATACCTATTGGATAGGCTTTTGTCGACAACCAAAAATAAGGGGATGAGCTTACTTGAAAATTCATTAATTGCCAGTCGTTTAATGATTGGGTTCAGGTTCACGGCCTTCTTGTTATTTATAGTGTAACAGGAATTCAGAGCTACGAAAATTTATCAAATTTAAGATTAAGTTTTGATTTAGATGAGTTGTGCCAATCTAGCTGTTTATTATCTGTCCCTCAAAACATTGTGGGTTTATTTTTAAATTCTTATGCGATCTTTTTTTTATAAAAACTGTTTATTGCCACATATTTTTTGTTACAATACAGCTTTTCCTTACGCCAGGAATTCTCGTGAAACGTGAAACATTTTCATGGTACTTCGCAGTTATTGCTAGTCCACGTTTTAGTACTTTTTCTTTTTGTAAATTTTTTGAATTTTTCCTTGTCGTTTGAAAGTATGACCTCCTTTTCAGGTTCAAACTATTCTAGCCGCTCCCTCATTGATTGTTTTTAATTTATCTTAAATAATTAAGGTGTAAGCGTTGCAATCGCTAGCTTTTACGCTCCAGGAGGGTACTCAGGCCTCATTTGCCAAAAACGTTCCACATCCGTATTTAAAAGGGCACTTACAAGCAGTTTGAATAAATGATACTTACAGTGATTTTCAATCTGTTTATCAGGGGTCCCGCAAGGATCAGCCCTTTGCCCTATTATTTTCAATTTTTTTCATCAATGTCCTATTCTACATCAATGGCTTCTCTAAAAACTACTCAGATGACAACACTTTAACACATTTTTAAAAAATCCTGCCTCAATTAATTAACGTCTTGGAAAAAGAAGCAAGAATCGCCCTTGCCCGGCTCAATAAGAATAAAATGATTGCTAACACAGAAAAGTTTCATGCTCTTCTCGTCAGAGAGGATAAAAATTACTATTGTACATAGCATTTCTATTCAAGGGAAAACTATAAATTCTGAAGCTTCAGTAAAGTTGCTTGGCGCAACTATAGATCACAAACTGAATTTTGACATTCCCATATACAAATTTCGTGTCAAGATAGCAACCAATCTAAATGTGCTTAAAAAACTCAAATTCTCGATTGCATTTGAGGAGAAAAGGTACTGGTCCAAAGCTTTGTCTTTTCTAACTTTAACTACAGCCCTTTAGTGTAGTTTTTCCCCTCTGCTAGATCTATGGAGAAGATCTAAAAAAAACACGAACGAGCCCTACGTTTTCTTTAAAATGATCATGATTCATCTTACGGAGATCTTCTTTGCAAATCACAAAAATGCACAATGCATGTAAATCGGCAAAGGAATCTCTGTACTGAAATTTTCAAAATTGTGAAAAGGTTAAATCCTTAATTAATTCATGCAAAATACCTTCGAACTAAGAACCTCTGATCGACCCTCAGGTCGTTCACAAGACTTACAGCAACTACCGGCCCAAGCAGCCTCAGGTCTCTCAGGTCAAAAATTTGGAATGGCTTACCACATAAAATAAAGTCTGCAGAGATTCTGTAAATGTCCCTGTACATACAACGTATCCAAAACTTAATGGTTTTATTGTAAACTTGTATTTGAAAACACTTGAAAATTGCTAATTCAATTTGCATATTTTGTAAATAATCGAATTAGGCAAGTTACTGTATTGCAGTTTAAAATCATATTCAATTTTAATGAAGATCACAAATGCAACAAAGCAACGAAGTACGTTATTTGCTGAAAAGTTTGTGAATTCACCAAAAAGCACATCAGAATTTGTTTTTAACTGTGACCGACTTTCAGGCTAGTGTTCTTATAAAATTGTTCTGATACTAAAACGAGAATATTCAATAAGGGAAAGCAAAAAGCTAACTCGTACCTCGTGAGAAATACTTCGACATAATCACTACAATTTGGAATTTTCCCTTCAATGTCAAACGATATCCACTTGATTTCCAGGTAGTAACTGGCTGATGGCCACGACCTGGAAGGTCGAATGAAAAAGGTACAGTTCTCGTTATTTAAGTAGTTCAACATCGACAGTGTTTGTGTGGACGGTTTCGCATAAGTAGTGGAACTGTTGCACATTCCGCCGGCATTTGTAATCAAAACTGCCAGAATATGCCATAATATCATTATGTTTAAACTCATTTTCTCTGAGACTTGCAACATCGATGTCTTTTGGTAAACTTTATGATTTGTACGCAAGATTTTGAATTTACCTTTGGAAAGAGGGATTAAGAATATCAACCCCCGCTAAAGATTGTTCAGCCTCTAATTACAGACGTGGGATTTCACACGAATCTCGTTAACTGCATTGCGGAAGTACTAACGTATCGGATCAATGCTCTAACGTCACTGAAAGCAATAAACAACATGCGCGTGCAAGCAAGCAGGTAGAATGCTGCCCAAAATAAAGGAGACGAAGAATAAAAGATTCCTCCTTTGAAATTACAGATATAACCACATGATGAGTGTTGTCCAGGCTGTGTCTGATTGATTCCTTGAAAGCTGTCAGTAAAAATTGAAAACGGTTAAAGGCATTGAGTTTTGGTAAATAGGAAGCGTATACCCAAATTGCAAAAATTGCTTAGTCATTATGATAGCTTCGCTAATCTGATTGGCTGTCAAGCAAACTACACACACGATGTGGTAAGTGCTCTTTGTTCCACCGTTTCTAAAGGTTCTTTCTTTCTCTCATTCGCTTTCGACAAAGAATGTCTGATCACCTAAAACAAACTCATCACATGGAAACAGACAAACCCCCCGTGGAGAACCAGTATTTACCACGTCTCAATGCCTCTAAACTATAAAGGGTCATAACTATAAAAGCTGAAAATACTTCTAGTGAATGTTTACGATTAAAGCTATAACACTTGTGGAACTTCAGTTATGAATCCACGTCATTTTCACTTGATTCAGAGCTTCAATCTGACTGCTGAGCTTTTTCTACGCCAAAAGCAGCAAGGATTGTCAGCTGTTTTCCCCCATTTTTATCTTTGAAGAGCTTTTCTTTCTTTCTTTGTCACAAAGACCATTTTTTGCAATTGATATTCCGCAAATAATTTTGCCTGATCAGTCAGCACACCCTTTCCTAGCAAAAACTTGAGGCCTGGTCTGATCTGTGCATTTTGCTGCTCAATGGACCAGACTGTGCTATTACAACATTGAATGAAAAAATCTCCCTGCTCAATTTTCATCTTGACTTCTTCACTTTTCTTTCCTGGGAGCATGGCACCAATTAATGACAAGCAGCTTTCCAGGTCACTTTCAATACTTTTTTTCTTGCTCTCTCATTCTCATTTGCACGGCGTTTCGCTCTGGCATTGTCAAATTTGCTGCCGAGCACACTAGCTCTAGCTCATTTTTCAGTATGGCTAGGTGCAAGAGATTATGGCCCTTAACTTGGATAAACGTCGCTTGCAAAAGTGCAGACATTTTCTCAATTATAATACAAAGATAATTCATTTGCTTTCCAAGGCTTAATATTGATGTCTTTGTCAACATGTTTTGCTTGCAATGTTTTGATTTCTGCCATGAAGATCTCAATTTTGCTTTGAACATTTTTAAGGAACTGCAGAGACTTTCAGCTGATATCTAGTCTTTCACTGAAAGCTGTCCATGGTCCCCCACATTTTTTACGCTCTATTAGACCTTCTAGTGTTCTTGCTGGTTCTTTGAAAGAGTAGATCTTAAAAATACAAGTTTAGTGAGGTTTCCAATTCTTCATTCCAAAATATAACCTGTACGCGAATCTATTACTCAACAACAGCCAACCAATATCAAACCAAAAATATGAAATTACTTAGTGTTACACCCAGTGTTGAATTAGTCTACCAATCAGATAAAAGAAGTATGTAAGTTATATATTTCATTCAACCAGATGCGAGATTAATTAGCCTGCACACAAAGCAGTTCGTGATTTGTCCTATGGGTTAGTAGTTAGCAAAAGCAAAAGATAGAATGAGTATAACTATGCTCAAATGATTAGTAAATACATCTGTTGCATGTATTAATGCACACAGTTAAAAACAAATAAACAGCTAAACAATAGTAAATGCTCTGTGGATTCCATAATACGCTCTACCGGTTGCCAATTTTTGGATCTGAAAACTGAGCCTTGTATTCATCAATCCGAATAGCTTTTTGTTGTAGTCTCTTGATATTCTGAATGAAGGCGTCATCTCTACAGTAAATCACGGAAAGCTTTATATTCTTGACAGGAAACGTGACGTCTTTCCATTTGTGCCGGGGGCACAGATGACAACAGTTCTTGAACTACCTGTTCTTGGGCTACCTATTCTTAGACTATCTATTTCGATTACTGTTTCACTGTTCGGATGTTTTGTAGCCGAACAATGAACAATTTAATCAACAATTTTCACTAAAGAGCACTGAAAACTGCATATAATGACTATGATTCTACTTTTCCAGCTCTGCTTATTATAGGAAATGCTTCAACAATACTTCAACAAAAGCTGTAGCAAAGCTATAAAGAAACTAGCCATTGAAATGTACAAAACTAATAGTGACCAAGACCCAGCTTTCATCAATGATATTTTCAGATTTGATAAGTCCCAATATAGCATAAGAAATGAGCCATTTACTACTTAGAAACCTAACACAGTTTTCTATGGTCTGAAACAGTCTTGCAAAAGAATTTTCATTTTTCATTTTATCATATTTATACACAGAAATCCTATCAGCTACTTAGTTCAAAAAGAAAAAGTAAAGATTAATTTACATATATGCTAGTCTTCTTAGGGATCGTGCTTCGGGAAAGGATGCTAATTTTGCAGGAATTCCTTTTGGAATAACATACCTGCCAAAGTAGGTATTGTTTACAGTCTAGAAATCTTCAATAGGATAATAAAACAAAACAGGAACCCGAGTTCCTGCAAATTATTTATTCAAAATACACTCAGTGAGCAAAGTATTGCACAGGCTGCAACAGAAATGGCGTCACCTCAGCAAAAGCTAGACTTTTTAGCGTACCAAGAGTCAAATTGCCATAGCAAATTTCAACAAATTTCTCAAATGACTTTTAGTTGGAAAATATTGGAAAATTTATACAGAAATAGCAAATGCAAGAATATTCTTGATTTTTGCCTATTTTTGAACAATTTTGACATGTGCAAAAACCCGAAAATTGAGCAACAATGATTGAAATACCTGTAAAGCGTTTACAATTAAAAAGTTTATCATTGCACAAACTTGCGATATTCTGTTAAAATGAACTCATGGATCCTTTATGCTTGGGTGTCTAGAACTTTATTCTCATTTTTCTCGCTACCTATTAACAGATACACTCAAGTGCTTCAATTGCTGTGAAGAAGTCGGCAGTATAAAATGGCTTAAATATGCTACTTTCCACAAAATACAAGGCCATTAATGATCAACTTGGTACTCCAGCACCTAAATGTGATCTTCTGAATGTTTTTCTAAACTTATCATGTCGCTATTAACAGAACCTGTTACAAAACATTTTGTCAAACTTCTAGGATGTTTCACAAAGGCTTCAATTTTTTTTTACTTTTAAAACAGCAGCTTTTACAGTTTATAAATCAAAAGTGTTTTTGGCAATGGTTTGAAATTTCGTTTAATTGATTTTTAACTTTAAGAAAACGCCTAATGGCTTCACAAAAGTGGTTTGAATTCCGATCGCCGGGTTGTTTGCGGCTTCCATTACTTATCTATCAAACCTTATTTGTATTGCCAATTTAGGACTTACCGCGTAGATGTAAGACTTATCGCATAGAAGTAGGATTTATCGCATTTATCGCATGTATTTAATTATATACAGATGCATATACATATGTTTATATTTTTCTCTACATTGCTATTATGTTAGTTACTGGTATTGCGTATTGGTATTACGTCAACTACTAGTTTGGAAACCAATAATCACATTTTTTCCAAATTCGTTGCTGTTCCGTTAGTTGGTATTAATTAGCTCATTTTAATTATTCATATTTAATCTAGAACATGTATTCCAACTTTAAATAAAATATTGCAAAAAGTATTTGGGATGTAGTTATTGGGGATATCGATACATCGATATACAATATGTATATAGAAAAATCGTGTACCCATATGTGAGTGCAGGTATTATGTGCTTATAGGTATTGCAGCTATTCATCCAGTGTGTATAGAGATATGCATTGCAACTTATCCATATATCATTGGTGGAATAAGTTTAAAATAGTAACGATAAGAATTTAACAAACTACTATTTGAATTTACAAAAGGTGTGGTACAATTTTTAAAAATTTGTAAACATTCTAATACAATAATTGCAAATTTGCAAATAAAACGGCCTTTAAAAAGTTGGCAATTTTCTTGACCGAATTTAATAAAATTCATGAAATCTACTTCTCAGTTCTATAAAAATAACAGATTGAAAAAAATTCTTCCAAAAATTCAACATTTACAAGTTGCTGCTTATTAACAAATGCATGTGGATGTTTATAGCTTTACATAAGAACGAGAGCTATTTGTGGTCGATTCAAGGACTTTGCTCCTTTCAACCTTTGCTACTTGCAATGAAAAACGATACTAGTTAAGAAAGTCACCTTAATAGTTTCATAAATGAATATCATCAAATATTATAATCCTAAGAAGGACCGAAGAAGCTTGGATTCTGTGGTGGCGGTTGATTTGTTGATTCCATGCTAGTTGAATACGGAGGTGGAGCCGTCGGGTAGGTACTGTTTGGTACAATGGCTGTTTGGTAATCAGGCGGTGGTATGGTGTTGATATCTGGTGCCACTCTTGCTGTATGCAGACGAAATGGTGCTAACCCTGCTGGTGGATAAGAGGCCTTCCCTTCACTGAAAATGACAGCAGGCTGAGTCATATTCTGCTCCAGTGACTCCGTATTCTGCATAAAGGCACCATTTGCTGAGGTATTGGCGACGATGTATGTTGCTGAAGTAGCAGTTTGAGAATGGCTTGTTTGTATTGCTGTAGAAGGCACCTCAGATTTATGCGATCTCTTGCAACAACAAAGAACGACAGTGATGATGATAAGTATTATGAAGACGCCACCGACGGCTCCACCGACGACTCCACCGATGTATATTCCAGCTTTGCTTGCACTTTTAGAGGAAGACCCGTCACCTATAGAAACAAATTTATTTATTATAAAAAAGTTTCTGCATAGTCTTTCGTAAGAATATAGTCTAAAAGCTCATATGGTAACCAATTCAACAATGTGACTCTACGACTAGATTTTGTATCTTGATGCTAAACTAATAGTTCTGTTCTCTTTTTCTTTAGGTTTATAACGAAGCAACACTTGAAACAAGAAGTTAATATCTTTCTTTGATTTTAAGGCAAACTTACAGCTTGTGTCAGGCTAGAATAGTTTAAAAATAATCTTAGGTTAATAATAAAACTCTTTCAGAATATTGTCGCCAACGCTCAAATTGATCAGAATCTTAGTTGAAAGAGGACAAATCGGAAAAAGATAAAACATATCAAAATTAAAATGTAACTTATTTCATTAATGTTAATCATATTCAAAAATTATATTCTGGTGGTGTTTTTTGTGTATGCAGATATTCTTAATAAAATTAGATGCCTAACGAACATATGAACAAGTAAATGTGTATGAACAATAAAAGCAAATAAAATAACGACACAAAACATAAATGAGATTACCTGGCATACAACTATATCCACTCCCCGTGAATCCGCTATTGCAAATGCATCGGTATGATCCGGTCCCAGATATACATGTAGCATTATTACTGCAACTATGTGTTCCAAGTGCACAGTAATCGCCATCTAAAGGTTAAAAATCCATTAGCATTACCAAAAAACGGGAATCATTTAAATTTTCTATGAAAATTCGCAACTCTTTCTTTTGTTGATTAAAATCCCACTTGTTTAATACTGACAGTAAGATTTTATAACTGAAAGATATATTGAAAATGAATCAAATTGTTATCTGGATCGAAAAGAAAAACTTCAAATTAGCAAGCTATAAGTTATCCGTATCTTTAAAAAATTGATATTAATCCTAACAAACGATTTAGCAAAAAGCCGTAACAAGCTTTACAAGTGGGTGCTTATTGCACATCCTTCCAAATCACCAAAAAATTTGATTTACTGTTGAAAAAGGTAAAAGGTTAGAGATATTAAAATTCTTGAGGCTTGGATAACATTATTTCCGACTATCAAAATTGTTCTAGAGCTTCAGTGGCGTCCTAGGCTATTTCACTTAGGGGGGAGGAAAGGGGGGAGGGAAGGGAGGAAGTGCTGAGAAAAATGGAGCCCTTCATAACCCATATTGTTTTCAGTGTGGTCGGAACGAAATTCATATTGGGGCCTAGCCAGTAAAAGCCAAGCTGTTATTCAATATCATAATTATTATATATCTGAAGAGGTTGAGCATGGCTTTCAAAAAATTAAATATTTCACAACATACTAAAAGTATCAAACGTCAGAATGAGGGTCCGACAGAACACCCCAATTGAGCAGAATCTTCGTTGAATAAAAAGAATTCTCAAACTGATAAAATAGAGCTGATTGTAATGTGTATGAACAATATAAGCAAATAAAATACCGACACAAAACATAAATGAGATTACCTGGCATACAACTATATCCACTCCCCGTGAATCCGCTATTGCAAATGCATCGGTATGATCCGGTCCCAGATATACATGTAGCATTATTACTGCAACTATGTGTTCCAAGTGCACAGTAATCGCCATCTAAAGGTTAAAAATCCATTAGCATTACCAAAAAACGGGAATCATTTAAATTTTTTATGAAAATTCATAACTCTTTCTTCTGTTGATTAAATTTCAACATGTTTAATACTGACAGTAAGATTGTATCGGTGAAAGATATATTAAAAATATACAAATTGTTTTTTAAATCGTAAAGAAAAACTTGAAATTAGCAAGTTACATGTTATCCTTATCTTTAAAAATTGATATTAATTGTAATAGACTTTTTAGCAAAAACCGTAACAGACTTTAAAAGTGGGTGCTTTTTGCACATCCTTGCAGGTCACCAACAGTTTGCAATTTAATTTTCAGACAATCACTGTCAAATGTTTTGGAGCACTAAGGTCAGTTCTGAAAGCAAAGTCAGACCTCACCACCTCTCCCTAGAAACAAATTTGATTTACTTCTGAAGAAAGAAAGAGGTTATTGATACTATATTATTGAGCCTTGGATAAAATTATTTTAGACAATTATAATTTTTCTAAAGCTTCAGTGGTGGCCTAGCCTTTCTTGCTTTGTGAGGGGGGAGGGGGAAGGGGGGAGGGGGGGCTGAGAAAAATGGTGCCCTCCATAACTAACATTGTTTCCTTTGTGGTCGGAACGAAATTCATATTGGGGCCTGGCCAGTAAAAGCCAAGCTGTTATTCAATATCATAATTATTATATATCTGAAGAGGTTGAACATGGCTTTGAAAAAAACAAACATTTCACAACATACTAAAAGTATCAAACGTCAGAATGAGGGTCCGACAGAACACCCCAATTGAGCAGAATCTTCGTTGAAAGAAGAGAAATCTCAAACTGATACAATATATAAAGAGCTGAAAGTAACTTACTTCTTAAATGTTACTTAAAGCAAAATATCTATTCTAACAGTTGTTTTTTGTGTATGCAGATGTTCTTTCCTAAAATTTGATGACTAACAAACATGAACAAGTAAATGTGTATGAACATTATAAGCAAATAAAGGACAAAAAAACATAAATGAAATTACCTTCTCTTTCACAACTAAACCCGTTTCCCGTGTATCCACTTTTGCAAATGCATCGGTATGAGCCCAACCAAGATATACATATAGCATTAGTACTGCAACTATGGGTGCCACTTGTACACTCATCTTCAAGTAAAGGTTAGAAATTGATTGGCATTGCCATTAAACGGTAAATATTTGAGTGTTTAATGAAAATTCACAACTCTTTCTTCTGTTTATTATAATTCCACTTGTTTAATACTGACATTAAGATTTTATTAGCGAAAGATATATTAAAAATGGATCAAATTGTTAGCTGGATCGAAAAGAAAAGCTTCAAATTAGCAATTTACATGTTATCCTCATCTTTAAAAATTGATATTAATTGTAATAAACTTTTCTGCAAAAAAAACCGTAAGAGGCTTTATAAGTGGATGCTTCTTGCACATCTTTCCAAATCACCAACAATTTGCTGAATATAACTTATTTCTTAAATGTTACTTACAGCCAAAAATTTTATTCTAATAGTTGTGTTTTTTGTGTATGCTGATGTTCTTTACTAAAATTTAATGACTAACGAATATGAACAAGTAAATATGTATGAACAGTATTAGCAAAAAAAGACCAAAAAACATAAATGAAATTACCTTCTTTTTCACAACTAAACCCGTTACCCGTGTATCCACTTTTGCAAATGCATCGGTATGAGCCGGTTCCAGATATACATGTAGCTTGACTACTGCAACTATGGCTACCACTTGTACACTCATCTTCAAGTAAAGGTTAGAAAATTTGACAATTATTTTCTGAAGGGGTGGAGGGGGGAGGGGGGGGGTGGTCCTAGCCAATACGAGGAGGTTTTAATTTGTTCATAAGGCAAACGATGCCTTTTTTATATTGTGAATTCACCATGACTAACAAAAGGTGGTAGAAATGATTTTAGGAATTTTTTAGTTTGATACAAAATTCTCCATCCACCCAAATTTTGCGAAAACGAAAAAAGACGCAACCATTAAGAGAATTAGGCCCACCCTAACTATCTTGTCAAACACAATTTATGCCACTCGAAAAGAAACATGAAGTATCTCTGGGTTAGAAACATGAAGTCTATGCGTTGACTTAAAAGTCATCTGTCTTCGGACTATGTCTGTGTGCCCCATCTGTGCATTGACTTGAAGCTAGAAGTCTTTTTTGACTCTGCTGGCCTTCTTGGGACCTAATAACCAGACAAGTCCGTCGTCTAATTGAGTCCTTATCAAACTTTTGGAAGTTTTGCCGCCCTTTACAAGCTTTGGAGCCAAAACAAAAAAAAGTCAGCTGAGGGAGTCATGGCCCATCTGGCCCCCTGCTAGACCAACACTGTAGAAGATAAGGAGAAAGAAAAAGGATTATTTAGGAAAAAACAAATTCAATTAGTAACAAAGAAAGCTCCTTATACAGCATGGCCGTATAAGGAGCAGTGTACAGATGCTTTTAAAAACTGGAATCTTTTTTGAGTTTGTAGTTAGACTCTTTGCATTGTTAGCCATGAATGAAACTCTTATGTTTGTTTTTAGATATTCGGTGAGCAACCAAATTTCTGCTTAGCAAAAAGATGTGCTTAGTTTTTGGAACTGCAAGATTTATAATGATTTATAATGATACCGATTTTGAAATCTGTGCCACCAGAAAATGATTACGACGTGGCAACGAGTTTTTTTTCCAAACTAATCTTTTACATTAATACTCATCAAACCATGAATAATATATTCGTAGACCAGAGAATTAGATGCTTGACACAAATAAACATTTTGGATAATTGCAATAATTTCTTAATGCAATAATCTTATTTAAAGACCCTTGAAAACGTCTTGATTGAAAAGAATCATAGAGAAATAGCATCTATTAGTGTAAACAAAAATGTTCTCAAAAGTTATTGAATTTCAGTCCTAAAACTTTCGCTTAATTGAATATTTGTTCGCCTGACACGATTAAGAATATAAACTTGAAAGGTTATGACAAGGATATGGCCAGCTATGGAATGGCAAGGGCCAGCTACAAAAAGCTGCATATAACTGTTATTGCGTTTGATCAGCTAACCATTGCATGATAAAAAATAAAGCTTTTCTTCATTCAAAGACATTAACCAAATAGGGTGTTTATCCAAATTTTTAAACGTGCGGTCAATAAAAAGGCCTCTTTGCCCCTCCAACCTTCCAGTCCTGACCACTGTTTGTTTGAATATTTGATTATACCTAAAAACCACACAGAGGAACGTTCGAAAGGACTTTCTAGCTTTGGGGTGCCTGCCTTTCAAGAAAGCATTCAAAAACTGATAGCATCTACTTTACCAGTTGCATTGCAAACGTATCCATTCCCCGTGTATCCGCTACTGCAAGTGCATCGGTATGAACCGACGGTATTTGTGCAGTAAGCATTAAAACTGCATTTATGGCTTCCTTGAGTACATTCATTCACATCTGTAACAAAGAGATTCAATGCCATTATCAATAAACGAGAGCCAGTCAATATTTTTATAAAATTTAACAGTTTAGCAAAATCGAGATTCAAGTTTGCCTTTTTACATTTCTGAATCTATTGGTAAAAGACTAAGAGCCACATAAAAAGTCAAATTCTGTGTTTTAAGAACAAACTATTCGGTACAGTGCACCGAGTGCTGGTCGCCCAATACCAAGGAAGTTTGAAGCTTTTTAATCCTTCTATCGTGCCTACATATTTGTTATTCATCGAGCAGGGGTAAAATATGCTCCAATGTGTAAAACGAAAAGCTTTAGAATGCCTTAAACTTCTTTCCTTTTTCAAAAATTTTTCTTTGAATTCTATACTTCAAAATATAATCTAACTATTGACCAAAATCCTTTTACGTAAAGCCCTTGTCAATGAGCCTTTCTTCAAAATATTATATTTTTAGGGAAATAAAACTGTCTAAATGATCAAATTGATGCAAATTATTTTAATGGAAAAGGGAGGTAAATGCTTTGAGCATATAGTCGTCTTGTAGAAAGAAAAGACTGCTTCGGTCTATTATCATTTAAAAATGTTTTATCAAAATGATTTTCGAAGAAAGATTTCATTAAGGATTCATTTCCAAAGTCGTTTTTTAGCCTTAGATTAAAGATTATCACCTCACGTTTAAATTTTACACTCGTGTCCAAAATCTTATTTAATTGTTCTAATGATATGAAGACAAAACTTGGACAACTGACTAAATTTTTTAGGCCAAGCCAGTATAAATCAAGCTGTTATTTAATATCATTATAATTTTATATCTCAAGAGGTTTAACATTGCTTTGAAAAAAGCAAACATTTTGCAAAATACTAAAAGCTTTTTCGTTTGACACTCTTCAGTGTTTAAAACGTCCAAATGAGGGTCCAAAAAATACGATGGAAAATATATCATCATCTCAAAAGTTTGATGAAAATATATCATCATGGCATCCCCTAATGTTCAGTAATTTCTAGTGACGAAAAAGACTATTTGAGCAATATTGAAGTCTCTCATAATAGACTATGATGCACTTAAATCCTTCATGCTACATAAACCTAAGATATTGTGTGATTTATTTTCCCAAACTTAGAATTCTTTGATTGTTCTGTCGAAAAAGCACCTTAGGGACAAAATAACTTAAATGCAATTTGATGTCAGTTTTAGAATCAGGGCTCGAGCACAATAATTTTAGCATATCAACCGTTATAAAATGATAAAACCGTATAATAAACGGTGATGGTAAGTAATTCTTACCATTTTTAGTATAAGCCATATAGCCAGCCATGATGCCACGATATCCAGTGCTTGTCTGTGGTCTGTTAATGTACATGTAAACGTAATTTCCTGTAGCAGTATACACCGTTGGAAATAAGGTTCCACAGATCAATCCGCTCACACTAGATGCGTAAGATTTTATATCCGATGAAGTTGAGAAGTGAAGAGACGATTCTAAATGTAAAATTATAAAAGTCAGTTGCACAATAACATCCTTTTATTTAATTTTAATTGTTGAATAGAAACATTCTCTATGGGCCTTGTTTTTTATTTTTCACTCGATCTATGTAGGAACAAAGTCTACGTTCTACGATATACAATCCACAATCTACAATCTACATTTATCACTGACTGCTTTATAAACATAGTCAGTCTGTTTACAAAACTTTGTTTTTTATTTTTGACAAAGAGTCAAACATGAAACATAATGAAAAGGCAATAAGCGGAAACTAAGACGTCTACTGAACACTTTTTGGAAAGGTAGCAATTTAATTGATTTTACCCAAGACTTGAAAGTATGAATCATTTGTGAAACAGAGAACAGATGATTGTCGGTATAATGAAATGTCCATCACAGCCACACGCACTGCCTTTGAACCTGCGTAATAGGTTCTCCAACACGGGGAGCTGCTCGCGTAGTAACCGTAGGGCCAACCAGAAGAGTATAATGTGGCTGCTTCAGATAAATCACTAATGCTACAAAGTAGAGAACAAGGGAAATCAATTTAAACCACAGATACTTCAGGAATTAATAGCACTTCAGAGAACAAGTAGATGCAGGAATTTACCATTAATTCTGTAAATATTTTGCATCATCAACAACGTTTTAATCAAATTTGCAAAAACAAACATTTTGAAACACATTTAAACTTTTCGTCTGAAACTTTTCAGGATATAACACATCAGAACATTAATCGGAAAACTCTAGACTAAGACCGATAAAGAAAAGCAAAAATATGACCATTTATAATTGCGAAAGGAGTCGCTAGGTGAAAATAGTCTACTTCTCTCTACACAACAGTGGTTTTTCAATTGAATATTAAAATAAGAAGTTTCTCTCTCACACCATGACACAATTGGTCATATTTTCTATAGAAAAATGACTTCAAATGGGCAAACCTTTATACCTATGAACTCGCATCTTGCTCGGCCAACTCTAATCCGCAACTGGGTATACATACGTCCTAGCCTAGAGTTTTCGATCAATGCTCTATTGGTTTACACCTGGAATTGTTTGATAGAAAATGCTTCAGTAGGTTTGAAAACGTTTGATTTTGAAATTATTTTCAGCTTTTATACGACGAAATTATTATTTTAATCAAGGTCTATAACATTTCATTTGAAGCAGAGCTGTATACTGACAATGAAAATTTTCGTAGAAAGTTTAGGAGTGCTGAATGTTATTTAAAAAATATTTCAATATATGATGGTCATCATACAATATTGTAGTCCTGGATAAATGCCAAAAAAGTGATTTGTATTCTGCTTTTCTTTTGATTCTGCTAAATAGTTAAATCTGTATTGATTTAAAGAAAACTTACTTTCTGAATATATGAAATAATATTGGAAAGAATGCATGAACAAAATCGGATGGAAAACACAAAAAAAGAAGGAAATGCAAACACACTAGCATGTGCTGCTTGGGTATCCATCCATTGGTGATCCTGACTTGCTCTTTAACTGGTATGTCAATGAAAACCCGGACCGTGTTCTTGCGCTGTCTGATTTGAAGACGATCTTTGCGTATCCATCATGGGAATACATGTTGAATGGCTGTGTGTCGACCATATTATCAGAGCAATATCTCCCGATGCTTTTAAAGGATCTGTAATAAAGAAAGATTTTTGTTTATTGACAAGTTAGAAAACTGTTCTTCAGTGCTTTAAATCAATGTGGTACAATTGATTTAAAAATGCCTAAGCATTTATTAAAAATTTTAGCTTTAATTTGCGCGATTATTGAAAGAGGGACGTATTTGGACGGAAATCAAGACAGGTACGGGTTTTGGTTAGGCTGGATTTTTGCATCAATAGCATAATTCTAGAATGTGCTAGTTGTAGCAATAAGTACATATTGTATTGGTCATGTGTATATGAATTCCATGTTAGTATAGTCTCATCCTAACACGCTGCAAGAAGTCATTAAGATGAACTGCAAAATTCATTTGTACAGTGACTAAACTGGCCTGCTGCGACTTAGCATGTAGAACTGTGACCGCATTTTCTTTCAGTTGTACAACTGGCCTAGTCATAAAGTTTTATGTAGCACTCCAAATTACGCCAGAAAACAAAGTGTCCAGTATCCCAGTCCAAAAATAGCTTTTGGGGGCAATTTTGAAGCTTGATATGAATTTCATCGTATTCAGCATATCAGATTATGTGCTTGCATCAAACCTCCTGCTATTATCCTAACATGGACAATTCTACTGCTAATTTGGTTACCCAGGTTGCTAGATTTTTATGCAAAATTTTTTGTCTATTGAGGGGGGGGGGTACCAGGTATCCATGCTGAATCACGCAATCACGCTTTCACGGTACTAGAATTCCAATTTCAGGAATACGCCCCCTAGAAGCTCTTTGAATTTTTTAAAAACTATCTAACAGAAATAGTTTTTTCTTGGCAGAGCCATCGGCATTGTACTCTTTGAATAATGGAGACATTTATCTGATCTGGTACAGGAAACCAAGACTTTCTGTGTGAAAAACGCTGGCAGAACGCTTGTAAAACTCAATTTCGAAATTCGCTTGCAGCACTCATATTCACGCAATCACGCCATGACTAATGCTGATTCACAAATCACGCGTGAATGTCTATTCATGCATTTACACATCATAAAAATTTGTGCCACGAATTCTTGCATCGAAAATACGTTGATCACGCAATCACGCCAAAATGCCTGTACTTCCCAGCTTCTAAATGCCTTGGCTTCCCAGCTTCTAAACGAGCTGGAATGCTTATGCTTGCTCGTATAAAAACTCAGAGGGGGCGTTATAAACGAAACTATGCTCATCAAACATGAAAACATGATCGGCGAAAATCTCAGAAATGCGAACAAAGTTTTGTTAACTCGTTCGTTAAAAATTTATATATTTTCTCAATTCTATTCTGTGCAAGGCTGCAGGTCATACCTCGTGAAAAATGCTTCAACATAGTCATCACAAGAAGGTAGTTTCCCTTCAATGTTGAATGATATCCATTCGATTTCCAAGTAGTAACTGGACGACGAGTTGAAACTAGCAGGTTTTATGTCGAATGAACAGTATTCATCATTTGAGTAGTTGAACCTCGACAATGTTTGCAGATAGGTTGTCGCATAATTTGTGGAATTATAGCACACTCCACTGGCATTTTTAAGCAAAATTGCTAAAACATGCCACAAAAGAACGACGCTTGATTTCATTTATGTAAGGCTTTGAACATAAATGTTGTTCATTAATGGTAAACTTGTAGTTTTCCAGAAGGTCTATCAAAAATCCTTTTGAAAGATGGAATAGCAATATATCAACCCCCGGCATTAGATTACAATGCGGCAGCAATAGCCTAAAATACACCCCGCAGAAAGGTACAATGCCTAATCCATGAGCCATCATCATCACGGCCTAATCAATGAAAATGTAGGAAGTCCAAAGGGTTACCATAAACAAATCAGCATTTAAAATCAGCATATTAGACAAGAATCAGCATTCAAGCAAAGCTTTCCAGTGTCGAATTCGAAGTGGATGGTAGATATCTTATTCGTGAAAAGGGTCACTAAACCAGAGTCACTAAACCAGCATTTTATTCCAGTTGGTCCAAACTTGGCAAACAAAATTATTTCTCAGCCAGTTGACGATTGTCAAATAATAAAAAAAGAGAATAACAAAAAAAGAAATGGAATTGAAAACAATCTATGTATGATGCTTTTATAGCTTGTTTATATTGAATGCAATCATAGTCAGTAGAAAATTGACTTTTTATTGCTCGTATAAAAACTCAGAAGGGGCGTTATAAACGAAACTATGATCATCAAACATGAAAATCTCAGAAATGCTATTGACTATGATGCAAGCAAACAGCTGAAAAATTGAAAAGCAGCTGGTCCAGACAAGGTACCCATAACTGTTGTCAAAGACGTGGCAGACTTTTTGTCAAAGCCTTTGTCGATGATATCCAAATCATCTTTAATCAACGGTAAATTCCAAGACACAAGGAAACTTGTAAGAGTAAGTCCGATATTGAAATCGGGTTCCAAAAAAGATGTAAACAATTACAGGCTAATTTCGATTATTTCAATTTTTCCTATAATTCTGGAGAGGATAGTTCACGATCAGTTATTTGACTTCCTTCTTGAAAATAACGTAATCAACAAGAATTCGTCATCGATTTATAAAGAAGAACTGGTGCTGGAAAATAAAGAATTGTGCTAGTTCGCCCCTGATATGAAAAGATGGTTATTTCGAGAAGAGATTCCTAAGAAGAAAAGAGAAAGCTTTTATGGTACAACAAAGCCAAAGGTGTAGTTTCAAGATCGCTATTTCTGGACCTCTTTTAAAAACATTGTAACTCAAGATTCAAAGATCAAGAAAGAGCAACGGTATGATGACTGTTTTTTCTTAGAAGATCGACTGCAAATGGCAAAAGCCTGACTGCAATACTTCTTTTCATGAGAATAAATTTCGCTGGAACTGAAAAAAGAGAATAAAAATTGGGAAATAATGGATAAAAACCAGGAGTTTTTAGCACTAAAGGCTAAAGAAATAATCATTGAATTTTTTGTCCTTGTTACTTCAGTTCTTAAATGTTTTAATGACAGAGAAGGACCTTTTTTAAACTCTATTTCTAATCAGATCGTTTTGGTCTGTTTTTATGAATATTCATCTGGTCTGAAATATTTTTAGTTTTCTGCTGTTTGTTTGATTCTCATTCTGAAAACATACTTTGTACTGTGAACACCATTAACAATCGGAACCAGATAAAAGAGAGTCTTTTAAATGGTTTAGGGTAACAAGGTGGATTTTCTTTTAACTTCATCATTGATAAATATACCACCAGGTTATATCTTTTAGTTTAGAGTTGAATTTTTTACATTAAAAAGAAATTCGAGAAGTATTAGGAATATGAAATCTGAAAAAGAATTTCTAGACTACGTCATCACTCAAGCAAAATGAGATTGATCATTGTTAAAAAAAGTAAGAACATAAAATCTGGTAGCATTAACAAAATTGAACTTCTGCTATCAAATATCATGCAACTATTTGCAGTGTTTAGGGTTAGAAGGTAAAAACGGCGTTCAAAATTTTTTTTACCAAACTTAATCAAGTTAAAAAAATGTAAAAATCAGTTTTATAAAGATAGCAGATTAAAAAGAATTAATTCCAATATTTCATCGCTTACAAGTCACTGCTCATTATGATATGGATGAGGATGTATATAAGTTTTACATAAAAACGTGAGCCGTTTGCGGTCGATTCAAGGACATGGCTTCTTTCAACCATTGCTATATACCATGCAAGTCATTGAAGTTACCGCGATACTAGTTAAAAAAGTCACTTTAATAGTTCCATAAGTGAAAATCATCAAATATTATAATCCTAAGGAGGACCGAAGTAGCTTGGATTCTGTGGTGGCGGTTGATTTGTTGAATACGGAGGTGGAGCCGTCGGGTAGGTACTGTTTGGTACAATGGCTGTTTGGTATTCAGGCGGTGGTATTGCGTTGGAATTTTGGGTCATGCTTTCTGCATATGAAGGTAAACGAGACAACGCTGTTGGTGGGTTAGAGGCATTCCCTTCAGTAGAAATGACGGCTGACTGTGTCATTCGCTGCTGCAAAGACTGCGTTCTTAGCAAAACGGTTTCATCGTCTGAGGCATTGGCAGCAATGAATATTGCTGAAGTAACGGCTTGGGAATGATTTGCTCTCTGTGATCTCTTGCGAAAACAAATTATGGCAATGATGACAATAAGTAGTAAGATTACACCACCTACGGTTCCACCAATGTATATTCCAGTTTTATTGGCCGGTTTAGAGGAAGACCCTTTACCTACAGATGAAAATTGATTTCTTAATTTATTTCTAAATTTATTTCTGAAGGTTCTATTGTGAAAAAACAGTGCTCAATTTTTTGTAAAAGTTCAGTCTAAAGGAATATTAATGCTCAAAATAATCAGAGTAAGGCTAAAATGCTTCATTGCGAGATGCTTTGCTCATTTTTTAATTCATGCAAAGCAAAACAACTCTCTCTTTCAAGCTTTTTATGTACATCAGAACAAAATTGTGTATATAAAATGAAACACTCTCTTTACTCTGTGAGTAACCAACTCTATCTATGACTAGATCTTGTAATTTGATCCTACATTGCTTTTATTACTTAAGGTTTTGGTGAAGCAACACAAGAAACAAAAACTGAATCTTTTCTTTGATTTTACGGCTCATTTACACCTTGTGTCAGAATAGAACAATTTAAGATTAATCTTGGGCTGGAATATTACTCAAAATAATGTGGCTTAGCAAAAAGTCAGGTATTGTCTTAAAAGAAATGTGTTTTTCAATCGCTGGAAGAGCAACAAGAATAATAGTGAAATGCATTTAATAACACTCCGATTGAGCAGAATCTTAGTTGAAAGAGGGCAAATCTGAAACCAATAAACACATTAAGATTAAAATGTACCGCAAATATATCCATTCCCCGTGTATCCTCTATTGCAAGTGCATCGGTATTTTTGGAGCGTATTTGTGCAAGAAGCATTAAAACTGCATCTATGGCTTCCTTCAGAACATTCATCTACATCTGGAACTTAGAAATTGAACGGGATAATCAGTAAACGAGAATCAGTCAAATGTTTTATGAAATTTCAATAGTTTAGCAAAGATGAAAGTTGCCATATCGTTCTTCTGAAATCAAAGTTTCCATTCATACATTTCTGAATCTTTCTGTAAAAGACAAAGAATTAAAAAAAGCCAAATCCTATGTTGAAAGAATAAAATATTCTGTACAGTGAAGAGAGCCTGTTGATGGTTGCCCAATGTCAAGCAGTTTATGCCGTTCTATAATCATCTTAAATATCTTGAAAACATTTTTATCGCAATAATGTATAAACAGAGATTCGATAAAGGATTTATTTCCAAAGTCGTTTTTTAGCTTTACATTTAAATATATCACCTCACACTCAAAATAAATTTTCTTGTCCAAAATTTTGCCGAATTGTTTAAATGATTTGAAGATAAAACTTGGACAACTGATTTGAAATTTTAGGCATAGCTAGCAAAGATCAAGCTGTTATTCAAATTCATTGTCATTTCATATCACGAGAGGTTGAAAATGGTTCTGATAAAAGCAACCATTTCACACCATACTAAAGGTATAAAACGATGGAAATCGTGTCCAAAAGAACACGATGGAAATATATCACCATCTCGAGAGGTTATCAGAACGTTTTCTAAAATTCAGTACTTTCTAGTGCCGAAATAGTATACATGAGCCATATGCAAGTCGATAAAAATATATTTTGATGCACATGAATCCTTCATGCCACATTTCTTATGATATTGCGGAAATCACTTGCCGAGACGTAGATTCCCAGTTTTTTCTGTCAAGTGAAAAGCAATTTAAGAGACAAAAGAACTTCCAATGTTACTTGAGGTCAATTTTTGAATCTTGGATCAAGCATAATAATTTAACCATATCGACCGTTATAAAATAATAAAACCGCATAATATATTGAAACAATTAGTAATTCTTACGAGTTTCATCATAAGCCATATAGCCAGCCATGATGCCACGATACCCAGTGCTGTTAAATTTTCTTTTAAAGTACATGTAAACGTAATTTTTTTTAACAGTATACACGGTTGGAAATAGGGTTCCATAGATCCTCTTGCTTACACATGTTGCACGTTCTGCTATGTTTGACGAAGTTCTGTAGAAACCGGAAGATGCTAAAAGTAATATTGAAGAAATCAGTTTCAACAAAATCTTTTTCAACAAATTGTTTACAATCTATCAAAATCACAAAAACCAACAGTAACAGGGTAATTTTGAATTTTGAATAGGAACCTTCTAACGAGCTTTGTTTTTTATTTTTTTCTCGATCTATGAAGGAACCAAATCTAGGTTTTACGTACTATGTTGTAAGGTTATCAGAAATTGGCTGATATATGCATGTGAATTTAGGATTTATGAAGCTGTGTAATGATAAATTGATGCTAAAAGAAAAATAATAGCACTTTGAACAAAATGTTAAAACGAAAGGAATACTTATAAAAGTAGGATTTACACTGCTCTAAAACATAGCCACACAGTTAACAAACATATGTTTTCATTCTTCACAAAGAGTCAAACAGGAAACACAATGAAAAGGCAATAAGCAGAAACTAAAACGTCTACTGAACATATTTTGGAAAGGTAGCAATTTTATTTATTTTACCCAAGACTTGAAAGTATGAATTAGTTTGGTAACAGTTGAGCGACGACCTTTGGTATAATGAAATGTCCATCACAGCAACGCGTACTGTATTTTTGCCAGCGTAATAGGTACTCCTACACGGATGGCTGCTTGCGTAGTAGGTGTATGGCCAACCAGAGGCGAAGAAAGTGGCTGCTGAATAACTACCCTTAAGACTACAAGGTAGAAAAAAATTAACCTACAAGGTAGAAACCTTTTTTAACGAAAAATATTTCACAAATTACGAAAACATTAAATCACAACAAGATCAGAAATTTATCATTAATTTTATTGATGTTTTGCATTTCATCAAACATATTCTAACCAAACTTGAAAAAGCAAGCATTTTGAAACATATTTATGCTTTTCGTCTAACACTTTTTAGAGTTATAAGGATCAAAAGATCGATCGAAAAATTATAGACTAAGAGAGAAACGCAATTAAATGACTTTTAAAAATATTGTCAAAGAAAAATACTGCTTCTCTATAGGCAAAGGTGTTTTATTCATTTGAATATAGAAATAAGGATTTCCTTTCACATTCAATGACATCATTGGCAACTTTTCTATAGGCAAGCGGACATGAATGGGCAATCCTTATACTTATGTGCATGCATTTTGATTGGCCAATTTCATTCCACAACTGGGTACGCATACTTACTAGCATATGTTTAGATCTATATTCTAATGCCTTATACCAACAATTGTGTGAGACAAAATGCTGAACCCTATTCAGACTAGAGGGGGCACAAAGTGGTTTTTCAATTGGTTTTTCTTACATAACTTCACGAGTTTCAAAGCAATACCCCTCAGACCTCTTGAAATTTAGGTTTAATCCAGTCTGACATATGTTCATATAAAATATTATTGTTTTTTGTTAATCAGGGGGTTATGTAGGGGTGTTTTCAAAGCTAGTCAAGTAAAAAAAGTTTAATATGCCACGGATTTGCAGCCAAAGTAGATACATTAGTAAAAATTAGTATCAAGGCATTGACTTTTGTCTTTTTTATGATTCTGATTAGAACATGTAAATTCAACATTGTTTTCTATGGTTTTTTGCTGTGCATGCGCGCACATTTGTTGACAAATTCCTAGGTGTTAATTTGAAAAAAACTGCAAGTTGATGGAATGAGCCAAGACAGTATAGATTATTTGTCTGCTTAGGCATTTAAAATGAACTTGAACTAATTTTATCATTTAAAAAATTGTTATTAACTTCATTTAGTTATATAAAAGGAACGATAACCATATACAATTGATGTTGAGTGCTTGTGTTGAAACGACAAAGATTTTGAGAAATAACATTAAAATTGTGTCATTCTTCTTGTTTCTGTTAGAAAATGCATTAAATTTGCTTTTTTTAAATCTTAGCCTTGTACTTGGGAAATTTATATGAAATTTTAAATATTTTCTAAAATTTTAAAATTTTTTGCTCCACCAGGCCGCCATTATGATGACGTCATCGCTGAACCACGTGGCTTAAAAATAAAACAATAGTGTATTTTTCCATCGTGTTTTTTCGGAACCTATTCTGACGTTTTATGCTCTGAGGAGTGTCAGACGAAAAAGCTTTTAGTATGTCGTAAAATGTTTGCTTTTTTCAAAGCCATTTTCAAAACAATAGTACTAAAATGCGAAGAGTAGTTAAGAGAACCATCATAACAAAGTTCATAGTCCTAGCAAGAAGGAGAAAGAAATTATGGAGGGGGGCACTTTGTGGTCTCCCCAAAGTTTCAAAAAGCCTATTCTGGATAGGGCTAATTCCGTTTCAAACTGTTTAATATTTTTCCAAAAAAATCAATTTTAATACAACCAAAATTTTATTTTATTCACAGCTCTATAGCATTCCATTTTAAGCAAAGAAGCGTTTATAATGAAAGTGAAAATATCGGCAGATAATTTAGAAAAGCTGAATATTAAATTAAAAATATTTGAATATATGTTGGTCATCCTCTAATATCTTATTTCTGGAAAAATTCCAGAAAAATGAAAGTGGTTTAAGAAGCTGTGTTTTTCTTCACCTTGGATTCTGCACCATCTTTAATTCTTTATTGATTCAAAAAAACACTTTGTGAATACATGAAATAATACTGGGAAGAATGCATGAACAAAATCAAATGAAAGACACGAAAAAAGAAGGAAATGCAAACTCACTAGCATGTGCTGCTTACTGGGAGTCCACCCATTGGTGATCCTGACTTGTTCCTTAACTGGTATGTTAATGAAAACCCTGGTCGTATAATCGAGCTGTCTGATTTGAAGACAATCTTTGCGTATCCATCATGGGAATACATGTTGAACGGCTTTGTGGCCATCATGTTGTCAGAGCAGTATCTCCCAATGCTTTTGAATGAACTGTAATATATATAAAGATTTGTTTTGAATAACAAGTCAATAAACTATCTTTCATGACTTTAAATCAATGTGATACAATTTACCGCATTTAATCATTCAAAAGCCCAAACATTTATTAAAAATGTTGACTTTAATTTGCACATTATTAAAAGAGAGGCGTTTTTAAACGGAGCGTGGTTAAGAGATCAAGACAGGTAGGTGGCTTTGGTTAGTTTGGCTTTTGGCATCAATATCATGATTCTAGAGTGTGCCAGATGTAGCAATAAGTACGCATTGCATTGGTCGTGTCTATATGAATTCCATGTTAGTATAGTCTCATCATAACACGCTGCATGAATTCATTAAGATGAACTGCAGAAATTAAACTGCTTGCTAAGAATGAGCATCCAGAACTGTGACCACATCAAAAGTTGTCATATATTTCAATTCTTTTCAGTTGCAGAACTTCCTTGTGATTCTTACAAAACATTTTAAACCAAGGCTAGGGAATATACAAGCTTCCCTGTATAAGGAATTTGTTTTTGCTAAAAATTTATAGATTGCCTGTTGTTTAATCATTGGGTTCACAACTTTCTTGCATTTTGCAAAGTCTAACAAGAATTCGGAGCTACAATCAACTTCTTTGAAACTTAGTTACAGGGGCGGATCTAGAGCAAATTTAATGGGGCAATTGGTAGTGGAAGTGCTGATAAATTTTCAGAAATTTCTGACAAGAGTACGCTTTATGCAACAATTTCAAACCTTAACTACTGACAAAAGGCTCCCTATTCATTTTCTTAGTACAAGCATGACTGAAGGTTTCTTATTAATGTCTCTCTTAATGGACAAATTTTCCGACTGAATATTCGATGCTCTGCCACAGTGGCTCCAACTCTGTTAGAGTACTCTGCAAAAGGGGGCTGACTTGAATGCTTTTTCCTTATTGAAAATTCGAATTTCGGGGGCCTAGAAAATTTGTTACTTTTGTTTTAATTTTGGAGTATGGCTGTATTGCTAGAAAGTACTTTAATGAATCGCCTAAAATACAATAGTGCATCATTATTGCAAATAGTAAGATTGATTGTTTAGGCGTGACTTTTAAATACTCCCAAAGCGTGACTTTTCTAGCAAAACATGAACCATTTTCGGAATAAACAACGTAATTTTGAGGTTATTTTTAAAGTAAACTAACCTATAAATCTCAGAAACTTTTTCACCCTTTTCCCATTTTTCAGAAAGGACGCACAATTTCTAAAAGGGCACCAAAATTGCTTCAATTTGGTGAGGGAAGCCCAACTACCCATAGTTGCCCCCCCCCCCTTAAATCCGCCACTGCTTGATTATGATCTCATTTGTTTATACTGCCATCCTAACAGTTCAGTTTCCGTCTCTCAATAAAATTTTAGTTCCTTTTCTAATTGAATAGGGATGTTCATGTCTGCACAACAAGGTGTGAGAACAAGAAAAGAGCAGCTTTAAAACTGGCTTTTTTATAAGCTTTATAAGCTTCTTTAGCATTTTTTAAAATTCAAATATTTTCAGAATTCTATTCTGCGTATGGCTGTATCTCATACCTCGTGAGAAATATTTCGACGTAGTCAACGCAAGAAGGTAGCTTCCCTTCAATGTTGAACGATATCCATTTGATTTCCAAGTAGTAACTGGACGACGAGTAGGAACCAGAAGGTCGGATGTAGAATGTACAGTGTTCGTTATTTGAGTAATTGGTCCTTGACAATGTTTGCAAAGATGTCGTTGCACCATAGTACCAAAAGCACTTTCCATTGGAAACTTTTAACAAAACTGCCAAGACATGCCAGAAAAGGACGAAGCTTGATTTCATTTTCTGTGAGTCTTTGAACATAAATGTTTTACATTATCCGAAATTTGTAAGTAGACGATGAAATTTTGAAAGATTGAAGAAGAAAATATCAAACCCCCGGCTTTATACCTGTTTTCCAATAGACACAATATTTTGCGCAAAGCGGAATTTCTTTTGTTTCTGAAACAAACTTTCAGGGGAGACAATAGTCCTAGACACTCTTTGAAAGTCGAATGGACAAAGGTCGAAGGCTACTTTTGCTGACAGGGCCATAAATCTATCATATGATTTTGGAGGGGGAGGGGGGGGTGTCAGCAAAGTGAATAAATATAAAGCGTGCAGTGGGTCATGGCATTTGTTGGGGAGACGAGTTAGGGTAAATCCGTAAGGTGTAGGTGGCCCCCCGTGAAATGAGTAGGTGCACATGCGTACTTTGCATTTCACATCAGATAGGCAAAGGGGGGAACTTATACAAAAAATAAACAACGTAGTCCAGCATTGTTCTAGCAGGTTTAATGCGCGCGCGTACCTACTCCTCGTAGCTAATTGGTTCGGACAAACCACTTACGCTTTTGTTCTAAACAATGGAGCCGCGATCTCGTCTCCCCAACAAGCATCACAAGCAATTTATGGTATGTCTAATGGAAACGGATTGAGGGGCAAACGATTTAAAAACGGAAGTCATAATTTTTTAGATTTCTCAAGACTTTCTGCTCTATAGAAGGCATTTACAGATATTCCTTAGAACATTGGACTTGTTTTATAACTTGATGGATAATATTTTTTAGAGACGGCCCCACACAATTGAACCTTGGGAGCTAAGAATCAAGATTAATAACGTAGAAGGACCCACCATGGTTGGGAACAACGCGAATAAAAATTTTCGAAAGTATACCTTCTAGAAAGGCTAAAAAAGCATCCCCCCTGACTAAACTTAATAAGATACTAAATCGCTCAGGATAGAAAATTCAACAAACACAGATTATTGTTTATTGAGCGAAATTGTGGAGGGGAAGAGTCATGCTTAAATTCTAGTGACAGACGTTTGAGGGTTGAGAGGGAAGGGACGCTGTTGTATTGATTGGTAGAATTTTACTGCCTGAACAGAAAAGTGCGTCTTCCTTATTTTGAAGCCATGTTAATACAAATAAATGAATACATTGTAATGAAACAGAAAGTGATTTACTAACTAGAAGCAAATGATAGACAAATAAAAGAAATATACGTAAATAAGTTAGTACATAGGCCAAATAAAATAACAGTTTCCTCTCTTTTTATTTCATGCTCTGTTTTCGAAAATAAAGCGGTAAAAAAGAGCAAAAAATTTATATTTTGTAAAAATGATAAAAACCACTCTTCTTACAAAAATAACGGCCATCAGGAAAAGTCAACTTGCACTTGACACCATGACTTAGTGGCTGAGGTTTATTGCAATAACACAGAAAAACGTAGTTTGGTTTTTATCCAGCTACCAGGAATTTCTTTCTTTGAAGAAAAACGAGAATTATTTTTCAAAAAAATCGTTTTGCTCCTAATTTTTTAGGGCTCCAGTCCCCCTCCCCCCAGGAATTACGGCCCTTCTTGCTGAAGAACCTTTAACTAAAGATCAAAAGACAACTAAATGTGCAAGAAATATTTTGGATCTTTCAGCTATGTCAAGCGAAAAGTGGGATATTTTAATCTGCAAGCGAACGACATCTCTGGCAGAGAACCGTTTTCAGACATTTTCGGATGTAGCCACAGATTTTGAAATACTACTAAGATGGGTTCCATTTTCTATTTCGATACAGAAAACAAAAATGCGAAAACCAAGTAAAGATCTGGTTGCTCTTGGGTTTTCCAACTCGTGTCAAAGCTTTTGATGCAGAACTTTTTTTGAAGAAATTTTCAATACTGGGGAAAATTTGCAAAAAGGGGACAACGAGAAATGACCAAAAGAAACACACGGGTCAACGCTGCGGTGAGGTACATCTTAGTCTTCGTTTTTTAAAAAACAGCGAGTTTTTCTTTGTGTTTCAGTGAAATTAGATTTTATAGACCTGTGATATCCTAATAAATTAGATGCAAAATTTTATAACGATGTAGATGTGCCTTTGAGGAAACTGACATGCTACATCATCACGTGAATGCTCACAAATCGTGTACGCTCATTTCAATGATGCTGTGAACATGCTAAGCAACATATAATCTCATCCAAAACCCGTTTTTTCGAAAATCATCTTGGTGGCCTTTTACGCAACTATTGGACCAACGATATTCTTATGTCCCGAACCTTAACAGATAACAAATAACAACCTTTACATCATGATATTCCTATTTCCTGAACCTAAACAGGTTTTAAGCTGAATTTAATTATGCTTTTCTGCATATTCCTTTTTGTATTAAAAATGTTTCACCTTAATGTTTAGTCAACATTATTTACAAATTTCATGACAAGATCAATACATCACTACATTATTACATCGCTGTCATCATTAAATTTGTATCAAAAGAAGCTAAAACTTTGAACGGTAAAAATGTTTATTTCAAGAATTTTTAGATGATGTATTGTGTTTAACACATGATATTACAATATAGCTATCTATTTCAGCTAAATAATCATTTTCAGTTGTGAGTTTAAATTATTCAAGCACGGTCGCCTAATCAACCTAGAGTGTTTTTTTTCAGAGCGCCAGTTTATGTCAGTTCAGTTAGCGATACAAATTAATTATATCTGCCTTAAAAAGGGTTTATTATTACTATCATCATATATATTATTATTTTAAAACCAAGAAACTTTGCATATAAGGTAGAATATTATGAAATCACGGATCTAACAAGGTTAAGACTTCGTTAGATTCTTCTTGATGGTTTTTATAATTCGATTATAATTCAATAATTTGTCTAAAATCTTTAGGCCAGCACAAACTGGTGTCCTGGCCCTAAAAAAAATGTCTGGCATAATGTACTTAAATGGCAATAATTAATTCAAGGACTGTTTTTTAGGTTTCTCTGAAATAGTCTGGGATCTCAATGCTTTTAATAGCACTAGAAGTCGTAGGATTGTGTGTAGGTTCCCGACGCTGCTAGTTAGATTGGAGCAAAGGTATGTGGTAGCTAACAGGACTCAGAGGTAATGTGGATTTAACTGTTTAAAAGGGTTGACTATGACATTACCTTAAGTTAAACCACATTTCAAAACAAGTTAAAAAGTTGTTAAAATACTTTCTAGCATAATGCACACCTAGTCTGGTCGGAAGGAAGATCCTGGCTTTTTGAGCTAGGAATGAAGTGGATGTGACAGAAAACTTCCTTAGTAGCTTGAAAGGGTCAATAGGTTAATTCCACATTTCATTGGTTGAAACTTGAGCCTTCGAGTTCACGATATCTCACGTTTCAATAAAACAATAGCGTGTAGAAGTTGCTATCAAGATCTCATTTCTATCAGCGGAGAAAGACGTTTATGTTTAGTGATTCACAGAAAATGAACTTAAGCCTCGTCCTCTTGTGGCATGTCTTGTCAATTTTGTTTGAAAATGCCAGTGGAGTGTGCTATGGCTCGACCAATAATGCAACCACGTCCCTGCAAACACTGGCAATGACAAATTACTCGAATAACGAATACTGTGTCTTCTACATCCAACCTTTCAGTTCTTACTCGTCGTCCAGTTACTACTTAGAAATCGAATGGAAATCGTTCGACATTGAAGGGAAACTACCTTCTTGCAAGGACTATGTCGAAGTATTTCTTACGAGGTATGAGTTGGCATTTTGCTTTTCCTCAATGGTCCGCAAAAACCTATAGTTTCTTGAAGGAAAATCTCCAACAGATTGACAGTGATTTATCATTACTCAGTACAGTGTTTTTCATATTTTGCTAGTTACAAAGGATAATTTTCAAATTGCTCTCTCCTAGCCAAATGAGAATTTCCTTGTGTGTACTTTTTTAGTATATTGTGTAACATTACATAGCGCTAGACCAGACATTGAAGGTTCTTGCAGGCGTTTGGAGGGGTGTAAGGTATTAGCATATTTTTTACGCGTATAAAACGGATTTTTTTAGTGGAATCAAATTCTTGCTGATGTCCGATTTCGACGATTAGGTGGATTCGTTTCTGGATTTTTCGCGATACAGCAAACGGATGCTGGATCCAAAAGAAGCCTGTGGATTTGTGACAAAATGTTCTTGCCTATTTGCACGGTTTCAAAGAAATTATAGATAATTTTTGCACAAGGTAACGTTGTCTATGGCTAATGACTGAATTCATCTATATCTTTTCAATAAATAGAAATGAACTCAATAGTAAACGAAGAGCTTCCTTATAGAGATTTGAAAGGTATGCGCACCAAATTTTCAAAAAATCCTATTATTGCTCACCTCAACATACACTGTATCCGAAACAAATCTTGTGAACAAAAAGATTTTATGAGCACAGCTCTGCTTGACATTGTGATCATAAATGAAACAAAAATTGATAACACCTTTCTTACAAGCCAGTTTCAAATAACAGACTTTAGACATAAATGCTCTTGGTGGTGAATTGCTAGTCTACTTAAAAAATACAATCAAATGTAAATAAACTAGCAATTCAGAGGATAGCCTGTTAGAGAACATTTGCCTTGAGGTGAATTTGAAAAAAAAGATCTGGTTACTTGTTGCTACTGATAATCCAACCAATTCAAGGTATAAATTCTTTCAAAAGTTACTAATCACAATTCTTGATGAAGTTAATTTGAACTAAAAAATTTCATCAAACATAACTTTATCAACTCTTAATATATATATTATCGAGACTATAAGAACTTCAGTGAAATGTCTTTTCTCCAGCATTTAACCAGCATCTACAACATGCACCTTTAGAACTTTGTGATAATCCAAAAAGTGCAGAAGACACCATTAAGCTCTTTGAAAAAATCTTCTGTCCCCTTGTTAATACACACCCACCTTTGAAAAAGAGGCTAATAAGGGCAAACAATAAACCCCTATAAGCTGTGCACCAGAAGGCAATTAAACTTATAATAAAACTCAAAAACTGATACAATAATTACAGTACACAAAGTCACTTTGAGAACTTCTAAAAGAAAAAGGAATCATTGCTCTAATTTAAGAGCAAGATTTAATTCAAACTCTTTCAAAATAAGGCATATAATTATTTCATAAAGAGAATCAATTCTTCATATTTTTAAAATTGTTACCTTTGGAAATTTTTGGTCCTGCTCACAGAACAAGCAGGACCTTTGGCTTCGCCACTGTCAGAAACTATTTTTTTATTAAATCGACACAGAGACAATTGACACAATAACAAGGGAAAGAGACAATTGACACAAAGACTCTTGCATCCTCAAAAACTCGTACATTTTTAAAATATCTGTAAAAATTTCATTTTCAGAATATGCTTTGTTTTAATTGAATTGGTAGATCATAGCGCTAAAAACGTTTTGCTACTAGTTTTGGCTGATAACCTTGTATTTTAGTTTTTTCCTTTTTCCCTGACTATATATAAAATATATATTTCATAAACAGAGAGAATATGTTCATTAGGTGTTATCAACACTATCGTTACTCTAACCTATGATAAACATGAGCTGTACTGCACCTTTATGTTCTCTAGACAATGATTAAAAGTCTAAAATGACACATACTGTGTGTAACCTGCCCAGTATTGCAATAAGCAGCAAGGAAAGGATTTTGCTACATTTTCTACATTCGTCTCAGTATCAGTTTACTTTGTAAAAATTTTGGCTCAGTCCACACAATACCAAAAATCTTTTGTTGATTTTTGAATTCCATATCAGATCTGGCATCTTTTCGAATTATGGTAAAGTTGTCTTTTTTACAACGCTCCGATATACTTCATAACAGCGCACTCTGGGACGACTAGTCACTCGTTGCTATACTTTAGTCTTTCAGCAGTTTTCATCTTTCATTTTTATTGAAATACTTTTTCTTTTAGCATTTTTGTTTTATTCTGGAACACCTTCTTTAAATTGGAGGATCTGCGGCACAAAAATTCCAACAGTGTATACTGCAGAAAAAGGTTACGTCTACCTGTACTTAAACCGACCACGAAATAACACTGGGTGTCGTGGCGTCATGGTTGGCTACATAGCTTATGGTAGGGAGTATTTTTCAAAAGAGTCTTATTTCGATAAACCAACAGAGAGCACAGAAGATATCATTTATTGTTAACAAGACCTACAGAAATGCATATTGTTTCTCGTCCGCCACGTCCTCATTTGGATGGACGTGAGACTTAACATACATGGTAGTTCAAAGGGAATTATGACAGGTTAAAAAATTTAAGGTTTTTCAGACTTGCAATAAATGAAAATCGATCACAGCAGAGAGCAGGTTGTTTTAGTCACCTAAAATTTCTTACTTTTAGAGTGAAATCATCATTGTATAGAATTCCATTTCGTAAGAATGTATAGAATTCCGAGAAATCAAATTGAAGATGATAATAAATCATTAAAGGAACAAATTTCTTTAAAGTTGATGCCTACAGAAAGTTGGTATCAAAATTTAGTCATTTTATAACAATTAGAGTTTCGTTGAGAAGCATGGCATGAATTTCTTGGGAAAATGGACGTCAAATATGTCAGATCTGTCAAGATATGAGCAGTTATAACCGTCGAATTGGTCGCTGGGCTGTTATTTCATCCTGCACATCAATGCAAAGAAAGTCTTAAATCTGGAAAATTAAGTCTGGAAAGTTTTAAACATACCCAGCAAAGCTGAAAATCCCTCGTGGCTGTGAAGACTCTTATTTCAAACAGTTTTCATCTTTAAATATCTTTACTGCTGTCTAGTGCACGATTCTGATTCAAATTCATAGAGAAAAAGATTGACTTTATAACTGATGAGAAAGGAATTATTGTGAATCGTTAGTGAAATACCTTTTTTAGAAATCCAAGGCCATGCTCAACAAATTATGTCGTTCTTTTTATGTTGTATTTATGAGAAACAAACACATTCCACCAAATTCAGCTGCTATTGCCATAAAGAAAGATTGTCGCTATGCTGTCCTTTTAGCAAATGTGTCTTTTGATTGTAAGTTATGCTAGAGTATCCTACTCACCTGACTGAACTACCGGCATCAAAATATATTCTGTCTATTTGTTAGCAAAGTGGATTCGGAATCTCGCTGAATCAACACGTTATTGTTAACAGAGAATTAGAATTGCGTGAAATGGTCTCTGATTTCTTGTTGTTCAGGTGGCAATGATTGTACCTCTGGAACCCATAATTGCAGTTCTAATGCTTATTGCACAAATACCCGCGGCTCATACCGATGCACTTGCAAAAGCGGGTACACGGGGAATGGATTTAGGTGCAGTAGAATTGGTAACGTACATTCTATTAGAAACTACATTATATAGACCAATTTTTGAAAGTGACATTCATTCATATTTAGAAAAAAATTTTTCTAGCACTAACAATAACAGCTCTCGTCATAACTGGATTCTTAATATTATTTTGATATTAAAGATCTTTTTATTTATCAAAAATTACTATTCATGTCATAAAATTTCATCTCTCTGGTTAGTTGAATAAATTGCATGATGTAAGAATTTAGGGAATATTTTTTCACTATTTGATGGCTACAAATAGGACAAGAATTTTAATGTATACAATTTTGTTTAATTTGTTGTAAATTTTTAACAGCGTTGAATTTGACAAACGTTTTGAACATTTTTGAATATAAATTTAATTTTCAAACCAGAAAAGAAAATGGGCAGTTTTTAAATAACAGATCCTTTTTGCTTAATTGAAACATTTCTAAAAGCATCCCGCCGAATCTCATTAATTGATAATGCAATACAATTTTTAATGTTTAGATGTGAATGAATGTACACTTGGAACCCATAAATGTGGTAAATACGCTACCTGTACAAATACGATCGGTTCGTACAAATGCACATGCAAAAGCGGTTACACAAAAGAACGCGATCGTTGTGTGGCTTCAGGTACTGTCTTTTATGTGTGTTTTTTAGCTGAACCATTCACAATTTTTTCAGTTATGAAATATTTAAGTATTTCATAATGTCATGTTATAATATAAACTTAGTGGGAGTAAAATTATAATGTTTTAGTATTGTGATTAGACTTGTGCCGTCTTCCACCGACGGTTCTGTATCTTCATCGCTGCAGCTCTGAATTTAAAGTTTTCCTAAATAAATCTTCTATAAAACTATTCTTGAAACATTAATATGCTGCGACAGAAAATTTTGTAATACAGATACGTTTTTGGTTTTAGATAATGGATTAGTTTTTATTGGAGCTCTCTTTGGTACACTCTTGGGGCTTATTACGTTCATTGCAGTGATTAAGCTTGCCGCGAGATTTTGTCCATTAAAGACAACTTCAACGACAAGACAAGCAAACCTGCCTCTGGCCGCTACCTCAGCAACATTCGGCGCAGCCAATGCCTCAGCCAATGATACCTTTACGCAGAATGCGGAGCCATGGCAGCAGAATATGCCACAACCTGCTGTAATTTTCAATGAAGAAAGTTCCTGTCACGCTTCCACAGAGTCAGTACTTTTACCCTCATATGCAGCAAGCACGGCAACAGATGCCAACGCAGTACCACCACCTGAATACCAAGCAGCTATTGCAACAAGCATCAACTACCCCATGGCCCCTCCTCCCTATTCATCTAGCATTGCATCAAGCAGTTTTCCGCTACCATAGAATAAATACTTGGTCAGGCAACCACAGAATTAATATGCTTAATTATCATCATTTATGCAACTATAAGACTTGTCTTTTACTTTTGTTACATACAGCAAAAAGTGGAAGCAGCAAATTTCATGAGTAACCGATATTTCACGTTAAATTTTTCATATAAGACACTGTATAACTATCAGCTATTAAGATGTATACTTGTGGCTATCTCTCATTTTTCTGTATCATTAGGCCTCTAAGATACAGGATCTCAATACAAGGTTTTATCTTCAAACGTAATCAGCATACAACGAAGTACTAACAATGTCAATAAATTTGAGTAAAGTACTAAAGACTTTTCCTGTAGCTAAATAGTGTCGGTCGAGTTAAAGAGCAATATCTCATTGGCCTGGCGAACACCCTCACCCCCGAATGGCATGCACAGAACCACCGACCGTTAACTTTACAACGCAGCTAATCACTTATCACGCCGTCCTCACAACCCACAACATGTTTTCCCTACCATTGTAATCATTATCACCACCATCATTACTATCACCGCTACCATTATTACCATTACAATTATCGCCATTATCATTATTGTCACTTCGATCACAATTATTATTCTTGTTTTATATTAATATTCAAAGTCATCATTATCATCCCATTGCAGCAATCTCTACAGCACCACCCACATTCCCTCATATCATCTACCACCATTCCCCTGTCCACTTCCATCATCCCAATTTTTTCTCCGCTGCGCTGCATTCACACCATTCAACATCATCCAATCAGGTATCACCATCTCATATTTCAAATTCATTTACACGTTTCTTTCCGTTTTCCTGATAAATCCCTGTAAGCCGGGGTGAAATATAAGTATTTATTTTATTTAATTTATTTTGAAAATTTATCTCGTTACATTGGATTTGTAAAAGTGTATTTCTATTGTCAATTTTTCCATTGGTTTTCTTCGCATATTAGAGCCCTGTGACCCTACCTTGAAGATACCTCAGAACGTACTCTAGCGCTCAAACGTCCCTTAGAGTTATGCACTTCGCGACTGAAAAGATCTTACAAACTGTGTCACCTAAACTAATACTTAGCAACCTAATAACACCACAGTTTCCAATCAAAGCATTTTCAAATGCAAAAAGCAAATAAACAAAGAATAACTATATTTGTCGCAACAAACAACTAAATTTTGCAGCTCAGCGTTTCTGCCCTCGGGTGATGTAGGTGAAAGGTTCCAAGATCATCTTATCAGTTAATAGCTATTGAAAACATGATAACGGTTTGCATTCCAAAAAGAAACTCAAGTATATGAAGTTGAACTGCCCATGGGCGTAGTGGATGCAATGAAACTACCTACAAAGCATCAAAAGAGAAACGGCATTCTTCGTACACAGTGACAGGATACTCAAAATATGATATCCAGCAACCATATAGGATTCTTTTAGAAATGGTTCAATAGATATCATCGTATTGCGCATACGGAGAAGCCAAAAATTGCCCGGGCATGTTTCGTCAAAAACTCTGATCGTTGTGACTCGTGGCACTCTACCTATCATGACTGATATCTCAGCAAGGTCAAGAAATTCTGTCTCAAGTAGACTGATTACTCTCTCTAGGCGTACCAACCCTTTCAAGAATGCATTACTTAATGTATCAGTACTACGTCTTTAACATCCAGCCCTCAAGTTTGTGTCCATCATCCCAATGCTTTAGGCAATCCTAGTACGTCAGCTAATTTTATTTTGTAAATGCAGACCCCAAAAGTACAAACATAATTCAGAATGATGGTCAAGTAAAAATGCAAATACCGCTTTCACGACAATGGGAATTAAATTTTACAATATAAAATTAGAATCAAATTTCACCCCCAGAATATCTCCCAATCTTAACAAGGGGGCCCTTCGCTCCCCTCCTCCATGACACCACTGACCTAGCGGTAATTCAATTTGGTAAGACGATCTATTGGTTCAAATTTGGAGTAAGCGACCTTATCTGTATGCCATAAGCTCACCAGGATACGCAGATAGTAGAGAATAAGTTGCGGCGCTCTCAGAAATCGCTGATGTTTTAGGTAACACAGATAAGTTGGAATTCTTACCGTATGATAAATCTTTCTACTTGTTCTAAGTACATCGTAGAATGCTTGATAAGAAAATATTTTCTATATTCCAATGCTCTTAAGTTGAAGAAATGGTTCCCTTAGTTTTCTAAGAACTATAGTTGCTGTTTATTGGTATAACTGCTGTGCTAATTCTAATATTTATTCCGATATCTGCAATTTGTGGATAATGGAGTATGGTTATTGATTATAGATTACTCTTCATTTCTTATTTTGATATTTATTTTTTGTTTCACAAACAACATTGATAAGATGAGTTCTCCTTAGTAATGAATGCAGCAGGTATCAGGATCGCATCCAAATTCTTAACTCTAATTCTTGGCGAGGTTGTTGTACTTCACACCATGTGAACTGGGCTATGATCAACGTGTTTAAGAATATTTATAAAAAATGCGACTAGTTTTATCGGAGGATCAATGCTATTATTGTCTTTTTTATGTTCTATCGTTTTGATCTATTGGCAGATACCATTCGTGAAAAAGCAAATTGCACAATTGCCCATATTTTCCCGCCATATTCTAAGCGAGGCTCTAGATGTTAACGATACTGTTTAACCGCAGACATAATAAAAGAAACACAAGTGTGCGGGCAAAGTAATTCAGTCGCCAGCGACAAAAATCGTTAGTGTGCGCTAAACGTCATGAGTTAACGTGAGATAATATTTTACCAAAGGAAGCCGACGCGTGGGAGGAGAATGTGCAACAATTTGCACTTGTTGATCTTACGTAATGCATTTGCACTGAGTAGTATTTTGGATGATGTAAACAGTCTTTTTTAATCGGTTGTGAAAGAAGAGAGAAAAATGACTTCAATCATTTTGGTACCCTGGGCCTCAGAGAGTCAAAGGATGAAGAACAGGGGAAAGGAAATGCGAAGGAGAATGGAAGAGGAAAAGGGAGGCCGTATTTTGCACAGGTAAGGGAGGCCGTATTTTGCAAAGGTAAGGGAGGCCGTATTTTGCACAGGTAAGGGAGGCCGTATTTTGCACAGGTAAGGGAGGCCGTATTTTGCACAGATAAGGGAGGCCGTATTTTGCACAGGTAAGGAAGGCCGTATTTTGCACAGGTAAGGAAGGCCGTATTTTGCACAGGTAAGGAAGGCCGTATTTTGCACAGGTAAGGAAGGCCGTATTTTGCACAGGTAAGGGAGGCCGTATTTTGCACAGGTAAGGGAGGCCGTATTTTGCACAGGTAAGGAAGGCTGTATTTTGGACAGGTAAGGGAGGCCATGTTTTGCACAGGTAAGGGAGGCCGTATTTTGCACAGGTAAGGAAGGCGGTATTTTGCACAGGTAAGGGAGGCCGTATTTTGCACAGGTAAGGGAGACCGTATTTTGCACAGGTAAGGAAGGCCGTATTTTGCACAGGTAAGGGAGGCTGTATTTTGCACAGGTAAGGAAGGCCGTATTTTGCACAGGTAAGGAAGGCCGTATTTTGCACAGGTAAGGGAGGCCGTATTTTGCACAGGTAAGGAAGGCTGTATTTTGGACAGGTAAGGGAGGCCATATTTTGCACAGGTAAGGGAGGCCGTATTTTGCAAAGGTAAGGGAGTCCGTATTTTGCACAGGTAAGGGAGGCCGTATTTTGCACAGGTAAGGGAGGCCATATTTTGCACAGGTGGGGGAGGCAATATTTTGCACAGGTAAGGAAGGCCGTATTTTGCACAGGTAAGGGCGTATTTTGCACAGGTAAGGGAGGCCGTATTTTGCACAGGTAAGGAAGGCTGTATTTTGGACAGGTAAGGGAGGCAATATCTTGCACAGGTAAGGAAGGCCGTATTTTGCACAGGTAAGGGAGGCCGTATTTTGCACAGGTAAGGGAGGCCGTATTTTGCACAGGTAAGGAAGGCCATATTTTGCACAGGTGGGGGAGGCAATATTTTGCACAGGTAAGGAAGGCCGTATTTTGCACAGGTAATGAAGGCCGTATTTTGCACAAGTGAGGTCGGCCGTATTTTGCACTGGTAAGGAAGGCCGTATTTTGCACAGGTAAGGAAGGCCGTATTTTGCACAGTTAGGGGAGGCCGTATTTTGCACAGGTGGGGGAGGCAATATCTTGCACAGGTAAGAAAGGCCGTATTTTGCGCAGGTAAGGAAGGCTGTATTTTGCACAGGTAAGGAAGGCTGTATTGGTCCAATGTTCCAGTAGGCTCTTGATCGTCATATCGGCGATTTTTCTGCGGTTCAAAATAGGCTGTAAGTTTATCTTTGACTGTATCGTAGGCACTTGCTTCACCGGTGTTTTCGAGCTGATCAAAAATCTATCTCACTGGGGGGGGGGGGGGGGGGGGGGCCAGCTTGGTATAACAACAGCGCCCGTTTACGAGTGTTATCGGTGATGCCTGCGGCAACAGTAAACGTTTCAAAATCGGAAATCCATCAATACGAAATCGCGATACTTGCGCCAACCTCTCCGCTATCGGGATTAAATTCGGGAAAAGGCTGTAGTGAAACGGTGTGCGACATACTGGTGCACTGGTTTCCTCTTATTTTTACTCGTCGCCAATATGATATTTACGTAAATGAGGTGAAAGGCCAAGGCAAGACATGAGACTTCATCCAGCAAGCAAACTCATCTCTATTCACACACGTGTTTACATGGTGTCTACGCGTTGCCCAGGAGGCCTGAGACCTACTCTACTACATCAGCAAGGTTACATACTGCAGTATCAGTTACCATTAAGAATGAATCATTGATATATAAATTAAATAGAAGAGGCCTTAGGACTGATCCTTGTGGTACACCTGCAAAGGTTGAATATTGGAGTTATGTCTCCTAATTTAAGATCTTCAGGAAACGTTTTCTGGAGCAATGAATTATTGAAAATTTTCGTCAGTAATGGTAAAAAAATGTCTTCGATTTCTTTCAGTATTCGCGGAGGAATACTTTCAATTGTAGTGAAAATGAAATGAAAATGAAATGAATGGAAATTTCAGGGAAAAAAGGGCTCAAATAAATCTATCAACCAAAGATGCTTACATGAATGAAATGGAGTTCTCCTTGATGAGAAGTCTCAATGAGACCATAGGCGAAAAGCAAAGAAGGGTGTCACAGAGAGAGGATGATGCTGATGTACAATAAAACGAAAATGAAATTCAATAAATAAATTCGATGTACAACAAAACGAGATTCCAATTGCATTACATTCCAATACAATTTTATATTTTCGAAACTCCTTAATTTGTAATCATGGATAAACTTATCATAATACATCATGCAAGAGAAGGTACATCTTATTATCTATTTATAAATCGACAAACGTTATATGAAGAAATGTGGTAAAAATAGAAATTCTTTGCTGTAGGAAATGAGTTTCATTATTGACCCAAATAACATAAGATAAAACTTGGCACCGGTCTTGTTTGTTCTAGATGGGTTGAACTTTCAATTTTATCTGCCAAAAACTATAGTCTGTGCCTCCGATGAATTGGGTTATAGGTTGTATTCATAGAATTAACATTTTTTCTTTATAAAACAATGGCCCTGTGTTATAAGTAACTTCGTGAGTCTTGTCTGTCGTGATGTTATTGGGAGCCCTTAACTGAATACCACAACTGCTTGTGGCTTATCCAACCCCAACGTCTCTGATTTCTGCATAACCGAAGCTTCAGCGGAAGCATTAGCGACGATGTATGTTGCCGAAATAGTCGCTTGAGACTGGCTTGGATTTGTGGCTGCAATTGATTCCCTGCAATGATGCGATCTCTTGCACCAACAGCTTATGACTATGGTGATAATAAGTATCAAGGCTACAGCCCCGACTGCACCACCGATGTAAGTTCCCGTTTTGCTGGCCTTAGAGGAAGAACCGTCTCCTACAGATAAATCGATATTTTCGATAAAGCAAGAAGTTTTGCGAAAGATAATATCACAAAAATTGACTGAAAACAGCTTGTAAAAGGGTATCTCAAAGAAATACTCTAAGAACTTCCCGATTTTGAAGAATCCGAATTTCATTTTCGCTTTTCAAGACGTATAGGCATACACATAGATTTGATCAAGATAAATGGAATTTTACACAACATTTCAACATTACACACCATATCTTATTTTTTATACAACATTTTTGTTTAATTCACGTATGATTCCATATCAAAAAATAACATTTAAATGAAAAATGGTTTTGTATCTTCTTTCACTGTTCTCAAACTACATGTTCAGTGACAAGTTGTTGTATTTTACTTTCGAGATATTCACTAGCCTGCGTGCAGACTCTACTGTTTTCAACTCGGCTTTCTACCTTTCCGTTGAGTCGAATTTATAATTCAACTCAACGGAAAGGTAGAATAGAGGAAACATAGGAGCCTAGAACAATAAATTTTTAATTCAACTCAACGGAAAGGTAGAAAAAAGGAAACAAAGGAGCCAAGGTGAAAACAGTTGAGTCTGCACGCAGGCTAGATATTCACAGAAGTGCATATTATAAAAAGAAAGTGTTTCCACTCCATGGAAGGTATCTTCTATTAGTTTGTCCAAAAAAGACATAATTGTGAAAAAATATGGGAAACTACAGGGCCTTTGAACAAATTACAAGCAGTTAACAATTTGATATAAATCTGCTAATATTTCAATGAAAAAAAATTGTTATAACTCGGCATTTCCGACATTCCACACGACATTACAATGTATTTGCTAAAAAATGATAGTTACCATTTCCAATCAATCTACAGCTTGTTCCATTTCCGGAATACCCTTTTTTGCAAACACATGACGACACGGCTCGTATTGAAATACAGTCTGCGTTCACACTGCAATTAGCACAAACATGCAGATCTGAAACGAAAAAGTTTAATAGCTCGTTACAATATTGAAGTTCATTGCAAACACTAAAATTGATCATCCGAAAAGACTTAAAAACAATGACAAATTTGTATAGATGATGCAGGCGTTATTGGAAAAAAAGCCTTTTAACCTTTTGTCGCTTGTCTATGGCTTGACTAAAACATCCACCGACTATGGCATGAACCAATTGAGAAGTGTAAGAGATGCACGAGAGACTCATATTGGCAAAGATTATGCTTTGCGGCAAGCTACCTTTTCAAAAAATTTTATTTTGCAGCTATATTAAAAACATGGAAGATGTTCCAACATTCTGCAAATATAAGGAGATCTTAGAAAACAGACGCTTAAAGTAAATGGCATTCATGCATCGTTCTTGTAGTATGAAGAATTATCTATTGGATTCAACTGAATGATACTAAATTCACTGAAATAATATTTCATAATTTTTGGGGTAATAAAATAGAGAAAATTGCAGCAAAAGGTAATTACAATCTTTTAGGCAGAAATATCCATTCCATGCATAACCACTTTTGCATGAGCACCTGTATGAACCAATGGTATTGATACATATTACATCGGAGCCGCATTTGTCTGCCCATTGTGCACATTCATCTTCATCTGTAAATGAAATGTTGTGGACTTTCTTATAATTTACTTGATTACTCATACTCATAATAACGCGGGGAGTTCTTATTCTTATGAGTGCCCACGATGACATCTGTTAATTCTAGAATAATACGCTTTTGGCTTCCTTGTATGCTGAAAATGTCTTTCGAAATATAGATTTAGTAACAAAAACTTCCATTTTCGACTCCAATCTCTATAGAGGAAATTTTGATTGGCCTTAAACTATTTATTGAGAATGGTCTTTTGCAGAAATCATTAGAACTAACAGCTAAGTTAGATAATTTTGAACTCGTAAAGTCGAGATGATTCTCGCTGACATATTTTATTTGACATGTTGAAGAACGAAGGATAGAGATGAAAACGTTTCAAATCAATCAAACTAAAGTGCTATTGTATGCTTCTATATTGAATAGGTAGTTTATAACTTGCTACTCAGAGTTTTATCCTGTAAACTTTACAAGATAGGACTATCACATTTTTAAATGCAAAAGTGAGAGTTGGGGAAAAAAGAAAGAATTAAATTTAAAGCTCATTCTTGGCTTATTTTTGCAGCAAAATGTGTAATGCGTGTTCGGCACATGAGAAGTGCGACGTTTGAACCAGGCCTTAGGTTCCGCACATGAAAAGTACGACGTCTATATTGACGTCGCGCTTCTGCCGTTCGGCACGGCAAGACCAGCCGAGCCAACCGTTCTGCCGTACTTAATCAATTTTGTCGAGCTAAACTAAGTTAAACGTCGAGCTTTTCATGTACCTAATTTATCAATTTGGCTCGTCACATGATAAGCACGATGCATAACCCGGGCCTAAACGTAAGAATTACGTGGAGTGATCACATCGAGAGGAAAGACCAGGATACTGCTTGCAAAGCATTACTGCTTGCAAAGATACTGCTTGCAAAGCATTACTGCTTGCAAAGATACTGCTTGCAAAGCAGTTTTCTCGGGTTCCTTAAACTACCTTCGGGATATAGGAAGCAAATACAAAACAGCAGAATACGATGAATTTGTATTGTATTTTTTATTTGCTTTTACCTAGCATCCGAAGGTAGTTTTTAGAACACTGAGAAGCTATGCTTACCGAGCAGTGTCCTGGTTCTTTCTCTCGATGTGACCACACCTCGTGATTCCTATGCCTGGAATTACAAAGAGCTGGCGACTCTCCTTACTCTGGGTGAAAGTTTGGTCATGTCAGCGACTCGAACCACGGACCCTTGGGTCTGTAGTCAGCGCCTCTAACAACTGAGCCATCCTCGCACCCAACTGATAAGCACCAGGACCAGATGGAGTTGTGCAAGGGGACTGGTTAAAGAATTTCAGCATGATTGAAAAACACTTTCATGAATCTCTTGAGGATAGAACACGCACGTTGGCTAAGAAAAGTGAACTAAATCTTATAATGAATTACTTCTATCGCCTGCGTTTTGCAAAAAATACCTGTGCAATGTGTGCCATTCCCGATGAAACCTCTTTCGCAGTAACAATGATATGAACGAACAAAATTTATGCAATTGGCATGAGGATGGCATCTATGTGTTCCTCCAGTACATTCATCGATATCTAAAGCTAATAATGTAGTTCAAAGTCATTTCATTTTTATTTCTTTAGAATATTAATCTTACAACATTAACAATGAACAAAGTAAGGCTTCACTTCATTGAATACAAAATTTCATTTACCCTTTTTCACATTCTACTGATATACTCACTGGTAAATAGGTAGGAAGTACCAGCTAAAAACCATTGTTTTGCCGGCGTTAGCACCTCCCATACCTACACGCTGCTCAATGGCGGCGCCAGCCACTAAGCTCTGGGGGGGGGGGGAACCAAAAAAATTTATACCACGTCCTTTTAACCACCAGAACACGCCATTTTACCAACAGGGAGCGCCAATTTTATCCAAAGTGAACGTCTATGACAAAATTTTGTTTGAAAATTGGCAGTTTGAAAACCATAGGATTACATCACAAAAAGTACGGTGTCAAAATATTACCCCTCCCCCAACATTTTCTCATTGAATTTAGACGAAATACAAAATCGATTCTGCTGAGAACTGGGGGGGCGTGTCCCCCCAGTCCCCCCCGTGGCGCCGCTACTGACGCTGCCTATGCATGATAGATAATACATATCTAAGCTTTTACACTTCAAGCTTCTAATTTCGGCTGCAAAAGTAACGTCCATAACTAATAAATGTGTTAGAAAAAATTATTCTCCTCGATAAAAAATGCAGCCAAATTCTTTTTCACTTTTAGAATATTATGAGATATTGAGAAAAGAGAGGTTTAGCTTTTCCGTGTAGCTTTGTTTGTTTTTAAAGGGCTTGTTCGTTATTTTTCTGGCAGGTTACAGTATTGCATCATGTGATATGTTTTCTGTCACGAGTTATAAATATAACAATGTACCGTAATGCCTCAAACAAACGCCCCCCTCAAATAAGAGCACCCTCGAATAAACGGCCACCTTAAGGGTGAAGTAATTGAATAAGGTCCCCCCCCCACTCGAATAAGCGCGCGTCTCTCGAATAGGCGCCCATCCTTCAACCTTCAGAAACGGGCGCTTATTCAAATTTTCAACGACAACATAATTGGAAAGCAATTCAACAAGAAAGATTAATGAACAACACAATTTGCACCCAAATCACTTTTTAAATAAGCGTCCCCTCGATTAAGAACCTCCCTCGAATAAGCGCCCACTTTAAAGCCTTAAAAATTAAATAAGCTTATTCGACGCGTTACGGTAAATGTACACATGAAAAATCATCTACAGATAGTGGGCTCAGTTGTTTTATCATTATAAGGTTTTAAGATCATTGTTTCTCTTTATTTCATTCATTTAATGATTCCAAGTAATCGCCATACTCAAAATCAGGTTACCCTGGCGATCAGAGTCCTAGTGAGCATAGCACCCATGGTAAAAGGCACCAGGACCAGATGTTGTGCAAGGACACTGGTTGAAGAGTTTCAGCATCTTTTGAATGCACTTTCAGGAGTGTCTCGAGGATTGGACTCGTTAAAGAATTTCAGCATAATTTCAAAAAGACTTTCAAGAGTCTTTTGAGGATGGGACACGCACGTTGGCTATGAAATATGAACTAAATCTTATAATGAATTACTTCTATCGCCCGCGTTTTGCAAAAAAATACCTGTGCAATGTGTGCCATTCCCGATGAAACCTGCTCCACAGAAACAAAAATATGTATCAACTACATTTATGCAAGTGGCATTAGGATGGCATCTATGAGTTCCTCCAGTACATTCATCTGAAAATAATAATATAGTTCAAAATCACTTTATTTTTATTCCTTTAGAATAATAATCTTACAACATTAACAATGAACAAAGTAAGACTTCACTTAATTGTATACAAAATTTTATCTACCCTTTTTCATATTCTACTGATAAACTCACTGTCAAAATTAATATTTGCTATAAAAAATAGATAGGAAGTACCAGCTAAAAACCATTGTTTTGCTGGCGTTAGCACCTCCCATACCTACACGCTGCTTATGCATGATAGATGATACATATCTAAGCTTTTTCATTTCAAGCTTCTAAGTTCGGCTGCAAAAGTAACGTCCATAACTAATAAATGTGTTAGAAAAAATTATTCTCCTCGATAAAAAATGCAGCCAAATTCTTTTTCACTTTTAGAATATTATGAGATATTGAGAAAAGAGAGGTTTAGCTTTTCCGTGTAGCTTTGTTTGTTTTTAAAGGGCTTGTTCGTTATTTTTCTGGCAGGTTACAGTATTGCATCATGTGATATGTTTTCTGTCACGAGTTATAAATATAACAATGTACCGTAATGCCACAAACAAACGACCCCCTCAAATAAGAGCCCCCCTTGAAAAAGTGCTACCCTAAAGGTGAAATAATTGAATAAGCGCTCCCCCCCCCACACGAATAAGCGCCCGCCTCTCGATTAAGCGGCCGTCCTTCAACTCTCAGAAACGGGCGCTTTTTCGAATTTTCAAGGAAAACAGAATTGGAAGACAATTCAACAAGAAAGCTTTATGAACAGCACAATTTGCACACAAATCTACTTTTTGAATAAGCGCCCCCTCGATTAAGCGCCTCCCTCGAATAAGCGCCCACCCTAGAGCCTCAAAAATTAAATAAGCGCCCGTGCGCTTATTCGAGGCATTACGGTAAATGTACCTAAGCTTTTCCCTTTAGGCATTACGGTAGCAATATGATGCATAAAGGGAAAATAAAAGCCAAATAGCTGGTCGAATTATTTTAATATCTGAAAACAACTTCATTGATTACAATAAATAACAGATGTACTACCTGTTGATTTACAATTAAATCCATCTCCAGTGAAGCCAAAATTACATTCGCAATAATATTTGCGTGACCATGAAAAT